GGAGTTAAATTAACATTATTTGGGATCAAAAACTTTGACGCCTCGGTGACGCTCCTTTGCTGGCAATTAAAACACTTTGGCTTTCCCTTAGGCATTTAGTTTTTCCTTTTGTTGTCCGTTAATAGCGTGTCAATTGGCTGACCAGCCACGCCCAGTTTTCCACCAAGTCAGTGTCTTCTGCCCGGCCAACAAATTATCATTCATCATCGTCAGTCGTCGTCGTGTTGGCACTTAGCACATTCACTTGGCCATGATTTGCAATTAACGCAATATTCATGACGTTCTCACACATGAGCTGCGCTAAGCCACCCCCCGAAAAGTCCTTCTTCCTTTTTTTTCAAACTCAAGTTTTCCCAACCACCCCGGAGTGTCCTTTTTTTTACGTATTTTGCCTGACAGCAAACAGAGAGAAAGGAGCGAAGCGATTGTGTTCCCCCGTTCGTCCTTTCGCTTCCACGGCCTAATTGCCAAATGATTAAGCGATTTATGATGTCTGCGTCGAATGCGTAGCGAATTCGGAGCACAATACACAATCATAATTCTGTAAATGTTTTAGCACGCACAAAGGAAAAGTTCAAATCGGTGGGAGTGTGGCGAAGACAGAAAGTCAAAGTTCAAATGGGGAACTATCATGATATGGGTGAATACGAATTGCTGGGAAAACATTTCAGTGATCCATTAGGAAAAGAAGGCTAAGCTAAGAGAAATAATATACCTAAAATTCCTTTTAAAATGAAGACTTACCAATTCAAGACGATATATATGTACCTATTTAATGTATACATTAATAAAAACCCATTTAAAGATCTTACTTCTTTTACCTAAACCTTTTGTGTTTAAGTGTTTGCTTGGTAAATTTGCAACTTTGTCTTAAGAATTGGGCTCAAGCCAGTTTCTCAGTAAAACGCACTCTATACTTTGACCGATTTTATGCTCGCAGCATGTTACTTGTACCAGTGAAAGTGCAGGCCATTATATCTCTGGCTTCCCAGAGAAGTGGCTCCATCTCACATCCACATCCATTACACTTACATGCAATGCCATTTCCGTTGCGCTACACTTCTCTTACAATAATTTGAGGCAAGCGTCATAGATTACCCCCGCGGTCTCAGTTATTTATAGATGGGGGGAGGGGGTTCGAGGGGTTTCCCCTCTTCATGGGGGTTTACGGATTGCGTTTCGATTCCCTGGCCAGCGGAGCCGGCAGGAAATGCTTTATGGGGCCTTTGCATGCCACAAAATGCTTACATTTTGGCCACATCCCCGCGGCCATAGTTAATTTAGGCCCCGCAACGCCAAGAGGATATGCTCTTTTGATGGACATTTAGGCAGGCCCAAAAATACCCACATTAAATGTCTCAATACATACAAATCACGGGGCTAATTCCTCATGTTCCCCTTCCGCCTTTGCAGGTTCTGGCCAAATTCAGCTGTGGCAGTTCCTGCTCGAACTGCTCTCGGACTCCAACAACGCCAGCTGCATCACCTGGGAGGGCACCAACGGCGAGTTCAAGCTCACCGATCCCGACGAGGTCGCCCGCCGATGGGGCGAGCGGAAGTCCAAGCCCAACATGAACTACGACAAGCTCAGCCGCGCCTTGAGGTGAGTCCATCATAATTCATTTAAATCGTTTTCAAAGAAAGTGAGGTATCCACAATGTATACAAAATATAAGTTCTTTAAAGATAAAGAAATAAACATCAGGAGATTCTAAATGTAAGCCCAATAAAGTAAAAGCAAAAAAATCAATCAACCATAATATCTATGGTTCAAAATTTTAATTTTATATATTCCTCATTATTTACTTAAATAAAGTATAAAAATTATAAAAATTATAGTATGGTATAAAGTACAAAAAGTGTTAGGTTTACACTGATTTAAAAAGGAATTTAAAGATCTTTCCCACAGACTTTCAAGAACTTATTTTGAAGATATAAATAAATAACAACAGAATGTTCAAATATAAGGAAACATAGATAGGAATAGTTCGATCTGTTACTTTTTTTTACCCTTATCTAGGGTTGTTATTTCTTGTGCACTGGAGTATTCCCTAATTAGCCGATATCTCTGCCGTCATCAAAATGCGAGCATGTGTGCAATTTGCTATTTGGCTCATCAGTAAATGATTTCGGCACTGATTAGCCGCTTTGATGGCTAAACAGCCAGAAAATCACCCAAAAAAACCTACTAACAAACAGGAAAAAAAAACATAGCTAATCCACTTGCTGACCAAGACCTTAGCCCACTTGATTGTGTGGGCGTGGCTGACATAGAAATTCAATCATAAATTGTTCCCTTGCTCCGAATGTAATCAAAAATCGAATAGATTCGCAATCTAATTGCAGAGCAACGTAATTCGATTTCGAAATCTGGAGCTCCAGTTTTTGACAGAAGCATATGCACACTACAACTATTTGTGCAACGGTCAATTTGCTGGACAAACATGGCCAGAGCCGACAGTTGGCCTAATCCTCTCGGCGCGGCGAACCCTTTTAGCTCCTTGAATCCTTGAAACTGTCATTCGCAATCAGACGAGTGCCAATGGTGCGAATTCAAGTGGAAAAGTCCTGACAGCCAATTTGCAACATGCTCCGCTCGCACATGTAAATAAATGTAAAAAGTCTAGAAAAAATCACGCAACAACAATTGGGGGAAAGAAGGGGGGTAAAGGATTGGAAAGGAATCCTTTTTGATGTGCAGGAAGCCTCAACATGTCTGTTCTTCTTTTTTGCGCCTTTCAACTCAATTGAACACAAGAGACATCATCGCCGTTGGCTTTCATGTTTGCTCAGAAATGCGAGTGTGCTGCGGCTGTGTGTGGGTGTGTAAATTAACACTCAGCCTGGGTGTCCTTAGCACACACACACCCATGCACACCCACACACACACATAAATAGGAAGGACAAGTGCTTTAATGCTTCATTTGACATGTTTATTCACAGCCAGCTGGCCTTTTGTTGGCCTGGCCAATCCTGCGAAATGGGTTTACTTTAATCCTTTACTCTCCTCATGCAGTTATCCTTGCTCCCTGATTGTGCTCCTTTGTCCTTCGCCCACCGTGCTCATCAGCCATTGATTGGCTTTGATTGTCTGTGCAAAGAACAGTGGCATTCACGATTTTTCTTCTCTTACTTTTCTTTTTTGATTTTCCGTGAAGCTTTTGTTTTTACTGCTTTTAATTTATGGCCGTAATTGGCATAATTTATGGATGGTGCAGAAAAAAAAGCGAGAGAAAGAACTCGACTGCACGCATTATGCCAATTTGCATTGATGCATTGAAATGTTTGCTCCGCCTGTGCAACTCTTTGTAATTTATTTGCAAATTCCTTTTTTTTCGCTTGTCAGGCGGAAGTTGTGGACATTTTAAAGCGTAACAATAAACGAACAATATGCAAGAGGAAAGGGATATTTAAATTGCCGTTTCGGTGTGCTTTTAAAGCCAAAATCGAGCTGACTGGCCAAATATATTCGAAGTTAATGAAAAGAAATCGCCAGCTAACCCTCGAATGTAAACAAATTTCGCTCGCTCACTCGGATTTCTTGGCCGTCTGCCCGCCCACATAATTTACCCCTCGCCAAAGTTTCTATTTGCGTTTGTGCACAAGGCGTTGCCATTTAATTGCGGAGGCCAGAAAACAGAAAAAGGGAGCTGCGCCTGGGGAGCGGCACTAAAATCGCCTAATGTCAGCAAATTAACTTAAAACGCATAAAGCGAGCATTATTCTGTAATTATTTATTGTCCATCGGGGGGAGACTGTCTTCAGCTCAGCTCATCTCGGCTTTTGTTTGACTTTCCCACATCGAGATCATAGAAATGGGTAGTGATGAGTAGCTTTGCTGGGATTCGAGGGTTGGTTGTTAAGGTTCAAAGTCGATTTTATGGTTTAAGATGTAATAGTATTAAATATCAGTTAACACTCTATAAAGTTTGTTAAAAGTTCTTTATTAAAAATATATATTTTAATTACTAGTATTACTCCAAGTAACATATAGCATATAACATATATAATATATATCATATAGCATACAGATTTAAATACTTCGCCTAGGAACTTATTTTAAATTAAATAAAATGAAAATTAATGTTTAAGTCATTAATAGAATATTACCTTCAACTTTTATTGGATTGATGTTGTAATTTGTAGAACCCAGCTGTAATTGCTTTCCCCTACATTATTTCTGCAGGTATTACTACGACAAGAACATAATGACCAAGGTGCACGGCAAGCGGTACGCGTACAAGTTCGACTTCCAAGGACTGGCAGCTGCCACCCAGCCGGCGGCCAGCGATCCCACCTACAAGTACCAGAGCGACTTGTTCATGACTCCATATCACCACAGCGCCAAGCTCAGCTCGTTCATGAGTCCGCACCACGGGATGACCTCATCGTCGGGTAAGCATACTCAGGGAAATCCATTTGGGGAAACTGGAAACTGGACTCTATAACTCAAGCTAATTGCTTTAATAAATGGCTTTAAATTTATTTGATCTCAAATGATCTCCAATTTCAAATTAATAACAAATATTAATATGGTCAATTAACACTTTAACAAATAATATAATGGGATATATTATTAAACGGCCAAATAACACTTTAACAAATAATATATCCCATTACTTGAAAACCCATAACTTTTCTAAATAATGTCCGATTTTGGATTGGTATACCTCAAAATGCTTGTGATATAATCCCCTAAAAAGCGACATCCTTAATTTGGTTTCTATTTTTTCACATGTGAGATGTGAGCCATCTTTAAAATACTAAACTAGAACCCAAAGTAATAAAATAACTTTTTCAAGCTCTCCCCTAATGAGATCTCTTTATTTCTTGCAGCTTCGATCTTCCCGTCGGCCGCCTCGTGGGGCAACTGGGGCAGTCCGGCCACGAACCTCTACCAGCCGCACTCGATGAGCCACGTGACCCCCTCGCATGTGGCGCCCCACCTGAGCAGCTATCCCCACTACGCATGACCATCATCGTCCGGTGGCGCCTTCTAATATGAGAGCAACGCCATCGCCGGTGCCTCGGGCATTGGCGGCGGCACGGCCTCGTCGGGCGTGGGTATCGGAGGAGTGGGTGGTGGTGGTGGCGGGGGCACTGGTGGTTCTGCAGGCGGTGGGAGCACCGGTGTGACCACCGGCGTGGGATCCACCTCGAGCAGCACCACCAGCAGTGGCGCAGGAGGTGGTGGCGGCGGAGGAGGAGGAGGAGGTGGTGGCTCCGTGATGAGCGGCTTCGGCAGCAATGGCAACCTGAACGGATCGCACGTCTCCAGCAGCGGCGGAGGCTCCTCCAGTGTGAGCAACAACCTCAATATCGCCACGGCCACCTTGACGGCGACTCCGGCTCATGCCAGCGCGGGATTCGGAACGATTGGCGGACTCAGTGTGGCGGGAATGGGCGTGGGCGTCGGCGTGGGAGTGGGCGTGGGCGGGGGCAACTCCACACTCAATTCGCTGGTCGTGGGCAACCGCCTGATGAACAGCAGCCTGCCGACGCTGCTCAAATGATGCCACTTGGAGAAGTTCGGGCTGACGATGGGCGCGGGTCCCTCGCCGCCGGCCGCCACTCCCGCCGGCGATTCGATGCCGGCGTACCACCATCCCGGCCATCCCGCCCACTCCGGACTTCCAGGACACGCCGCCAACTACGGGGCCAACGAGCGGGCCCTGTACGATTATCTGGACATGAAGAGCGGCGAGCAGGCCACCTTTCTACTGTAAATGCAAAATGGCAAAACTTGTAACCAGAACCACCAGAAAAGATCCACAAAAAAACAAAAACAAAACAAATCGAAACACAGGCAGCAAAAGTATTTGCAGCGGATTTTATTCATAGGTACTTAGCGAAAGGAAAAACCTAAATCTTAACCGGAAAAATCGAAAAATAAAAACAACCCCCAGCAAAATATTTTACGTGTGTGCGAGTGAGTGTGAGTGAATGAGTGTCGTTGTTGCTTTTGGGTTAAGGAACTAACTTTTCACTAATATACGATTAAGAACCGGAACCGATATAGTTGGCATTCGAAGCTAAACAGAAACAGAACTCTAAGTGTTTTTAGTGTACCAAGGACTAACTTTTTCCTTCAATTCCAAAAAAAACAGAACCTTTTTCCAGGCTAAGACTTCGCGAATAGTTCTAGTATTCTCCAATTGTTGTTAGCATTTTGTGTGTGTAAAGCATTTGTAAATAGCAAAATAACAATATCATCCTTCAAATAATGTTCAGCACAACCGTGAATGTCTAGTTATAGAAGTTTGCCACGATTCCACATCAATTTACGATTTGTAAATAAGTATTTGCTTAAGTGTAAAAATGTTTAGCAAGTAACGAGATTTAATTGCGTTTTAATTGATTTACCCATTAAATTATGGTATTCGGTTCGACATTTTCTGTTTATCGTTTTGAGATGGTTGACTGTGATAGTTGATTGTACAGTTAAAACTCTTACATATTTTTTAAATACCAAATTACAAACGAATAAATATTGAAATAAAAATACGAGTACACAATAATCCCAATCTAGACATACTAAATATATGTGTGTAAAAAAGAAAACATTCTTAGTGGTAAGGCAAAGTTTAACTATAAAATAACGAGGCAAATATATGGATAAATTTAAATGTGTGTAACTATGTGTATTTACCAAAACGAAATACGACAAAAGCGAACTAATCGTTAACGATCTAAGTGTATACAATTTTAAATTCTGAATGTAAACTCTACGAAGCGCAAAACCAAAATACAAAGCGAACATCAGCGATGCCCACACACACCGAAACCCTCTAAGAATTTAGTTAATTTAAGGCGAAAACTTTCAACAAAATAAAACCCAATTCAAAACAGACTCCATTCCTATCTGTTAAACGTTGTCTTTATTCGAAAATTAACAAAAGAGGTGTTATTTACAGCAAGGGGCAGGGGCAAAAGGAGGCTATTCTAGACTTGGACTAATCCGCTGAATCCGCTGAGGAATCACCGGTCACTGCTCCTGGTTGAACCACTTGAACTCGTAGTGCTTCAGCGAGTTCTCCTCCGGCAGCGCCTCCTTGGCGTCCAGTTTCCGCCAACTGACGTGCGGCTGGAACCCGAACTCGTTCGCAATGTACTCGATGGTCCGCTGCACTGCATCCTCGCCGATGACGAAGTAGCTGCCCTTCTTGTCCCCGTTGCGACCGCCGGTCTCCTCGTGTCCGTTGTAGTCCAGGATGTACTCGAACCTGTACAGATCTCCCGATGCATCAGCTGCACTGCCGCTTCCAGAGCCAACTCTGCCGCCGGATCCGGAGGATTTGCTTCCAGCAGCGCCCGTTCCTCCAAAACCTGATCCAGAGGGACCTCCGCTTCCCGAACCTCCAGGTGATCCTACGCCACCGGATCCTCCTGCCTGGGGCTTTCCAGAAAAGCTTCCCGATCCTGGTCCACTTCCGCCAGCTGATCCTCTAGATCCACTGATTCCGCCAGCAGCTCCTCCACCGAAAGCACCACCAGGTCCTCCAGCTCCTGATCCTGGTCCACTTCCGCCGACTGGTCCTCCAGCTGATTTGCTTCCACCGTTAACTCCTCCATTGAAAGCACCACCAGGTCCTCCAGAAAAGCTTCCCGATCCTGGAGAGCTTCCTCCAATCGAACCTCCAGCAGCTCCAATACCTCCAGGTCCTTTACCAGAAATACTTCCAGCTGGCGTCTTTCCGAATCCTAAACTTCCACCGCTTGCTAATTAATGTAAAATAATATAAAACAATTAATTTTTATATTTTACAATATTTTATTCCGCTCGAAAAACTTACAGGGTGCACTTCCGGTTGGTGAATTGGCTGAAACTCCAGAAATTCCCGGGGTGGTTGCTGAATCTAATGAAAATGCCAAAGGGAAATTTAGCAAGTGTGTAAATATTGTGTAAAAATAGTGTAAGATTGTGTAGTGCAAAGGTTAGCCGATAGCTGGCGTTTTGATATAGTGTTGTTTTGTAATTGTATTCTTATCAAGTTACCAAAATTTGAACTTTAGTGATTGCAATATCAAACATAAAAAGAAGCAAGTCCAGTATCACACTATTGGGAAATAGTTAAGAACTCACAATATATTACGTTCCCTTAAAAAAATGAAAAATATTAATTGTACTTAACTTCGGAAAATTCAAGAAACTATTGCAAAAACCAAACTGGTCTATTTAAAATTCGAAAGAAAACTAATAGGTAATTAAAATATGTATATATAATGTGTTTTCCCCATTTGGCTTACTCAAAAGTTGTGCTTGTTGTGTGTTCTGTGTGCGTGTGTTTTGTGGTTTCGAATGCCCCACTCTCTTCGCAGAAGCAACTCCCGATCGAGGATTGTTCTTGATGCCCAAACTGGGATATCTTGCTACAGAATCAATATCGCTGGCAAAGGGACCGCTGGCAAGGGAACCGCTGGCAAGGGAACCGCTAGCAAGGGAACCACTACCAAGGGAACCACTGGCAAGGGAACCGCTGGCTTGATCACTCACTGCGAAGATTTTCACTTCGCTGGCAGGCACCGAAGCGGGAGCCACAGGTGGCTGATTGGCCAGGGCCACAGGACCCGTTGTCCTGCTGGCATATGTAATGGCCTCCTTTATGGCCTCTGCGTCCAACTGGATGTTCAAGGGGGATAGACCAATGGTCCCGCCTTCTCAGACACGCCCACATTGTAGTCAATCCTTGTACTGGCACTCGGTGTGTGGGAATTGGAGGTCTGGGTGCTCACATGACCGGTTACAGCGGCATTCGATTTGTGCAGTGTGTTCAAGGCCAAGTTAAGACCGAGTTCGATGTCTTTGGTGGGTGCATTCGGGTAAGTGTTGGTGACGGTGTTGGTGTATTGTTGTGCTCCCGGGACCAAACCAAGGCGTTGAGCCACAGTCTGCTCAATAGAGTCCACGAAGGGCAGCTGGACATTCAAGCCATTAGCCGGGGCGAAGCCTTGGGCCTTACCTGGTTGACCTGGAGCCAATGGCTGCGAAAGGGTGCGAATCTCCGTTTTGGGAGGGGACTTCTTCAGGAAACAGCCCGAACAGGCCTCCGTGTTGAAGTTGTACTTGGGCAGAGCCACCGGAAGTGGCAGGGCCTTCGGAGTCGTTGTGGCAATAAGCGTCTCTAAGAAGTATAAAAAATAGAATCATGTATAAATAATTGTATAAAGGAAACCATCATAAAAATTATACTTTTGTTAGATCTGATAAGTAGAATTTAAATCAATTATGTTACTAATGATCATAATTATTTATGTAAAAATTGAGTAAAACTAAATATGCCTTTTGTTTTATCAAAAAGCCATTTTAATTAATTTATAATTCGTTAAAATTAGTCTCAGTTACTTTGTTTCATAAAATTATATAAAATTGGTTCGACTTCTAGAAAAGTTTATCAGATGAAAAAAAAAAATTTGCATGCACCTACAACTTGTTTGAAATTCAGCTTATTGATTAGAATCGAAGCATAAATGTTCATAATGTTTATTTTTGGAAGACTACTAAAACCAGACTGGTTCAGAAGGAAACAATACAAAACGATTTCAGGTTCGAGTCCGTTATATGATTTAGATTAATAAATAATAGTTTCGTTTTGTCAAGTAATAATTTTAGTGGCACTGACAGGTTGATAAACTTAATGAATTGCCATTTCAGAATGGGTTTCTCTTCCGATAATACTCACTTGGACCGACGGGACCTGAATAGGGATAGCTCTTCATGGACAAAATGCGGAACTTGCCCTCCTCGTCGGTGGCGTAGACGGTCACGTGGTAGATTCCATCGGCGGTGATGAACCCAAACTCGCCCATGATAATGCCGCGTTCATCTGCGAATCGGGAAACAGCAAATGAAATGTTGGGCAAACAGATTTTTGTGTTCATTTTTGAATATGAATGCGAATTTTACGGCGATTTGTGATTTTTTAATTCGTTTGATAACCTGCCCGGCCAGGCCCATAAAGATTAAGATCTAATAAACTGTATCGATAATGACGATCATAACTTGTTAGCTGGTTTCTTAAAACCCCCCGTCGGCCGCACCACCCCCGCCCACATTCGATTGTACAGCAGCTTCCTACGCAAAACACATTCCTATGCTGAGAGATGAATTTATTAATCTAGATGACACTGTGGATGGGCTTAAAGAGGTGCGACTCTCACCGAAGCATCCTGTCCAGCCACCCACCAAAAATCGCTCATTCGAAATTCTGGCTTGTGGCCTTTGTTTGACCAAACTGGTTTCCACGATTCTGGCCAACAAGTTTTAACGGTCTGCATCAATTGGCTTTCGCTTGTTTGTGTTTTGTTTAATTCGAATATGGCTTCGTGTCACTTTCCCATTTGTCTCGATCGATTTCGACGGGATTAGAGAATAATTCTTTATTGAAATTTATTCTTTTGTCGTGATCAATTTGAGTTTGAATTGTTCACTGAGCTGGGCTAAATAATTAAAACTATTAAACTCCTATCAATATAAATTATCGCAAGCTTTTTCTGGTAATAAAATAAAGACATATAATAAAGGAACAACTGAGTTAAGGTGTTGTTTAGGGGACTATAAAAGTAGAAACAGAATATTTGAATAAAATTAAAATAAAATATAAAATTAATCAAATTAAAAGCTTGAATTTTTTTAGGTGTAAAATAATTTAGGTAATTATGTTTTGTAAAAGAAGATACAACAGAAATAATTTGGTCTTAAACTTTTAAAGTACTTTCAATTTTTTTCAATTATATTTCGTGTGTAACATTTGCTTGAGTGTTTCCAAAAAGTAAAATGAAACAAAAACTTATAATGAATGTTATAAAAGCTAAGACTAATAAACGAGGAGCCATAAAACAAAATTTAGTGTGGTTATAAAAATAAGCACCTGGTCAATAAAAATAATGCCTTATTGAAAAAACATCGATTGAAAAACATTTAACACTTATGTTAAATATTTTGAAAATCGTGACTTCTTATACATTTTTTTACCCAATACGATAAACGCAATTTTTCATTGCATACTGTATAAAAAATACCTTATTATGTAAATAACTAATAAAAAAATGGTGGAATGAATTTATATAATTTTGGCATAAAATTTATAAATGTTATGAAAACATAAGTAGTGTATTTATCTTTAAAGTTTGATCTAGTTTTATTTATCTTTCTGATGATGTAATGCCCCGCAAACTAGACTCCAAAAAAGTGATCTAGATCGATAGATCTTAAAAACTGCTTAAAATTTGAATAAGAATGGCTCAAACATGCCGAAAACGACTAAAAGGTTTTGTTAGGACACATTTTATCTCCTTTAATCCAGTTAAAGTGTTGTATAATAAACAAATATCATTTTGCATGCACAACAAGTTCCTGAATTTGCTGAAATTTGAACGTAATCCGAATTTGGCCTCAACTCTGGCATTTCATATGCCAGAATTATACTTATAAATATTGAAATGTGGATGTTCTTTTTGGAATTAGCATTAGCCGAAGAAAGAAAAACCATAAATAAGGCAAACATTTGTGTATGGTATATTCGAACTCGTCTACGTGTTATGCTAATCGGGCGCGTTTCGTTTTTCTGAAAACTTTATCACCGATTCAGCATGGAAATAAAAATCATAACGACTATGCATGCCATTCGGACAATGGACCGACCCACTGGATGTGGATACCCCCTGCCATCGAGTTGTGTGTGTGCCTGATTCTGTGAAGATTCCGCTAATTGCCATTGGTGGTGGCTGGTATTTCAATTGCTGGTGACCTGTCGCTCAGGTGCAACACACATCAAACGTGTATTGTGTGGCATTGCACAAGCCGCCGCAAACTGCGGCTCAAAAGTCAAAAGTTATGGCTTTTTTTGGCCAACACCGCTCGGTCGGCGACTAAATGCATTTGTGCATCTGCTCCTAACGACTTTCGCGATGACGCATCGTCTATTTACATATTTCGTTTCGTTTTTGGTGCCAATAAATCGACGCACAGTAGTCAAGATATGCTAATGGTTTAATTAGCGTCATTAGCCAAACATCAAACGCCAATCCAAACCACTCACTTACCTCGCTTCTCGGCCCGATGCTGCTGCTCGTCGATGGTGAAGCCGAACTTGTAGGGACGCACTGTGGTTGCCGCCGACAGGACACTTGTGACGTACAGGAGCAGCAGCTTGAAAGGAACACCATGAATCCTTGAATCGAGTTTTAGGGGTCAAAGCACTTACAGCACAAGCGATCGCCACAAATCTCAGGCTCATTTTGCGGCTTAATTTGATTTATTGAAACTGGTCACAAATCTATTTTATCTTCGCGCCCTATTATAAACTGTCAACGATCACACAGAGAGCGCATAAATAAGCGGGCGTTTATATTTTAAATACAAATATACGATACGATTATAAATATTCGAATTTCAAGCGGACGGAACGGGAACGACGCGTTTCTCACGGCGAGATTATCGGTTCGGAGCAAGCGCCTCAGAATGAAACACACCCCACGATGTTCGGCAGCGAATTGACAATGTTAATAATATTAGGTAAACATTATAAAACATTAGAAGCAGACGCGGACCTGCCGCTGCCCGTTGGCCGCTGCCCGAGTGTGCGTGCGTATCTGTGTGCTAAGAGTTGTGTTGGTATTGGCCAAGTCGGATCGCAGAGCTGGTAGCATTGGCCAGATCGCATCACACCTCTTGAGGTAGCAGCCAAGCCTGTACTCATAATTTAAATTTCATGCACTCTGCACATCTATTTATTCGATTATATAAACTGCCTGTCAGCCAGTTTAAGAATTTTTGGCTATTTGCATCCCAAAAATATTTCAACAAAAGCAGAAGTAGTTTTTGGCTTTGTTAGGAAATATGTGGAGCTTCTATTTCTAGACTTCCTGAGTGTTTTTCATTCGCCTTTTAATAGGTGGATTTTTGCAAATGTCGTTTTTACACCTGATCTTTTCCATTCCATGAAGTAAACAAGACAAAAACCTTTATGAAGGTTTATTTTGTATAACATACAATCAATTATTCAGCGAACAAAAGGTACAAAGGGGTAAATGGTTCACTTCTTTTAAAGGGTTCAACTGTTGATTAACCATTTGTTAATAAGTTAATGTGTAATTGACCCCGAGGTAGCTGTGATTCCACTTGTTGAGTATAATTAGTGGGCAGGCACTTGACCTGCTTGATGAGCAAATCAGTATGCAATGAGGAAGATGTTTGCACTTCTCCATTCTCATTATCGATCGACAATCAGCAGTCATCGTGTCTTGTACCGGATGCCGGCAGCCAATTGCAATTGAAATATTGCTGTCAAGTTCGGCAATGACTGATGTTGTATTCTAAAATTTGCATATTAATTACAATAACTGTTGTCTTCGCGTGTGAGCATAAATGATGCGAGTTGAATCAGGCGCGTCACGAAGCTATGCATAAAATTCTTTGAGCTCCCCTAAAAGTATGCAAGGGAATTAATCGAGTTTGTTGCCTAAGTCTTTCGTTTTGCATGCTTTATTAAATTTAAGCCCTCAAAGTAAGCAATGTTTCAATTTATTATTTTTTACCGCAAAGACGGCACTTCTTTTGTAAAAGAAGCCAAGATCTCCAACCCCAAGAACAATAAGTAAAAGGTATTCTTAACTCTTACTAGAAAATTTGAGTACCAAACATAAAAATATTTCCAGCTGTAAAGAGATCTTTGTTAACCAAAACATGGATTAAAACCCAATTTTTTGTTGAAAAATATATTTATGTTGGATTGTTCTAAATAACATAGGTTTATAACAAAAATTCTTTCTATCTGAAATTTAAAATGTTTTTCATGAATTTCTAAAATATTTAGCCTGAAGTAAACACTTTCGATGATTTAATGATGTATCGTAATATAATATTTAAGCTTCAAAATAATAGCCCTGAACTAATAAAATTGTTGGTATTATTAAAAATTTATTTAAGTCAAAAGCCCACCAGTGGAAGTAATCCAATCTAAATGTTTATATTACCGCCTCCATAAAAAACCTGAAACTAATCATGAAAATGCTCATCCATTTTAATAATAGTTAGAACTCTACGAGTTCCTGTATAGGTTTTTAACCAATTCAATAAAACAAAATCATATCAATTCTTCATTTTTTAATATTCAACAAACTGCGTTCTATGGCTCAGGAATCTTTACCACGAGAGGTAAAGCACAAACGGAATTAGGTATTTTTTGTGGGAAATAACAAGGAGTTTTGTAGGAGGTTTGACTTAGGCCTCGGGGGCAACGGGCAGATGGGCACCCTGGGGCTGGAATCCGTTCTCGTCGGCGATGTAGTTGACGGTGTAGGTCTGGCCATCATCAGCCACGAAGGAGAAGGATCCGCGGACGGCGAGGGACTCGTTCTCAGATCCAACGTTCTTCAGCTCACCAGCGGCATCAGCCTTAGCGCCATCGCTGGTCTCATAGCTGAGAAGATGACAGTCAGAATTTGTATCCTTTGGAAGAGCTCTCGGTTACTTACCCATAGGAGAAGCTCTCGGGTCCGACCTCGGAAGCCTGCTTCAGGATCTCAACCTCGGCGGGAGCGGCCAGAGCCAGGGCGAAGAGGGCGACGAAGACAATGAGGAACTTCATGGTGATTCTTGGTTGGTTGGTGCTTTGATCTGCGGCTAGCGAACAGTTCGAGACGAGTGGTATCGATGGAGGGCAGTGGTAACCCTTTTATAGTTGGCCATATGTTTGGCGATTATTCAAAGCGCGGCCTAACTAGTCAAACGTGTACAAAACATAATCAGCAAAGTCAATGTTAATGTGAAAAGAGTCTGGTTTGGGTTTCGTTTTCGTTCGGAGTTGGAGCATTAAAAGGCCTAATATGAAATTTAAATGACACGATAGGCCGAAAAGAATCGCAGTCATAAATATTTCATTATTCAAATTATTGGCTATTCATGGTGGTATGGTATATAGTATTATGTTCCTACCAATCCGCCCAAGATCAGTGACGTCAATTAAATCTGGAGCTTCCTTAAGACTTAAAAAATGGAGTCTATTTTTGTACTCAAGCTGTTACAATGGATAAATTAAGTCAACTTTATTGTTGCGAATAATTAGCTAAGCATAAATTCCAGACATCGTCTAAGCCACCAGCCTGAACTTGGGATGGTAGCCAGTTTCGTCGGCCGTGAAGCTGATCTCGTACTTCTTGCCATCCGGAGCTGACCAGCTGGTGGATCCCTGGACGGAAAGGGATCCTTCTTCCGGCGTGGCACCCGGCTTCACCTCTCCCGTCTCCGTGCGCGAAATTCCATTGCTGGTGTCAAAGCTGCGTTCGGAAATGGATTATGTTAATTGATGTATTTAATCATCACTCAATGGTTTTGGATCATTTTTTATTAAGCTGCGTATTTTATTTAGCTGCTAGTTGATAAATCAGCGATCTTGACACTGGATAAATACTTCTCCGTTACCCATCAAACTATTTTCTCAATTTCATTTAATGTTGGTTCTCTTGAAGGTCATTGAAATTGTATAATTCATGCAATCATTTTTGCGTTTTTTTTTTCTTTACATATTATTAAAAAATTAACACTGGACAAATATATCTCAAAAGTGTTATATAAACATTTCCGCACAACGAATTATGTATTTACATTTAATAATATAAGAATTCAATGCCCAAAAAGGACCATACCCACCTAAAGGAATACTTGTCGCCAGTGTTCTCGCTCTCCAGTTTGAGGGTCTCCGCCTGGGCATCCTGGGCAACAGCCAGAGAAGCCCCAAATGCCAAGAGGGCAACCAGCAGCCACATGAAACTCGAATGCATCGCGGGAACAATTGAATTTTAGCAGTCTCCGTCGCACTTAGCTGCACTTTACTGAGCTGCGATGCGATCGAATGACGCCCTTTTATACGGAACCTCTGGATAATGTCCTCATCGGCGAAAAATGCAAAATAATACAAACAAATGAGGTAGAAAGAAATCAGCTATAATGGAAACATTCAATAAAACACATTTTAATTACAGATTACCACTCTAAGTACCCTGCACTAATCGTGCTTGCAGGTATGTCCAGTGGGAGGTAATGTATGCAATTACCTTGTCCACTGCCATTTGATAGACAGAATGACGCCTCGCCTTGCCATCAAACATATTGTTTACTTTTCAAGCTCGTGTTTGGCCAAAACAAATTTAAAAATATTTTTCCTGAAATTAGTGGGCTGATTTTTGTATTTAATCTGTGCGACTTAGGAGATGTCTTCCCGTCGAGTTATACTAAGTCATAACTTTTGTTATTGTGCATTGTGATTTTGCCATTGTCATTTCTCATATTAACATCAAATGTTTGAATAAGTACAGGCACGTGCATATGTATGCGAACGCTCAGTTGGTATAAAAATCAATTATTTATAGAAAATATCAATCATCGTTCTCTAATCTATCATCGTTCTCTGTCTAAATATAAATCACTGAGTACTCAACATAATTAAGAATTGGGTATTAATATGAGACTTGTTAAATGTCACAAAAAATAAAAAACATGTTAAATTGTATAATCTCGGATCATTTGACTTCAGTTAAACGGCGACCTCTGAAAAATGCTGCATAAAATACAAAATAAAAATTTAAAAACCAATAAAACACATATAAGTTTCGGTAATCATTTTTTTTAATATTTAACAAAAGGGATTGGCTGACTTAGCTCCCGTCCTTTGAAAATAAGGACCGGATCGGTTTGGTAAGGTTCGGAGTTATTAACAAGGAGTTTTGAAGGATAGATGGCTTTGCAGCTGCCTCTGGATGAGAGCAGCTCCACTTAGGCCTCGGGGGCAACGGGCAAATGAGCACCCTGGGGCTGGAATCCGTTCTCGTCGGCGATGTAGTTGACGGTGTAGGTCTGGCCATCATCAGCCACGAAGGAGAAGGATCCACGGACGGCGATGCCCTCGTTCTCAGATCCAGCGTTCTTCAGCTCACCAGCGGCCTCAGCCTTCTGGCCATCGCTGGTCTCCCAGCTGAGAAGATGAAGAGATGACAGTCAGAATTTGTATCCTTTGGAAGAGCTCTCGGTTACTTACTTGTAGGCAAAGCTCTCGGGTCCGACCTCGGAAGCCTGCTTCAGGATCTCAACCTCGGCGGGAGCGGCCAGAGCCAGGGCGAAGAGGGCGACGAAGACAATGAGGAACTTCATGGTGATTCTTGGTTGGTTGGTGCTTTGATCTGCGGCTGGCGAACAGTTCACGGCGAATGATGCTGTTGGTTGGCGGGGGGCACCCTTTATATCGATGGATGGGCAAACTTTGGCAGCCGAGCCCAACGCGGCCAAACTAGTCAAACGTGTAGTGTTTAAAGCATAATGTGATAAATGTGTGAAATTGATTTCGGCCTAAGGCTGAATTGTTAAAAGCCCAATCGATGATATGTAAATCAACCATCTTCTATATAGTTTGTCGCATTCGCTTTCCAGCTGTCTTCTTGGGAGGAGACGACAAGTTCAAATTCAATTAGAAGCTAGCTCTCCGAGCTGACTAGCTAACTATACAATATCGTGGAAGAAATGTCTCATGCCAAAATCGAGTTCATAAATCAATTGATTAATGTTTTTTTTTGCGCATGTATACTTTTATTAGTTATTTTATAAGTTATTTCGATAAACAGGTCACAAAGACATTAAAAGCCGCTTATATTCTTCTAGTATATTTACAACAAACAGTTTAAGCATATGCCAATTATTCTATATATTATATATATTAATTATTATATACCTTTTCTTGTGACAGTTGCAATAACACTAATCGTACACTATCCATGATTTCATCCTACACTGAAAGAAGAAATATAAGAAATTACTTTCGTTTAGACAAAAACCTTACAAATGTACAAGCAGAGGTGACAAAAAAAACGTGAACAGAATTTATAATGCTTTATTATTAATTAATCAAAACCTATATTAATATAACTCCTGTTGTATGGTATATGTAATTCATCAGAAAAAGAAACCTGATCGAATGAGAGCAAAGTGGTAAAAATGGTAAGGGTTAGTCTTTCCCTGAAACTTTTATCACTCTTATCAATCTCTAAACAAAACAATTAAGTCGTAGGAATAAGGGCAGAACATCTTTTGAAGTGAATCTCATTTTCTTTGCTCAACTTAAATAAAATACAAAATCTTGATCTTAGCTATTCATCAGTGTTTAATAATACTTAAGAAATTTGTTTTCGAAAAAAATTTTTATTGGCTTAATGTACTCTAAATATGTCTGGGAATAAGCCTTTAAGTGCATAAAGCCGTCCGGTAATTATTTTCTAAGTAATACGCAATTTAGTGAGTGAGTGTCAAATGGCTGACATCCACAAAGGTGAACTTTAAACGCTTTTATTGAAAAGTCTTGTTTACAAAGTCGCTCTAAGTTTAATGCCCAGTTGCTGTTTTTTGTTTAAGACGTGATCCTGGACCAGGAGACTGCACGGCGCATAGTTCATCCCTCAAAACACAACTCCACATTATTGATCATAAATGAAGCCTTGACTGATTTTTATTGCTCAATAATTTTCTAATAACATGTAACAAGAATCGCTAAGAATAATTTAATTCCCTACTTGCAATCCACTCCCAAAGATAGGACTCTCATTTTAGGCCTTCTAATTGTATTTCCCCCTTAAATATCCCAGTGTAAGTGCCTCGATTATAAAACACTCGTTCCTGCGACAAACAATTTTGACACTTGTAACCCCGTATCTTCATTTTTCTTTTTTTAATATCTATTAACTAGTTCAGTAAATCCTTTCCAATTTTAAAATTGTATATCTCACAGTCTTATTTTTTCTTGTCATTACTTTTCATTAACAAATTTATGCACACGTATTTGGCATCAGTACCATTGACGTACATTAATAGCTACCAATAAAATCTGGAAAACATTGTTTTTATGGTATCATGTTTTCTTTAATATTCAACAATTTAGGTTTTTTGACTTAGATTCTCGTGCCCTCGAAAAGAAGGGCTAAGAAGAGTTTGTGGAAGTTAAGCGATATTAACAAGGAACTGCACAATCCGGTTGAGGGGAATTAGGCCTGGGGGGCAACGGGCAGATGGGCACCCTGGGGCTGGAATCCGTTCTCGTCGGCGATGTAGCTGACGGAGTAGGTCACGCCATCTTCACCCACGTAGGAGTAGGCACCCTTGACGGCGAGAGACTCGTGCTCGGATCCAGGATTGTTCAGGACACCCTGGGCCTGGGCCTGTGAGCCATCGCTCGTCTCCCAGCTGGTGAAAAAGTCGGAGATAGATTAAGATATCCTTTTGGGGCTCTTAGCGGTGAGCTTACCTGAATTGGTAGCCCTCAGGCTGGACGTCGGAATCCTGCCTCACGATCTCAACATCAGCCAGGGCCACGGCGAAGAGGGCGACGAAGACAATGAGGAACTTCATGGTGATTTTTGGTTTGGTGTTTTGATCTGCGGTTGCCGAAGAGCTCGAGACAAATGATACTGTTTGCCAGCTGCTGCTCCCCTTAAATAGATGGAAAAGCTTTTGCCATTATGTTAAACAAACGCAAATTAGTAAAAACGTAATGTGATAAATAAATGATATGAATTTCAGGTTAAAGCTGAATAGTTTTATGCCCAATACGCAATGCAAATTGACCATCTTCAAAAAGTTTGTCGCATTGGCTTCGCCTAACTTTTTTCACACTAACAATATCATGCATTTAAACGCAAACTATCTACATTTTGCTATCTTTGCGATATAAACGAATGGAAGTAAAAATGCTTTGCCCATTCAAAATGAAGTTCCATCTTTTATTTACCTTAAGCAAATTTATATTTAAGTTTTGCAACGAGGACGTAACTATATTATATTTTTAATTGCACTTAACTCAATTTTGTGATTTTCACTTTTTATTTTGATTTATTCACTTTCTATAAAACTCTCAAGCATTTAAAATTTTATATCTTTAATTACTAATTTTTATTAATTTCCCACTTACACGTAGAAAATGTCATTTTTTTAATAAGGTAAGAACCACTGGTAAGGTAAGATAAGATGCAAAGATATAAAAGCACTTCTTATCGCAAGGAACATGTTATCAACAGACTCATCGTCAAAAACCAGCAACAGTAATAAATGTAAGTTAAAAAGATGAACCTTAGTAAGAAATAAATGCCATACATATTTAAAAAACATATATATCTCCCTAAATGGCAACTAATTAATTTAGTAGCATAGCAAATCAAAAAGAGCTTTTCTTGTAATCTTAACAAAAAGTGTTAAATGACGTTGACTAAAAATAAAATTATTTGCTAAAATAAAAGTCATGAAAATTTCTTTGGTAATTATCTATTTTTTAATTTTTTTTGTTTACAAATATCTGTTTTCAATTGGTTTGTTTTTGTGTCGCATTAACTAAAAAAAAAATAAAAAATTAAAATAACTAATACGTGAGGAAAAAAAGTAAGCTATATTTTTCCGGCTTATCCGCCAAAAATAATAATTGCTCTTGCCTTCCTGCATAGATTTTAAATCCTAAGCTGTATGAATTAGTGCACCAGATTGCCTTAATATCAAAACATTTTGTGTTGTGTTTAAATCATTTTGTATTTAATAGTTCAGAAATTTTCTCTTTGAGTCTCTATGGCAGTTGAGCAAAGTTTACAAGAATAATCCAGATGAGGGGAATTAGGCAACGGGCAGATGGGCACCCTGGGGCTGGAATCCGTTCTCGTCGGCGATGTAGGTAACGACGTAGGTCACGCCATCAGGACCCACGTAGGAGTAGGAACCCTTGACGGCGAGGGACTCGTGGTCGGATCCAACATTTTGCAGAACACCCTCTTCTTGGGCCGCCACGCCATCGCTGGTCTTGAAGCTAAAATCGAGAGGAGAGTCAGTTAGGCAGCTGCTTGAGGCGGCTCTTAATCTACTTACTTGAATTGGAAGCTCTCAGGACCAACTTCGGACTCCAAGTTCTCGATGACGGCTTCCGGAGCTCCAGGAGCGGCCAGAACGACGGCGAAGAGGGCGACGAAGACAATCAGGAACTTCATGTTGATTTTTGGCTTGTGTGCTGATCTCTAGGAGTTCGATGCAAGTGATATCGTTTGACTGCAGGTGAACTCTTTTATACCAAATAGCCAAAACTATTCAAAGGCACGATTGGGATCCAAAACTATCATATCACTTGCAAAATTTATGATAATGGTTTTGGTTTCGCGAATTTTATGCGAAACGCATAGTTATAATACGATGCGCCAACTGGTTTTTGCATATAAAATGCGGCTGCACAATGTTTGTTTTTAGCGAAAACTAACTAACTGGTTCACAACAACTAAAGCCAATAAAATTAAAAAAAATACTTCGGTCGTCAATTTAATTACTTAACCATACTAAATTTAAAAAATATGAACTTAAGCTAAGTATGAACTTGATGCACTCTTACAAAAGTCCAATGTTCTGTACTAAATATGGTATATGCAAATCCAGAAGACATTGGCCAAAGTGTGTTCAACCCACAATTGGGCAGGGCAACTACGTCAGCAGCGGAGTTGGTTTAAATAAACTAAAGCCGCAGTCAATGCGGTCGGTCGATCGGCTTCTTCCAAAACTAGTTTGATCATTGTCGCCTTTTATTTCATGCATATTAATATGGCCGTTTGGCTCTGGGTGCTCTCTATGTTGTTTTTGGCAGGCATCTTCCAAATTTCATTAGCATCGCATGAAATTTAAATCAACGCCTCAAATTAACCTTCAAAACTTCGTTTTCATTCGTGGCCAGATCGCTCGCACATATTTCAATATGCGCCACTTTAATTATGTATTAATTACAAAGACAACAAAAACCCAAACAAGTTTCGCCGTGCCAAAAGTTTGCAAATTTCTGCCAGCCGAAGGCCATCCAGGCGAAGTCGCCAGACGAGACCCACCGCATTGCGTCGGCCAACGGTGCGTATGGAAAATGTGAGGAGAACAAAGGCATTGTTCTTCCACCTCTTGCGTCATACTTTTCTTTTCATTTCACCTCGAACGCGTTATGGATATTTGTGGCCCTCCTATAAATATCGCATTTAGCATGCTGATCGTAAAGTGATCCGGGTTCAAGGGACGTTCCAACATTTCAGAAGAAGACTCTTATTATAGTCTAGTTAGCATGTGCTTGGGAAACAAGTTTACATCTTAAGAGCCTTATGTTTCGGAATAAATGAGGCAGATAAGGGAAAGTTTCGAAGTTTTAGACTTTCAAGTGATGACTTTCAGAAATTTAAGAGAGATGAATAGAATATGCTTGACATTATTACTTATATTTAATTAAAAAAAATGATTAATTGTTATTTCCTAGTAGGAATGAAAGTAAATACTGAAATACGTTGTTTAAATGATATATAATACTTTCACACCATCTTTAATGAATTTTAATATGATTGAAATTAAAAAATGTTGTTACTAGATTTATTTTACAAAATGAACAAATACTGATTAGTGCTGGCTACAGAAAGTGCCTTCGCTTAGTTGTGGGGCAGATGGTCTCCCTGAGGCTGGAAGCCGTTCTCATCGGCGATGTAGTGCAGGGTGTAGGTCTGTCCATCGGGAGCCACCCAGCTGACGGATCCGCGGACACTGAGGGCCTCCTGGTCGGTGCCGGCGTTCTTCACCTCAGCCTGCTCCTGACGGGTGACTCCATCACTGGTTTCGTAACTAAAATTGAATGGGAGATTTAAGGTTCATAAATAGTTATTGTGTAATTTAAGCTTATGAATACTTTAAATAAATATTTTTTGAGTTGTCAGACTTAAACAAAATGTTTGGCTTTCAAAAGTCAATACACAAAAATATCTTAATACTTGCTGAATCATGTATTTCTTCAACTATTAACTTAATCCTTGTGCCTGAGGCAAGAAAATTGTATCCAATAAAAAATCATCACAAATTATACCATAAACACAAAGGGAATATTTTCCTACTAAATCCTCGTAGTAATCCATATGTAATTCCAGTGGTTACTCAACAACTTACCCAAAGTTGTAGCCATCGGTGCCGATGTTGTCGTTGTCGTAGCGCAGGATGGTGGCATGCTGCGAGTCATCCAGAGGAGCGGCACAGATCGAGGAAACCAGGACGAAGGCGAGGGCGGCCAGGAAGCAAATGCTTGAGGACTGCATGGTTATTTGGATGGGTTTCTTGGGATTTTGAACAGGATCTGTGAGGAGTTTGGGTTTCAGTTTGCACTGCACGCTCCGGTAGTTATCACAATTAGGCACTAACGAGTAATGTGGCGCCCTGTAATGAGTGTTGAGCTTTTTATAACTGGCCGGGCCAACTCTTCAAGTGTTGGCCAGCACTCACTCACACACACATTTGATCCGTGAAGTTGAGGTAGCCCATAACCGACACCTCAAATGCTAAACACAATTATCTACCCATACGCATATAATTGAAGGCAACTGTGTGTGCGAGCTTGAGGGTCTTAAGCTTTTAATTGAACAAGCCAAAAAATATAAAGACCATTAAGCGTCTGATGGGCGCTCGAGTCTCATCTCAATTGCCTCGCCACGGGAGCTGAAAGTAAAATCGCATTCGGAGATGATGGGGCAAGTGATAATGAAATGTTTGGGCCTCTTAAAAAACAAATATTTGGCCAATGCGCGTGTTTGTCTATAAGTACACACAGACACACTCTTAGCCAAACATTTGGATCTATGGCAATAGGTCAATGGCTATGTTTGCACCTATCAACAAATTGTGATGATGAAGATTAGCCAAGCCAAAATAATAAATGGGTTTGGGGAATAAAACTCCAAGAGAACTGCGCAGTCAGGAAGTGAAGACAGGTTGACTACTCAAAATATGTTCAGGAAATCAAGCAAAGAATTCATGGAATCGCTGTATTCCCATGAGCTTCACATTTAATTGCCCACACAATTAACACTTTATTTCTGCTTTTTTTAGCTGGTATTTCCTCTTAAAAGTAATTCTTCAATTGCTCAACTGCAGAGGTGCAAGTTGTTTGCTGATATCGAGGCATTTCCGCCATAAACTCTGGTAACTGCTGCTGACACAATTTCCGATTAAGGCTGGGCGATTTAACCTCCAAAAATCTCCAAATCGAATCGAATCGAAACGAAAACCTCCACAGCCATTGCTTGTCAGCTGCATTTGCTGTTCAAGTGAAGATGCGGCACGAGAGATTCAAGATTACGCGGCTCATCATCAACGTCATCATCATCGTCATCATCATCGTAATCATCTCCATCTACATCGTCAGCAGCCTGAGTGTTGGTTGATGACCTTAGTCAATAAAATAAAAACGATTTTTTACCAGCTAAGCAGACAACAAAAGCCAACACCAAGCTCAGCCGACTGAGGCTGGGTTATGCCCTACAATACATCGGGGCGTATGCGTAATGCCATCGCAGGTCATTTGCCGGCATTATAAATCACTCAGTAATGTGAGCCTGATACACAGCAAGAAGTAGGAAAATCTTAAAAAGTACTTGAAAATAATACAATATAATTGTGTTTATAGTTATTGAAACATATAAAAAATCATTTAATATATTGCATGTTGCTTTTAATTCCGATTTGTAAATAAATGTTCTCGTATTTTAAACTTAGTTTGTTTATTTAAATGTTTTCAACTTTAATGAACATATTTTGGATTTTTCTCTATGTAGGCAGACATGTCTAGGCTGAAACAGGACCGATTATTTTGCAGTTTACGATTGATAAATGACAAAGGCTTGGGTTAATTGCCTTAAAATGCCCTTTTTCCACGAAGTTCTCACTTTCGTTGGAAGCTTTGTGGCTTCTTTAATCGCTGTTTGCGTTTTTGGCAACCTTTGTTGGATGCTTTTTGGCGTTTATTGAACCGGTTTGGTCAGCTCCCGGAGATCGGAGATCGGGGAACGGGGGATGGGAGATCGCAGCTACTCGGTTACGGCATTCAGTCCGCGCGAAGAGTAAACGGGTTTGGAAGATACAAACGTATATGCTAATTCGCCTGCCTAGAATACAATTCAATTTCGATGGGTGAAAATTTATGCCCCGCCACAAAGCTATATACACAAATATGTCTATATCTTTTTATTATGTATTTAATTTCTATTGTCTGCCCGCCTCCTCCAGCTATTCGGTGGGTTTGAATTTGATTTTGTTTTTGCTTTTGTGTTGCGATGTTTTTTCTAACAAAGTTCAAAGCTATCACGTGATCAGTGCTCCACCTGCGGAAGATGTTCGCCCTGGGCCTGAAAACCGTTCTCATCGGCCAGGTAGTTGAGTTTGTAGTGGACGCCATCGGGTCCCACCCAATTGACGCTTCCCTGGACGGCGATTGCCTCCTCGGGAGTGCCGGGATTTTTCAGGGTGGCCTTTTCCTCGCGCGAAATCCCATCGCTCGTCTCGAATCTGCGGGGAAATGTCTTTAGGAGATTTGTATGCCGCACTTGGCCTTGACCCTGAACCACCTACTTACGAGAAGGCGTAGCCATCGCTGTCCAAAACGGCGTTATCGTAGCGCAATATCTGGGCGGTGGCATCGGCGGCATTTGAGGAGCACGCGCAGAAGCTGGCCAGGATTAGGCCCGTTAGGAGCAGTTGAAGCCCGGCCATCTGTCACCTGTCCTGTGCCGATCCGCGCATGCGACTAACTCGGATTGCGCAAAGGCCGTTCAATATATCCAAATCCACATGCAATCCATACCGATTCCGATTCCGAATCGGAGCCCAGCGCAAAACCCAGGCTAATTAACGGAGTGTGTAATAAAATGCGAATATCCAAATGACTCGAGCGGCAGCCAAAAAGCAGGCAAATCAAGTCCAAATGAAATTGAAAGCAAACGATTCGCAGCGAAGACGCTCCAAAAAGTTCAAATGGTGTTGCCTTAACCCTCTAAAATCGCCAAAGGCATTAAAAATATAAATTTTTTTGTTGGGGTCTTTTGCCCACTTAAATCTAAGCACTTAAAAGCAATGGGTTCTAAAATTAGGAGAAGCTAAGTGATGATGTTTTGACTGCATTTTTATTTTCAACTGCTTCAGAAATAATTTGTCAATAACAAAGAATATTATAATTGTTTTCCGTTTTTAAGAATTTATATTATTATTGTGTTTTTTTTTTGCATTAAAAAAACACTAAATACAAAAACTATTGAAATGGGCGACACCTGCAAAATTTTCAGCTTTAAATTTATTTAAATACAAAATGTTATTATTGATCTTCTATTAATATATCTTTTATGTGCCCAAATTATATTTCCTACCATGAAAAATTCAACTGTCACAGAATCAATTGTCCCGATGAAATCTTTTTTAAAGTGACATTGAAATTGGAAATGGCCATAAGTTTTTATTAGGCCGAGCATTTCGCCTGCACTTGAGCCAAATTCGGATTGACCCAATTCCCCAGTTTATTGACTATTTCTAAGCGCAACTAACGCAACTCATTGCCTGGGCCGGGCGCACTTTGTAGTTAATTTGTTGAAGACAAATGAAATCTGTGTATCTTGTCGCTGGGCAATCAATCAATCGCAAAATAGCGAGCCGGCCAAAAGCCGAGCCAAAGCCAAAGCATCCAGCAACTGGTTAGGTAACCAGTGTGGGTCAAAGGAAACGAAACGAGAAACTGGTTTGTCCCACTCCCACTCTCACTCTTCAGTTTTAGTGTCGTTTTTTTCGGGTCTCGTTTCTTTTACTCAGGTAATTGCCACTTACACGCATTGCATTACATGGCCCAAGGAGTATAAATTGGCCACTCGACGAGCGAATTACAATCATTGCCTGCAAGCTCCTCGAACCCAGCAGCACTCGAGTCAACCCAACACCACCAGTTCCAAGATGAAGTTCACCATTGCCATCGCCTTCGCCTGCCTGCTTTCCTGCGTCCTGGCCGCTCCACCAGCCAGCCAGCAGGATGCCCAGGTGCTTCGATTCGACAGCGATGTCCAGCCCGAGGGCTATAAATTCGCGTAAGTGATCGCCGACCAAATCGCCGGCTCCCCAGTTGGCCAACTGTGTCAAGGCCGTTCGCTAACTGGTTTCTCGTCTTTATCCCCCTTTCAGTGTGGAGACGAGCGATGGAAAGTCGCACCAGGAGGAGGGCCAGCTGAAGGACGTGGGCACCGACCACGAGGCCATCGTGGTGCGCGGATCCTACGCCTATGTGGGTGACGACGGCCAGACCTACACCATCAACTACCTGGCCGACGAGAACGGATTCCAGCCCGAGGGAGCCCATCTGCCCAGGGCCGTTCAGTAAACCAAACCGATGAAAGTCGCTCGCCAATCGAGTTCCAGCCCAGCATGAATGTGTTAACTATGTTTAAGACTCGCCGAAAAGCATCATATTAAAAAAAATTCATTCACTTCTAGAAAACGATTTTAATTGGGTTGGGAAAATTACCTAAAACTAGAACTTGAAAGCCCATAACTTTTCTTAGTGATGTTCGATTTTGGATTGGTATACCTCAATATGCTTGTAACAAAGTCCCTTAGGAAACTGCATTATTAGTTTGGTTTCGATTTTTGGGTCGATTTTTTTCACATTTTTATGATGTGAAAATGACGTCAAAAATGCGAAAAATGGTTTTCTAGGAAAATAGCACAAAACCAGCACATGGTAGCCCATAACTTTTCTAATTGATGTCCGATTTTGGATTGGAATACCTCAAAATGCTTGCGACATAGTCCCCTAAGAAACCCCTAAGAAACTTAGTTTGATTTTCAATTAAAAAAATTGCCGATTTCCAGATGCGTTTTTAGTTCCTTCTACTTGATCCATTTTTTCGCCGATTACAAAGTGAACGCATAATTCAACATTTTTATTTATTGCAAATGGTTGGAAATTTTGAGATTTCTGCAGATTATAAGAAACGCGAAGCACAACTGCACTTCCAAAAGGCTTAGAAAATTGTAAGAAGAATTTGTTGTGCCATATCTACCATATCTTTCATATTGTTTGTGCTTTGAACTTACCAATTTGTAGGATTCCAATGCAACGTTTTCAGGTCAGTGTGTTTTACTTTTTAACTTTAACACTTTTCTTTTGGATTTTAAAGTAAGAATAGGGTTTTATGGGACTTCCTGATTCTTGAGGAAATGCACTTGTGTATCGACAGCCAATTGTGAATATTTGAACGAAAACAGGCTTTCAATTCGATCCACCTGTGATTTGCGGTCTCGACGCTTCTGATGCTGCAGGGTGAGTTAGCCGTCCCACTCTGCCACAAAATATGAATACCCATGGATTATCAAAAATGTTTGGCTTGTTGTCTTCGACTTGGAAGCGATTGGATTGATTGATTCACGAAAAATGCAAATGATGATGATGAGGTATTTCCTAAAAACGGCGTCGATTTGTTTGCCTTAGAAGTTTTTGTTTTACGTTATTATTTGTGCCTTGGTATGGTTGTTGTGCTTTTTTCGTGTTGTTTTTGTGCGTTTTTCAAGCCAATTTGTTGGCTCCGGTGCTCGGCGTGTAATTAGTCATTTTTATTTTCGACTGACTTTTCTTCGATTGGCGGCCTCCGATCCGACTATATAAACGCCTGGACAGGGCCATAAACATCACAAATCAAGTAACGTTGACTACCCGTTCGGTCGCAAGTTCCCATCGAATCCTCTCAACCAACCAACCAACCACCAAAAACAAACCAACAAACACCATGAAGTGCACCATCGCCATCGTATTCGCCGCCCTCTTCGCCGTCGTCCTGGCCGCTCCCGCTCCCGATGCGGAGGCCCAGATCCTGCGCCTGGAGTCCGACGTCCAGCCCGAAGGCTACAACTTTGCGTGAGTCCCTAGAAGGCTTATCTAGAATTCATCCTGGATTAAAATTATACCCTATTACCATACAGTTTGGAGACCAGCGATGGCAAGAAGCACGAGGAGCAGGGACAGCTGAAGGATGTGGGCACCGAGCACGAGGCCATCGTGGTGCGCGGATCCTACTCCTTCGTGGCCGATGATGGCCAGACCTACACCGTCAACTACATCGCCGACGAGAACGGATTCCAGCCCGAGGGAGCCCATCTGCCCAATGTGCCCATCAGCAACTAAGCGGAATCGGATACGCTAACCGAGAGCTGTTCTATCTATAATGGTTTCTAGTTGATTATTAAATAAACGCGGCAAGAAAATCGAACTCCACCATCTCTGGTTATTTTTACTTTATTGGGTGGATGCAATTAAGTTGTCAAAAATGTTCTTTACAGATAAAGCAAATATCTCTCTTATTAAAAAAAAAAAAAAAACTTTTAAACGAACAAAAACAATTAATAAATTTAATTCTAAAAAAAGTCCTAATCATGAAAGTTTTACCTAATTTTCATATTAACCCATATAACTTATATAATTACATATAAAAGTTATTTATACATTCTAAAGAAAAGGAAATGTGGCATTTAACAATGAACAAGCTAATAAAGATAACTGATTTCTCAACGGGACTTAACGCCAACATTAAACCGAACCGTAGTATGCAAAAATACCTGAAATCGTTTCCATTTAACCACGCAATCGTGAATGCGATAAACACATCTCTTCAGCTTAATTTGAATGATATAAGATGCATAAAAAAAAGCTCCAAATTGCTCGAAAGATCAGCGACCGGTGGTCATCCTCCCCTTTCATTTCGTGCAGGCGCAGCCGTCGAATGCAGCCCTCTCCGCCGGTTGGGTGTGAATAGTTTGAGTTTGATGCGGCGACCAGTCCAGTTTGACCGGAAACAAAGCAAAAATAATGATGCGCTCATTATCGCCACCGATCTACATAAATATTAGCAGAACTCATTTGCAATCTGCCGAATTCAGTGCCACCTTTGACTTTTGCAGTTCGCGATTTTAAGCGTATAAAAGCCCCCGCCCAACTGCAATTCAGCATCAGACAGTCACAAGCTTTCTATCCAGCCTCAACATGAAGTTCCTCATCGTCTTCGTCGCCCTCTTCGCCCTGGCCGTGGCCCGCCCCAACGAAGTCCAGACCATCCGATCGGAGTCCGATGTGCTGCCCGATAAGTGGAGCTCCGCCCTGGAGACCAGCGATGGAACCAGCATCGACCAGCAAGGAGTCCTGAAGGATGTCGGCACCGAGCACGAGGCCGCCGTTGTCCACGGATCCTTCTCCTGGGTGGATGAGAAGACCGGCGAGAAGTTCACCGTCACCTACGTGGCCGATGAGAACGGATACCAGCCCCAGGGCGCCCATCTGCCCGTGGCCCCAGTCGCTTAAACTGTCCTCGATCACGAAACGAAATTTGTTCATTCAGAGACTAAATAAAATTGATTGTTAATTGCAAGTAATCGTAACGATTTTTATTCGGTTCTGAGAATTTCAGAAAAATCCAAGTCCTTGCGGGGATTTATTTTCTGTTTCAGCATCTAAATATGGATACTAGGGTTATTGAGCTGATGGCAGATTCTGCGGTTTTTATAGCGGCCAACTAGAAAAAACCGATTAAAAATTTGATTCATTTTGAAAAGCAAACGCTCATTTGGTAGCATGTACGCTAAAGAGCATTGATGGGATTATATAATAAACAGCCTGTATTTTTTTAAGAAATTGCAATACAAATTTAAGCTTTTAACATGATGGACACTTTAAACCATTTCAAATAATACGTTCGAATTATTTTGGTATATTTTTTCCCTGAATAAAACAAGATTAAAAGGAAAAATGAAGTTTATATGATTTTCTTTTGGATTTTGGGATTATTATAAGCCTTAAGATTTTTTGGACTATAGCTCTCAAATTCAATTCTAAGCATTGTCACAATATTAAAAATTTAGGATACATTATGTAAAAATACTTAACAGCTTATTCCTTAAATTAGGTTTTGAAACAGGTTGGTTATTCAATATGTACATATCTTTTAAATGAATTGCGTTTTGTTCTACTTTCATCTGCGACAAATAAATTTATATGTTGCAAATCAAATTATTTATTTTCAATGTCAAAGAAAGCTTACCTAGGGAAAGCTTAAGCTTATGTACTCTTAAAAATAAGAAAACAAATTTTTAATTGGTTTAACGAAGTCATTCAAGAACATCTTCAGAATGTATTATTCCAATTCGCGAGTCTTAATAAAGATTTCCAAGCAGATAATATATATTATAGAAAAAAAATGATATTTAATACTTTTTCTTGAGAAACTTTTTAGGATAACTTGACAAGGTTAATAATGATGTCTTAAGAACGTAGTTCATCTGCATACTCCAATTTAAAACTAGACGTACTCTGACGTATTAGTGCTTTTCTTAAAGTTAAACAAATGTGCAAATTTATAATACTTTTGCAAAGAGTATAAAATTATTGGCAAACTCATTTGCATTTCGCGAACTTCAATGCCAGTTTTGGCTTTTGCATTTTTGGCAATGTTTCGCGTATAAAAGCCCCCGCCCAACTGCAGTGGATCATCAGACAGTCACAAGCTTTCTATCCAGCCTCAACATGAAGTTCCTCATCGTCTTCGTCGCCCTCTTCGCCCTGGCCGTGGCCCGCCCCAACGAAGTCCAGACCCTCCGATCGGAGTCCGATGTGCAGCCCGAGAAGTGGAGCTCGGTCCTGGAGACCAGCGATGGAACCTCCATCGACCTGAGCGGACAACTCAAGGATGTCGGCACCGAGCACGAGGCCGCTGTTGTCCACGGATCCTACTCCTGGGTGGATGAGAAGACCGGCGAGAAGTTCACCGTCACCTACGTGGCCGATGAGAACGGATTCCAGCCCCAGGGTGCCCATCTGCCCGTGGCTCCTCTTGCCTAAACTATTTTAGGGACTTAAATAAATTGATTGTTTTGCAAAAAAATTTTATACTTTTTATTAATACTGGAACTAGCTAAACGGGAATCTTATAAATTTCTTTAAGTGGAACTTGTTGAACACACTGTCAATGAGCTTATCCAATAATATAATGTGGTCCAGTGCAAAATATGTATTGAATCAAATAATGCGGACAGCGTTTTGTTAGCCCCGGTAATACAAAAAAAATTAATTAAATTACATACCTACTTTTAAAACGGGACCCCCACTAAAGAGAACGTGGTTCATTTTAAAAATGTTTGTTGTTTATTTGAAATAAATCTGCACATATAAAACAAACTAAAAATGTTTCTTTTAAAAAAATATATAGTATTCAAAATAAAATATATATAGCGTTTAAATATGCCTAGAAAAAATATTTTAGGTCTTTTTAGTTTTTAATACAAATTTAATATCAATAAAAAAATGTTTTGTAGAGCTTATCTTTTCGGCAAATTAATTGAGGTATTGTTAAAGCACAATATAATTTTTATTTTTACACAACCACATCTAAAACAAGTCAAGTGCCACTAATGAGTTAAGTAACTAATTGGCTATAAAAGTTATATTTCAATTGTTTCAATTTCTTTAGCTACTTTTTTTCAATTAGTGAATATTATATTTTAATCAAAGGATATCTTTGCTGTTTCAGTAAAATTATTCCTTAAAATGCCTCCTCATGCATTACCCACATACTCAAAACTATTAAGTGAATACGTATATTACATTTTTTTTTAGCGATTTAAGTCCTTTACTGTACCCATACATTTCCATGCTTTCCTATGCAATATCTACTTACCTAAATTGATTTGCGCAAGCGATGAACTTGCCTTCTCTGACTATTTGAAAACATTTGCATGAACTTGGCCTTAGATGTTGTGTTAGCAAGTTGTTTCTATTGCGGATGCACTGGCCCAGCTGGTTTCGGCGACAATAGTTCGGATTCGGATTCGCTTTCAGCTTCAGTTTCGAGAGTTAAATTTGTTTTTGGAGTGCAGCTGCTGCTTTAGTTTCCAGTTTGACCGGAACAAACGCAAATAAATTCGCGATAGTATTGTCAAAGCATTAATATCCATTGGCATATTTTTGGCAAATTCGCTCAATGCTATCTCTCACCTTTGGCTTTTGCATTTCGCGATTCGCGAATCGTATAAAAGTCTCCGCCCAACTGCAGTGGATCATCAGACAGTTTCCAGCTATCTAACAAAGACCATTCAACATGAAGTTCCTCATCGTCTTCGTCGCCCTCTTCGCCCTGGCCGTGGCCGCCCCCAGCGACTCCCAGATCGTCCGATTGGATTCCGATGTGCAGCCCGATAAGTGGAGCTCTGCCCTGGAGACCAGCGATGGAACCAAAATCGACCAGAGCGGAGTCCTCAAGGATGTCGGCACCGAGCACGAGGCCGCTGTTGTCCACGGATCCTACTCCTGGGTGGATGAGAAGACCGGCGAGCACTTCACCGTCACCTACGTGGCCGATGAGAACGGATTCCAGCCCCAGGGTGCCCATCTGCCCGTTGCCCCCGTTGCCTAAGTTGTTGAAAAACTAAACGAATAAATCAAATTGCTTAAAACTTAATCACATTCTTTACTTCTGCTGGCAAAATGGAATGATTAGAAATTTTATAACACCCGTTACTCGAATTATTATTCGTACGCAGCGCGTCTTTAATTTAAATGGTTTGCACACTTACACGCCCACAAGCCGCGAAATCAATGGTTTAAACTTTATTAATTAATACACAGCGAATGACGTATTTAAAACTTGCCAGACATATTTTACGCCCACCATCCTCGTGCGCGTTTCAACGAAAAAGGTTTCGGAAGCTAAAAGAGTTCAAATATAGGGATTGAACATCCAGATTCAAATAATGGATACGCAATGAAAGAAATTTTTAAAAAGTTCCCTTTTTTACTGCTTCAAACTTAGAAAAACTTGTTGTTTCTACCGTTAACAATCTTTTATTAGAATCTTCATATTTGAATAATTTTGTAATTAAAACGAGATCACCCATGCTAACAAACAGCCATCTGATTTTTGGTCGCCAAAGCTCATCATTTTAAATCGTATTCATATTCAGTGGTTTTTTTTCCATAGGCATTTTTATTGTGGCTTATTGGCATTAAACTAGTTTCAGCAGATGTAGCGTCCAAATTCAGCATCGCCTATACGTATATAAATAGGCCGAAAATAGGCCTAAGCAGTATAGTAATCTTTGACTCTTCAACGATCTACAACGCCTTCAACATGAAATTCGCCGTCGTCCTGTTCGCCCTCTTCGCCGTGGCTCTGGCCGCTCCCGCCGAGGTTGAGATCGTGAGGCAAGCCTCCGATGTCGGACCCGAGAACTTCTCTTACGCGTAAGTTACCGAGAGCTCTTCCAAAGGATACAAATTCTGACTCCTACTTCTCATCTTCTCAGCTGGGAGACCAGCGATGGCCAGAAGGCTGATGCCGCTGGTGAGCTGAAGAACGTTGGATCTGAGAACGAGTCCCTCGCCGTCCGCGGATCCTTCTCCTTCGTGGCTGATGATGGCCAGACCTACACCGTCAACTACATCGCCGACGAGAACGGATTCCAGCCCCAGGGTGCTCATTTGCCCGTTGCCCCCGAGGCCTAAGTTTAAGGTGTTGAAATAAATTGTTTATAAAAAAATTCAAATATTATTTTTCTTGGAAAAAAAAATCGGGTTGGAGACGTAAGAGTTATAGCTGGTGGATACGTTGGATATTAGATTCATTCAGCTTACGCTGCGCTCCTTGGATTAAGCATTTAGCTTAAAACCAATCGCTTAAATATATTTTCCATCTACGGCATCTTGGAATTTAAAACATCAACTGGGATCACATCATGGCTCTTTTCGAGCGCAGCTTAACATAAAACATTTAATTTTATTTGCCTTTGTCCAGCGTTACTACACCATCCAATACGGCCATCAAATAAGTCCTATACATTGAAGTACATCATCATTCTGTTGAGCTGATTGGATTTCACCCAAAACATGTATGATAACAATATGATTTTGGACGCTTGGAGTATGGTAAAGAAACGGAAACTTAAAATAACATTTGAAAAATTCTTTTTTTTAATTTTTCAATTACTTAAGAAAAAATTCTCATAAACCGAATAATGTTTTTACTGTCTAGGATTAGAATACGTGGTTATTTATTATACTTTTAAGAAAATCCAATTTGGGCGTTTGGCATAGATTTCACAATATATTACTATATTCTTTCGAAGCAGTTAAGAAGAATTCCGACTCGATGAAGTACATCTTGTATATATTGCTATCGGATGGCTAAATATTGTATTGGTGGCATATAAATGATGTTGAAATGAATAGAAAAATTTAAATAGCTAAAAATAGTCTATTATCTAAAGATGTAAATGATGTTGACCTTTTATTGGCTTTAGTTTCAACTGAAAGTGTATATAGGCTTCGTATTTCCAAAGTGAGCTTCATTTTCTTGTTTTACATTATAGGTTTTTTACTTTCAGTTGGTATAAGTTGATAAGTTGATAAATGTTCTTTGTTCTTAACTAGAGACCACACCCCACCACTTTGATAAAAGGAACCAAGCCAAAGAGTTTTTTTTATAAACAATTTATTTCAACACCTTAAACTTAGGCCTCGGGGGCAACGGGCAAATGAGCACCCTGGGGCTGGAATCCGTTCTCGTCGGCGATGTAGTTGACGGTGTAGGTCTGGCCATCATCAGCCACGAAGGAGAAGGATCCGCGGACGGCGATTCCCTCGTTCTCAGATCCAACGTTCTTCAGCTCACCAGCTTCATCAGCCTTAATGCCATTGCTGGTCTCCAAGCTAAGAAAATGAGAGTCAGAATTTGTATTCTTTGGAGAAGCTCTCGGTATCATACCTGTAGGAGTAGTTCTCGGGTCCGACATCGGAAGTCTGCTTCAGGACCACAGCCTCGTTTTGAGTGGCGGGAGCGGCCAGAGCCACGGCGAAGAGGGCGAACAGGACGACGGCGAATTTCATGTTGAAGGCGTTGTAGATCGTTGAAGAGTCAAAGATTACTATACTGCTTAGGCCTATTTTCGGGCTATTTATAGTCGAACCGCTTCAATCTTTATTGTTGCCCACATGCGTCACAAAGGCCTAAACTAGTTAAAATTCGGCAACGTGAGGATGGAAACTAGTTGGGCCTACTAATTCGAACTTATGATCGATTTACATGATAATTTAAACGAGAGCATTAACATAGGAAAGCCTTAAATAACATTTTTTTCTTTGGATGCCCAAAATGCAAGTGCAGATGTGGCATTGTTTACTATTGTGGGCTATATACATTTTTGGACTATCTTGTTAATTTTATCGGGTGTTTCTCAATTAATGTAGACAGATAATTAACACCACCCGACCTCAGATAGAGCCAGTCAAATCGAGCTGAAAACTTGACTTAAACTGTTAATTGCATTAGCCACTGATTTGATAGCGGCTGTTGCAATCCTATAAAAGGCATCGCAAGTTGTGCAATCCAACAGTTAGAATTTGTGGAGTCCCAAGAACCTTTAAGTAACAACCTCCAGAGATGAAGACCATCCTCGTGTTCGCCTGCCTTTCGATGGCCTTGTGCCTGGCAGCTCCTGCCCAGGAAGCGGAGATCGTCGAGCAGAAGTCGGAGGTCAACGCCGATAGCTACAACTACAGTTTCGAGACTAGCGATGGCACCAAGCAGGAGCAGCACGGCACGGTTAAGAACCTCGGACCCGAGGAGGAGGCCCTCCAGGTGGCAGGATCCTACAGCTACGTCGGAGACGACGGGCAGACCTACTCCATTACCTACGTGGCCGATGAAAATGGTTTCCAGCCGCAGGGCGAGCACATTCCCCACCTTTAAATCCTTTTCTGGATGCTTTGCGAAAAATCTAGTGACAGATTTGTCCAGCAATACTTTACACTTAGAGAGAACAAACTAAAACATATATAGATAATATTGTAAATAAAAAAGGTTTGCGTTAAAATGTATAAAATGAAAAACAGAAACTGAAAGAACCACAAGTGAAAGATATTTTGTTCGAGTATCGAAAGTTCGGCTTTAATGCGAGTAACAAGAAAATAGAAAACAATGCACGACACTGACTTGACTGACTGATCGACTTACTAACTGACTGACCGACTGGCTGCCACGGGACAAGGGACAGCTCCTCCGGACAGGATTCAGCACCTCACTCTATGGCCGGGTTCTTGATGGTGGCGGGGTGTAGCTATATGTTATTGCTTGGGATCGGGGATTGGTATTTACACGATCGCCACGGGAGCGCCATCCTACTTGGGCAGGTGGGCACCCTCCGGCTGGAAGCCGTTCTCGTCGGCCACAAAGTTGATGGTGTAGGTCTGGCCATCGGGAGCCACCCAGCTGACGGATCCCCGGATGGATATCGATTCGTTATCGGTGCCCGCGTTGTTGACCACGCCCTCCTCCGTGCGACTGGTGCCGTCGCTCAATTTATAGCTGAACTTGTAGCCGCCGAGGCCAGTGTTCTCCGATTCGTACTCCAGAACCTCGACATCGTTTTGGGGCCGGGCACTGGCCAGCGCCAGGAGCAGGGCCACCGAGCCAACGACTAGCATCTGCAAGGCGAGAGGTTAAGTATCCTTTTCTAATATCCATTCATCCCTGCTGCTGCGAGTCCTACCAATTTCATCATGTTGAGCGGTTCGCGGATTGCAGATTCCCCGTATGCGGCTGGACAAACTGGCGGTTGTCTAATGGTGGCATTGCAGCGCCGTCCACTGCATTTTATACTGCACCGCAGCCGCATTTGCAAACGTCATAAATTTGCACAATTGCCGAAGAAGCCAAGAAGCCAAGCGGCTCGACTTCTCTGGCGGTCGCCGGCTAAATGTTTTTCTCTATTTTCATTTTTTTTTTCCTATTTGTTTCGTCTTGTTTTTCAATTGCCAGCGTTGCACCGCCAAAGTCGCTGCGACAAGTAACATTTAAAGCGGCTTAGTGCAGCAGCGTGCTCATCCGAAAGGTATTACTTCTCGTCACCCACACTCGAAAAAGCGGACTTCTAAAAAGGTTGATGAATAACCTTACCATGCCAAACATTCTTATGTAAATTTGTAATTGATTTCATAATAAAAAAATAAATAAGGAAAATATTTATATGACTATAAAACTATTGGTAAAGGAGTTGCATATACTACTCCACCTAAAAAGGTATTAGGTATTAATAAGTACGTTACCCCCTGGGACTTTACAAATTTAAAACAAATTTTAACAAAACCCTGCAGTATTTTAACTTCGTGTAGCGTACTGATATACACAGATTACTTCGAACAATTAACTAGGTCGAAGCAACCATATTAAACAGCTTTTTCTCTAAGTGCCGGGTAACCGCTTTAGAAAACTCGAAAAAGTTCATGATTCAAGATGATGCATTGGGGAAAAGGTCGCCGGCTGATTGGGCAGCTCCGAGGAAATACCGGGCCAAGAACTATGGGAAACACAGTAACCAGAACTGCTGGGTTCGATCTTAATGAACCGAAATCGAAGACGGCCATAAGCGATGAGGCGGAGAGACTAAGTTCAAGTGCTGTCGTCGCCAATTGGCAGGGCAGCAAGTTCAAGCCGCAGACACGAAGAACACGAGCTGTGAGCCATGTGTGATGGCCAAAGTGCACGGCGGATGGAGCTTCGGATGGAGATGGAACCGCAGGTTGACTTTTGGCATATGCAACGGCCTTTACAGCGCTCGATTGATGTGCCTGCCCGGTAACAAGCGCCAAAAGCAGTTGGAAATGTATAAAAAATACAAAAAAAAAAACAACAACAGCGAGCGTAAAAAAAATACATCGAATAACCTACAACTACGGCTCACATGCAATTTAAATCTCTGACTTTTGTTGTTTTTCTTTTCAGTCGTTTCAGCCGTTTCTGTTTGCCAATTTATGCCACCTTCGTTGACCGCTACAGGCCGGTAAAGAAGAAGCCTCAGCAGATCGGATCTCGGATCTTCGAAGCCGGTCAGTCGGGTTTTGGCTTTGGTCATCGGTCGGCCTCTGATTGACCACGGTTCTGCTGCCGCAGCCTCCTCCACTCGAATTGTGCCAACAACTTTATTTACGGCCCATCGGCAGGGTGTTGTGCATTGATTTTGGCATTTCCTCAAATGCCGCCTAAATGCACAGCTTCTTGCCCGATTCTTAGGCAGCTGCAATTTGACATTTTGACATTTTTCACTTGATTACTTAACTTCATTTGATTTAAGCTTAGCCAAATGAGCTTGATTTTTATCAAAGAATAATTATTACTTTTAGAGTCCATTAACAAATAATATTTAATTGAATTAAGGCAAAGATGTAGTATAAAGATTTAGTTTTCAAAATCGAAATAAAAGTTTTCCATTGGGAATTTTTATAGTCATTGCCATTGAGCAAAATGCCATAAATGACAATATTACGATAGTGCGAAAATTATGAATTGAACAGAAATGTCAAAGTAGCACTTTTGTGCTTAATTGACAGCAAATTGAAAATATGTAAATTGTATTATCGTAAAAAAGCTATAAGTCATAAAACTGTCTTATGGATTGTTTTATTTTAATTATCTTTTGTAAAGAAAGATTGAGAGACCATGTTTGTATATAGAACCGTGGTTTTAAACTCTTTTAAGTCCAAGACAAAGTCATTTCTTTAACTTAAGGCCCAAATTAATTAGGTTGTCCGCCTACGAATTGAACTTGAGCTGGGGGCATTCGAGGCCCTTGAAAATGGATCCAATTCCATTCGATTCGTGACTGCATAATATACATTATTTGGGGCTCTTTCCGCTGCTTTTCGAGGGCATCTGCAGCGAGCTGCATTTATCATGCTGGATTTGCATAATTAATCTGGCTTTGATCGATGGCTCGGATCGATTGTCTTCGTTTACGGGGGCGTTGTCATTCGATGAAGAGAATTCAACGAGTTTTGGCGGATTTCTTCCTTATCGTTAGGCTGCGTTTCGCCGGTATCGATACAGCATCATTTACATAAGTGTTCTAATCAAGTGGCGATCGACAGGTTTTTCAGCTTTGATAACTTCTTGCTCGGACGACTGTCGCTTTCGATACACAAATTCAAGATGCCCGATGCCAGACAGATACAGATACAGATACCGATACAGCCGAAGATACAATAGATACTTATGTAGATGCGTCTTCACATTTACGTCTTCAAGGTCAGCGCCAGTTGCTGGCTGGCTGGCCGTCCGTCTCTCCGGCCATCTGCCCGCCAGTCCGTCCGTCCAGATGTCCGTCGCCCATTCAGCTGCCGTTTTGGCCCGGCTTTCGTTCGTTGCCAACTCGCCGCACGCACCGCGCTCAAAAAAACTTGGCCAGACCGGCTTGAATTCGGTTTTTGGGGACTCGGCTGGTAGGAATCGAACTCGGTTTCGGGTTTTTACTTTTCGGTTTTTGCCCATTTTCACGTTTAGCTCGGCTTTGCTCATTTTTTTGGCCGCCGCATCAACTGGGTCTGCAAAATTAGCACTTGAGCGTTAATGGCAATGTTTTAATAGCAGGGCCCGCGACCCCCACTCCTCCTGCTGGCCATATTTTTAGTGAATATGTAAATGTCACATTGCTGTTGTTTTTTCATTTCTTTTTTATCACTTCGACCACTGGTTTCGTAATATTTGCATTTGGCTAAAAACACACAAATAACAAAACGGTTTTAGAAATACTTCTGCTGACACCTGACATTAAGAATCGTGCGTATAATTTAATTTTATAGCAGGCTTTGACTATTTTTGTTTTTTGTGGCCGGAATGCAACGCATCTTAAGTCCAAAAAAACGCTGACGCAAAGATTGATTGCCGTGAATAGTCATTAAAATTTGTGTTTGTTTATCTCAGCAGGTTTTTGATTTCAGTAACCAGAATATTTTATCAGAACTTTTACGAATATTTTTTCAATGCAAGCCAGTTTTGGTATTTTTTATTCATAATAGTATTTGCCACTATTAACAAATTTGTGATACATACAAATTGTTTAGAATAAAATAATTAAGCTTAGGTTTAGCAAATACAAACAACTCATTCACGCCACAAATCAAATGACTTAAGCAAAAAACTCGATTTTAATATTTGTTGAACTGTCATTTAGGTATACTTTTAGGCAACAAAAATACCTTTTTTAAAGCTTAATAATGTATAACAAATAAATTAAAGTTTATATAAAGCTCTGAAAATTTTAACAAACAATGAAATACTAAAAAAAAAATGTTTTTATTAAAACCAAATATTTTTACGCTGTTTAATAAAATACCAAAATAAAATTTTTTTGACTGAAGTAAAATAACAAAAAAAAAAAAAGTAAATTTTATTTTACCATCACATACTTTTAGGAATTATTAAATTCATATAACAGAAACTGAATTTGGGTAGGCATAAATAAATATGTTTCATTTAACTATGCATCTTGACTTCGATTGGTAAGCGAATAAACATTTTTTAAATGCATGTAAATTTATGCTGGTACAAACTTGTATGTCTTCTCATCATGTGTGGTAAACTCTTTGCAATAAATAACAACGCTAAATTCAAATTTTGAGTCGAACTGATTTCTTACATTTGTTTGTTTTTAACACCCTCAATAATTTCATACTCCTTACTTATAAAAACTTAAAGCACTCTCAAAATCCATTAGGGGCCTTTGTCCATCATTTTCTCAATCACCATGATTTTATGTAATTTGCTTGCATATTGTCAACACAAGTTCCCTTGCACAACAAACCAGTTTTCAAAGTGGTGGTGATTTCCGATCGATTGTTTTTATTGCTGGCAAATTCAACAAATCAACTTATATGCTAGCCTAAAACAGCTGTCAAACTGTTGTAATAAATTCGTAATAGTGGAAATGTTCTCTTGGGTGATTTAACCTGCCAGAGAAGCAAGGGATTTTCCGGACAACTTGCGCACTTTCAGACCCTGTTCACGGGAGGGACGGTGGTTCTTGGCCAGGTTGTTGGCGTTCTCCAAGTCTTGAGCAGCCGAAGTACCGCTGAGAACCTTGCCAATTTCATCCCGGAAGGTTCCATCCGGAAGGGTGTAGCTAAAAGGAGGAAATATTGCAATAAGTCATTTTTCAATTCAGATATAGTAATCAATACAGTAATAGGCTTAGTTAGAAATAAAACAATAAAACATAATACAATAATAATACAGTACAAAAAAAAAATTTTGTATGATTTCATATTTGTAAGAGTTTAAGTTATTTTTTTATTATTTTTATAATGTACTCATCGCCTCAACATTGCATCTTTCAACTTGTTAAACCTTTAAAATGGTTTAAAAGTTACACAGTAATAAACCGCGTAGTTTATCAAATCAACGTTTATCAAATTCCAAAACCCACATTTTTAAAAAATTTTTCTTTTTCTGTAAAAGGGAAAACCTACTTGAACTCGTATCCCTCGCGGGTCGGCGTGTAGCTGAACTGCTCCAGGTTGACTTCTCCCAGTTTGATGTCGATCACAGTGCCAGGTGGAAAGGAGGCGTAGTTGAAATTGGCGCCAAACAGGACAAAGGCCACCATCAAGATTAGAGCCTGCACCAGACTATTGTTTATATTCAGACCCTTGCGAGTCTCCTTTTGGCCATGGCTGGTGCTATTTTCCAACGGTGAAAATCCCATTCTGAATCGTTAGTTGGTGGCCTCTGGAGAAACACGAGTCTGGAAAAACACAACTGGCAACCAAGGCGGCTGGGAGCTTAATGAAGCGTCTTCTTCGAGGCCACTGGCATAAGACACCTGTGGGTCCATAATGAGTTGTTGGTCCAAAACAAAATGGGCATCACAAAATGCTGAGTAAGTTTCGAGCGAAGTAGCGGGTTGCCCAATTCCTCGACGCTGAATTGAGATTTGCATAACGAAAGCAAAAGAGTTCCACGGTTCACGCCACAAATTCGGTGTCGACTCTCAAATATGTGCATTACATTTCAAACGGCATCAAATTGGAAAACTAATCAGCCGAACCCACGAAAGAAAGTCTGGTTTTGCCAAGTAATGACTGGTGTATACCCTACCCAAATACAAATTAATGTCCTAATAATAATAAGGTATTTTTTCAAAACTTAATAATAAATAAAAGCTTATGTTTGTCTGCACTCAAGTTAAAAATGAATAAATAATCATATTTAAAAATCACTTAAATTGTTGGTAGCTGTTTGTAGTTAAAATCCAAACTTAATTAATTTAATTTTGTAAATCAAACTCATCGAAATAGTTCAAGAGCCCCAAGGGAAGTAGAGAAATGGTAACCCATTATTATGCTTGAGATGTAGCAATCTGTTCATCTCGAAATGATTAAAGATTAACGAGCACGCCTTAGCTCATCTAAGCTTTTTCTAGCCAAGTCTGCTACCACGAAAAATAAGAGCTTTCAAGCCACGCTTAATACACTGATAAATTATTCGGTTTTTTAATTATCTATCACAATACAAAGAAAGATGTTTTATTAGCTCTTATCCGGTTTGATTTTGTGGGCCGTAACATAGGGCTGGAAACCGTTTTTGTTGGCCTTATAGAGGACCTGATATTCATAGCCATCGGCCGAGATGAAGCTATATCCACCTTTATACTCTATAGGCTTTGGGGTTGTCACTTCCTTGGGGTTTTGATCCGTTTCCGGTCTGACTGTGTATGTTATAGCCTCATTCCTCTGCTGACCATTTTCTGTCTGGAAGCTGCGTGTGGAGAAATGGTATAAATACCTTATGTCACATGAACTTCAGTAACCTTACCCGAAGTGGAGCGCCTCCTCTCGTTCGCCTTTCTCTAGAGCCGCCGATGAAACCAAAGCCGCCATTGCCACTACTAACAAAATTTGACAAAACTAAAAGGCAAAAATAATAAATAACAAAATATAATTCGGAAATAAATCATGCGCTCAAGTACCCACCAATTTCATTGCAACGTTTGTCTTTCAAAATAGTATAATTAAATTTAAGTGATGCTGAGCACTCTGGAACTTAGTTCTTGTCAGTTTCGTTGGCGGATTTCAACTGAAGATGTTCTGCGGGATGAGCAGAGCAGCCAAAATAAGTTTGAAAGATCGGAATAATGAAAACAAATATCTGCGCAGCCAGCTATTTAACAGTGAGTCGTAGCCCGAATGGGATTACGTCATTGTATATGGCCCAACTTTTGTTCTAAGTGGCTAAAGAGACCCAAAAAAGAAAGGTGATTAATAAAGTCAAGCCCCGAGAACTAAGAATATTGCATACTCTTCTAGCATTTTAACTTCAAACATGGATTTATGTCCCACATAATTAATTTATTATTAAATATTTTATAAATCTAAATTTACAAAATAAATTTTAGTTGTAGGTATAATAATGTCAAACTTGTTAAAAAACTTTAAATACTCCTGCAAATTAGTGTAAATTTCACAGGTATTTATTTTGACTTCATTTAATTTAACGATTCACTCAAAGGCTTCAAAACAGAACATTATTAGGTATATTTTAGTACCTACACCTTGATAAATTTGTTTTTACTGAGAAGACAAATTAAAACACACATTTGTTATTGATACTTTAATTCTACAAAAGCGATTATTTGGTGAGTCAGCCCGAGTAAGTAAGTTGGCAAACACATTATTTTAATATTCGCGATAGAACTCATTAAATAGCGGCGACAGTTGCTCAGATTCCCGCGCGTCATCTCATATGGAGGCTGTCAGCGAGGGCCAGTGGCCAATTTATCAATAGACCTCATCGGAAAATGTTTATTTAAGCGATATGAGGAACTTAATCGGCCAACCCTCGCGAAATGAACGCAAAATCGCAATCGGATCGTTCCGCTCTGTCAGAATTCGCTTTATGAACAAATGCGAATGCGGGCGTGGAATATGTGCCATCGGTGCGTGGCTAACTGGAAACCAAAAGCCGAGCACCATGGACCAAGGACCAAGGACCGACAATTGTTGGTTTATGCAGCCGGTGCAGCCAGGTCCTCTCCGGTCGGTGGTTGCTTGGTTTCCTGCAGCCCTGCACAGCCCACAGCTGACGGCCGGAACAGGTTCACTAAATCCACACCACACTACAATCCACTCCGCTCCATTCGGCGATCCCGAATCCTGGGAGCGCGTCAGCTGTGCGCCAGCACATTACAAGTAGGACAAGCTGCAAACGACATTGCCATTAGCTCGGCCTTTTCCTCGGTCCTTCGAAGGGGAAGGTTCTATATTAGCGGCATCCACGACTGGCACAAGCCGAGCTACCAAATGATAAACACACACAACAGCAGCCGCAAAGGAGTAACAATGGTATTAACCGATATAATATTGTTGGTAAATTAAATATTGAATTGATAATGAAAATTTTAAATGTTGCTTAACTACAAATTTAACATTAGCAAAGCCTTCGCATTGAATTTAAATAATAAAAACAGAAAGCATTTATTACAAAGTTTGTTTACTTTTTTATAAGAAACTAACAACAACATAAAACTGAGAAGAACAAATATAAAAAAATATCTTCTTATATATTATTAATAATTAAAGAATGCTCGTACACTATATTTCAAAGGCCTCACTAAGTAATTGATGGGCATAAATACATTTAATTATGTAGTTTAGCATATTATCTTTCACTTTAATTAGCCATATTCAATTCTCCCAATTTTTTCTCAAACTTATACCACTGTACCCATGCTGGCAAAAAGTTAATAGACGATTGACTAAAGCCTACATCCCTGCCGTTGTACTTGGGTGTTGTGCTCGATGGTCCTGAGTCCTGAACGCTGAGTCCTGAATCCAGGTCTTAGCACCCCCTGGCAACAGGCAAAGTGCATTAGGCAAGGGATCTTGCGGGGATGAGATGGGTTTTTTTCTGGGTTGGTCATGCAGGTGTTGCTCGATCCTGTTGAAAATTGCTTTTGAATTAAAAGTTTTTGCTTGTGGCCGGGCGGGTTTTGTTGTTTTTAGCGATTAGCCGAAGGGGTGAAGGCATCGAGATTGCACACTCAATTTATTAGCGCTTTGTCAGTCTTTCAACTAATCGGATGGCTGTGGGTAATTCTGCACTTGCACTTGCAATGGCCCAGTTTCTGGTTCTGTTTTCGATTTCATTGCGTCTTTTCAATTCCAATCGGAAGCCGTGGCACGTGACTGTTCCTCTGGGGTCAGGAGTTCGTGGTCAAAACCACCTGTGGCTGGTCGTATAAAACCCCACAGTCGTTGACCACCAGCCACAGTTTGAATTCGAGATGAGACTGACCACTTTGCTCGCCCTGCTTTGTTTCGCCTTCGGCTGCATTTGGGCCCAGCCGGCGGGTTATCCGAATGCCCGTCCGCCGCCGGCCACTTATCTGCCGGCCAAGCCACCAGCTCCACCACCTCGTCCTCCTCCGCCGCCGGCCAATAGCTACGGTCCCCCCAAGAACGGCAATGGAAAGCCACCACCTGCTCCGCCCAAGCCCAACAACAGTTATGGGCCACCACCGAAGAATGGCAATGGAAAGCCTCCACCCGGAAACGCTTACTTGCCACCAGGCAACGGCAATGGAGGAGGCGGAGGAGGCGGTGGTGGCGGGGGAGGAGGTTCGGGAGGCGGCGGTGAGGATATACCCATCATCAAGCTGGAGTCCAAGGTCAACACCGATGGTTCATATATGGTGAGTCAGACTTATACTTAATAATATTATATCATCTTACAAAATGGTATGCCACTACAACTATTTTATTAATATTTACTTCGGAACTTTGTTTCTTAAAACAAATTGGTTTCCTTCAATAATTGCTTTTAGTTGAATCTTTAAATTTAAAAACCTTTTTTATCAACTATAATTTTAGTATGAATACGAGACGGGAAACGGAATAAAGGCCGAGGAAATGGGCTACCTGAAGAACCCAGGTGTAAAAGGAGCGGAGGCACAGACGGCTGAGGGATCGTTTTCGTACACCAGTCCCGAGGGACAGGAAATCATGGTGACCTACATTGCGGACGAGAACGGATTCCAGCCACAGGGCGACCACCTGCCCACACCGCCACCCATTCCCATCGAGATTCAGGAGGCGCTGGACAAGATAGCCGCCGGTGGAGGATGCCATGGATGCGATGACAATGAAACCGGGGGCAATGATGATGACGGTGGAGGTGGCAATGGCTATGTTTACCGACTAAAGTAAAGAATTCAGAATTATATTCTTAAGGGATTTGATCTCAATTAATAATCATTATATTAGTTATAAAATATTTTATCATTGTATCATTTTATAACATATCTATCTAACACTCTCAATCTGAAGTTTCAAAGTTCTACAATTTTCATTAAATACTCTTGCTTGCAATGGCTAATTAAAATGCTTTAAATAAAACCCTTGGCGGCCTACTTATTCAGGACTAGCAAACACCAAGCCGGAATTGGTCCTGGCCTGGTACACCTTGCTCCTGGCTGGCCTGGTGTGTCCTTCTCCACCATTCCAACCCTTGAGCAGCAGCAGGAGCAGAGCGTCGGCTGTGTGACTGGCAACACATGTTTTTTCCCCGCTTGCCAATCGCCCGACCAAATTTATCCTGTTGATCGCTCGACGAGGGGTGTCCTTGAGGGGAGGGGGAAGCAGCGGTTCTGTCGCAATAATGAAAACATTAGCCTCGTAGCATATTTGTCAGCCAGCAGGAGCGGAGCGGGAATGAGTGCGGGTTCGACTCATACAAAAAGGGCCGCTTTATGTAAGCATAATTAAAAATCTATTCTTAATTAAGATAAAAGCAAAATAAATGTCTGGTAATATATTAACAAATTGTGATTAATTTAGAAATGTTGAAATCTAGTAGCTAAAAATTTAGTTAAATTATGTAGTTTTTTTTTTTTTTTTTTTTTTTTGTCAGCTATACATAATTTTAAATATATAAATATAAATAATATAATATATTAATTGCTCATAATTTCTTTTTAAAAAATATTTAAAAATGTTTATAAAATGTATTCTAATACTCAAAAGTTATATTAAAAAACCTTTGCATTCCCTTTTATTAATTCTACCATCTAATTAACACCTTTGGGCCCAAACCTCCCCGCGATCCGCACCACCGACGGAGCCACCAACCGCCGAGAGCAGAAATCACGACCCACCCCAAACCGCAAATAGTGAAACGATACACGCCAATATATTATGGCATTAGCATTATAGTGGAAGACATCGGGGGATGGGGAAAGCGTCATAAGGAGGGAGGGACCATGGGCGAAATGACATTGACGATAGCGAATGCGATTTGTATATGGTGGCATTACAACAACAACAGCACAGGGGGAAGTAACAACAAACGATCGTTTAATTTCAATTAAAAACATTTTCCTTGTGCGCAGCCCAAAAGCCAAAAATAAAGGACTCCGTGGCGGAAAATCGGAGGTGGAGGACCTTTTGGATTTTTGGGCACAGGAATACGCACACTTGCTACAGGCCGCTTAGCTTGGCTTAGTGCTCTGGTGATTGCGAGGACATGATGTTGCACTTGCCGAGCAACCACCAGGACGCCGCACCAGGACCTCGCAAAAGGGATGCCAAATGAGGTGGGGAGGTGGGGGGAGGAGGTGAGAGTGGGTAGTGGGTTGGCTACGGACCATCATGATACCGAGGGTTGAGCCCGCAAAGTGCGTAGCTATGTCGAGCCCATAGCCGGTGCCGGACTGGATTCTGGATTCTGGGCTGGGAATTCTTGCACTTGCCGCCAGCCGTTGTGTGCTATTGTGACACTGCAAGGCCGTGGCAAATCCAAATCCAAAAAATAAGGGAGCAGGATGCGGATGCGGCGTGGTATAAAAACGCCGGCCGGCTTCCAATTGGGACGCAGAATCGAATTCGAACGCGCACGATGCACACGACAGCCCAACTGGATAGTCTCGAGCAGAAGCGCTCGGCCAGCCTGATCTTTCGGATCGAGCAGCTGCTGCCCACCACCAGCATCTCGCCGAGCACCATGACCACCGCCACATCGACGGAGACCAGCACATTAACACCCACAACGAGTTCGGCGAGTCCTGCCAAGCGGATGAGGAGTAATCCGCGACCAGGTGTTTACACCGCGCAATACACGCCCAAGGATACCTGCTCCATGGCCATTCCCACGTCGGCTCTGCTTGGATCCTCGGCCACGCCCACGGATGCAGGACGCTTCCACTGCCAACTGGCCAACGGCGAACTGATCGTGACCGCCTCCCTTCTGCGCCAGATTAAATTGTCTGAGGATGTGTACAGCTTTAATGCCATCTTCGAGCTGCACGGCGGTCAGGTGAGGGTTCGCCTCGTGAGGGATGTGGCCAGGGAGGACGAGATCGTGGCTTGGTTTGGAGAGGAGCTGGTTCTCCTCATGGGCATTCCCTTTCTGACGCCTCTTAATATTCAAGGTAAGCACTAAAAGCAATATAAATAAATTTGAAGAAATACTTTGCTTTAAGTTAAATTGAGTTAAATTTTTGAAGTCCAAGTTTACAATCAGAATAATGAGAAAAATATTGGAACTCTGATATAATTATTTAAAAATATAAAAATTTAAATCGTAGAAAAGAAAAGTACAAAATAGAATACAACTTATATTAAGTAATGCAATAATAATTAACAAATATTATTAATGCTTTTATCCGTAAAGAAAATATTAAATTAACCTCTGTATTTATTTTTCTAATTTCAGGAAACAGTCGCTACACGTGTCACCTGTGCCACCTGACCTTCGAGACCCCACATCCCCTAAAGATCCACTTGGCCCTGGGTTGTGGTCGCAGTGCCATGGACATCCTCTGGATGCGATTGCACTACGCCCTCAAGGCGGCGGTCCAGAGCCAAACGGCGGCTCAACATTCACCCATTCCGGCGGCATCGTCCACTTCGTCGGCCTCGCCCACCCACTCGCCACCGCCGCAGATGCCACCCCGTTTCTCCGCCTTCCGACCGATTGCTGCGCTAGCCCAAAGTTTGCCCATGGCAACGGCGACCACGACTGCCGGCACTCTATCCTATCTGCCCTCCATTTCGATGGCCACCGCTCCTCTGTCCGCCCATCCAATGAACGCAGCCGCCCAGATCGAGGCGATAGTCAGTAACATGGGTGCCTCCAAGCAGGGCCACCTGTGCATCTACTGCGGCAAGGTTTACTCCCGAAAATACGGCCTGAAGATCCACATTCGCACCCACACAGGATTCAAGCCGCTGAAGTGCAAGTTCTGCCTGAGACCCTTTGGCGATCCGAGCAATCTGAACAAGCACGTGCGGTTGCACCTGCAAACGCATCCCAGCAGCTCCTCGGGAGGATCGGAAAGTGCAGCTGGCGGAGCTGGCAGCGATGTGGACATCGAGGGGGAAGCGGATGCGGGCATTCAGTGCCACATCTGCCACAAGTCCCTGCCACGTCGCAGGGATCTGCAGCGGCACATGGAGACGAGGCACGGTGGCTCCCACACCCAATCCCAGTCCAGCACCACCAGCACAACCACAATGTCATCGATGACCGTAACCACTTCGAAATCCAGCTGAGAACGGGGAAAATTATTCTTAGCACACTTTTTGGGGGCCAGCTGTGATAATGAAATAGAATTTTTAGATATATTTTTATATCAATAAAAAAAATATTGGAAATAAGAAAATATAAAATCTTTATAGTAATATTCCTACAGAAGTTGAGTAAAAAAATTAAAGTAAAAAAAATATAGTTAAAACAAATAACATGTTTAAAAGAAAAGTTAGTGAAAGAATCTTTGCTAAGAATCAAATAGTATCGTTTTATTGATAAATTTCAATACGAATTCAAAGTGAATTTCTATCGTATAATGCACAAATCTTATTGTTAGACAATTAATGCTATTACTCGTACAATTTACGCTTTCGCTTCCGCGTTCTGCGGCTTAATCCATATTCGTGTAAACTCGCTTAACTTTAGGGTACATGCAAAACAATCACAAATTGTCTTCAACTTGGGTAAAGCGGGTGTGTCTCTGGTTTTTCTTTTTTTTGTTTAATGTTTCTTTCTCTCAGTGTATGTGAGTGTGTGTGTGTGTGTGCGTTGAGCAAAACGTAGACGGGCCAAAACACTCACAAATACAAGGTTTTAATTCATAGTAAATCGTACAATTAATTCTATATGCCTGTGTAGAAATGCGACGGTAAAGGTATACAGTATGTACGTATATGTGTACTTATAGTAGTATAGATCGGAGCATAGAGTTAACTATTCTGTTTGCTTGACTTCTGGAACTACATTTAGTTGGTTTGCCTGGGGGGCTAACACTTAGTAGAGTTTTGAACAAAGGTCTGTCTCTCCTTCTCCCTAAACAAATGTACCAAAAACAATCGATTTTACTTTTAGATTTGGATGCGTTGTCCTTTTAATCCTCACACTCTCCACCTTCCTCCCCCTCTCGATTACTATCTCTCTCTGTCAGTTTAAGGCACTTACTCAAGAAATCTCGATTCCGGAGTGTCCCTTTGGGGTTAGTAATTCGCTTTAAAGTATTCCCTTGGAGTTTCGACCAAAACAATGTGGCAAGCTAGCGAGTATGTGTGTCTGTGTGGGTGTCATTCTGTTCGTGTATCTGTTTGTGGGTGTGCAGTAGGGTGGACCAGCTAAACTAACACGCAAATCAGTAAATAATCTAAAGTGTTATCAAAATATTTGGACCAAATTAGGTATCAGTTTAAAATTTCACCATTGAAACTGTTTTAAAGCTCTTTTGAACGGTTCTTTATAAATAAGATTAAATACCATACAAAATGTGTAAAAATGTATATTACTTCTGTGACAAAAGGTGTTAATAATTCAGAGATGATAGTTTAATTATTAATATATAAACTAATCTATAAAGCATAGCAAACGTTTTAAAATATTACTCATACGCCAGGTAGACCAGTAGTTCAAGTGGTTCTACAACACTGCGTATAAGCGATCTACGTTGAAACCATTAACAAGCACTAAAACTATAAAGAAAACTAAGGTCCACCCTAGAGTGCAGCTATCACCTTGAGCACTTAACGTATTTATATATATGCTCTATTGCAAGTTGGACAAATATGTCTGTTTCGGATATTTGACGATACGTTTCGCAGTTTTCAAAAGTCTGTACTCGGCTTACATTTACGAAGGTAATATATAGTATAGTTCGTTAATATTTATGTGTATATGCATAGACACCAATAGTTGTTAATCGTTAAGAGTAATATGCAAATTCTGTATGTGGCATTTTTTTCGCTCGGTTTTTTTTAGGAATATGTATACGCGTATTGTTGTAAATATCTAACATAAATTCATACATGAAGCACACTTGGGTTCGGTTTTCATTAACTATTTGCTAATGTGGTTAGTATTCGTTCAAAGTTTCGCATTTAACAAAATATCCATTATGTTAACAATTTTATTTAGTTTTTGTTTTTCACATTCTTTTTTTTTTTTGGTTTTTCTATATTCAAATATATATTTACTGTATGAAGTTAAAGTTATTTATTTCTTTTTTTTTGTTGTATTACAGTTGCTTCTTCCTCGTTGTTGTTCCCGCTGGTTCTTTATTAAAGAGTTAGAGAATTAGACCTTCGATTGGTTTTAATGTATTCTTCATTTCTATGTTCCTTTCTTGTGGTTTGCAGTTGGAAACCATTGTAGCATTGTTTTGGGGTATTCACTGAATTGGCTTAATTGAAATACTGAATTGCTGAACACACACAGACAAAAATAATGTACGTTACTACGCTTAAAAAATAGCATTTTTCTCTCCGTCATAAATCCCGCTTTAGTTTTGTCTCAATTAATTGCGCCACGAAAATTACAACCTTACTTAACATCTAATGCACGTCACAAAATATTATAGAACTTCATTCCACCGAGATGCGGATTAATCAATCAATCAATCAATCGGTAATTAAATGTATCTCTGTATATAGGCATGCACGTACTTATGAGTGTATACTTCTTTATCTGCTTCGCATTGAGGCGATCAACACATTTCTGAAGACTTTCTTGTTCACAATTGTTCTTAGTTCTTGTTTGCAAAAAACTTTGGACGTTTGGTATTCTTATTCAAGTTCGTATAATTAGACAAACAAAATGCTTAAAGCTGCCCACAAGACTTTGTCTACATCATTTTAGGTATTATAATTACGATTCAATTTTGGTTTTTATTAGTACTCGTATATATGTATATATTAAGCTTGCTGCAGCTGCTTAATATTTAAAAGACACACAGTATATAGGTGAAACTAATTCTAGGATTACGGATCCTACACTCTCTATTCAGTTTTCTATGGGAGTAATAATTTGTCATTTTTTTTTTTTTTTTTTTTTGGTTTTTTATTTTTTAGTAAGGCATATGCACAAGGGAAGGACTCGATCATTGTCGCTTATCGTTGGATATTTTGGATACTAAGTTAGTTGGTAGAAAAGAAAAAACACATAACTAGAGGGGAAGACAATACTGGGGACAATTGTATGTACAGTGCAAGGTTTACAATTGGCTGCTTGATATGAGTATTAAAGTTTTAATTTACTTTAGTGCTTTGTTTGTGAAAAGCTAGAGAACTAAGATCTGCGATTCTTGACTATCCCTACTAACTCGAACTTAGAGATACTTTCGCACTGTTACAGACTACACATTAAAACTCCTTCAATTAGATTTCATTGCAGTAGTTATTGCTGTTTGGTTGTCGAGGTGTCCTGCTGATTGTGATGCTAAAGAATCGTATAATTAACTTGTTCAGAGTGTCTCGTGTTGGCTGTGTTTTGTATTTCCCGAATGGTTGAGGCCATTAGTTGATGTTTTACAATTTGTTTAAATTAAGTTTGCTTTATCAAATACCCTGCAACTTCATTTAATTATCACAGTTTTTCATCAGAGATAGTTTAAACGTTTCAATATTTTTTTAATTTCTTTTTTCTGCAGTTTCGTTTAATCAAATTTCTTGGTTGTTCGTTTATATTTTGTGTTGCTACAGAATGCAAAATAAAAGAGCAAGCGAGTTGACATTTGTGCAAAATTGTGTCCTATAAATAATCTTTTTTTTTTTTAATTAAACAGCAAGCAAGGATTCTTTGCTTTTGCTTACGATGTGTGGGGAGGGGAATCGGTTATTTTGTATTTTCCACACATCCTTGCCTGATATGCTGCCCGCTTTTTCTCTCCAGCGTCTTAAAATATATTATACATTTCTAGATTTTTGTTTGTTTTTGTTTTTGGTGAGCAAGTCGTCTCGTGTAAAACAAACATCGATTTCACTTTTAAAGTAGTTTCTGTTTTATTTTAATCATAATTAAAACGTAATTATTTGGAAGCAAAAGATGGCATATTTGTTTAACTTCTTTTCAATATTTTTTAGTGTTTCATCCGTGGTTATCTGCACGTTTAAAACACAAACATTATTCAGCTACAACTTGAACAGAGCGAATAAAACAATACACAAAATATATAAATGTAAATTTAAAATGTCTTCTTGGAAAGTCTTCTTTTGAATTTCTCGGTTCGTTTGGTTCTTGTAATCATATATAGTCATAGTGTTAGATAGTGGTGTGTAGATCGGGGGTGTAAGTCATTCATGTGGTGACAAATGCTGGCTGTCGTCCTTTCGTTATGTTACAATTAATGCTTTTGTTTATTATCCTTCTTCTTCTTTTGTGGTTTTTTCAGTGTTTTGTACTTTCGACAAAGAATATTTTTTGGTTAAACCGATTTGTATACAAACAAGGTAATAATGGCAAAAGACATAAGTATATAATATACCTTTCTAATACATAATGCGTACTTTTGTGCTTGCAGCATGGGGGTATGTGGTGTTGAACGTGTTGGTATTTTGGCATTGCTTTTGCTTACGTTTTCAAAATACATACAATAAATACAAGTCTCCAATTTAACAATACAAGTATAAGTGTGGGGTTGTCCATATAACGCCTTCATTATTTGGGGCGATTCCCCAAAAGGAGAATAACAGTAGGCAAAATGAGATAACTTACTATAGGGACAACCCCCAAAGTTGTGTGTTAATATATGTATACCATGTTAATAGGTAGATAATGCTCATCTGACCGATCTAAAACAAGTAAAATACGAATATAAACTAAGCATTCTAAGACGTTGCGTGAATTTTGGTACTTTAAGTAATGCTCATAGGTTGCCTAACACATTGAGAGTATTGAAATTAAAAGCGTACTAAAACGACAGGCTAATACAAATTACAAACAAAATACAGTTCACTTAATTAGGAAACATGGAGGAAGAATAATAATAAAAATAATTGGCAATACGAGCGAGGAGCAGAAGGAATCAACAACATACTTTTACTTTAAACATTTTTTTTGTCGTTTTTTCTTAATTTTCATTTTGGTTTGGGGCGGGCTTCGGCCTTTAGCTAATACACAAATCGTTTGTTGTACTATGCAGCCTGTTATATATGTACGTATAGTAGTAGTATGTGGTATATATTTATATAAATATGTATGCATGATTATGTTTAAGAATGACCAAAGAGCAAATCAAGGGCATTTTTACAAATTGTCGTCGACACATTATATGCTATACAATTGCGGTTGGATGATGTGTTGTGTGGTGAAGATGCATTTATGTGGTCGTAGTTGCAATTTCTACATTGTTCGTCTTGGCGCCAGCGGCCAATTTTTGCTGCTCCGCTGTGATGTTGGCTTCGTGGCCATCCATGTTGTTGCTGCTGTTATCGTTGGCATGATTGCTGGAAAGTAATGTGGTCGTTTTAATTGCATATTACTGATAAGACTGTTTATAAATAAAACATAAAAACTGTCCCAAAAGTTTTTCTACATAACCTTTAAAATGATTTCGAAAACATGAAGCTTTAAAAAATATATAATTAATCTGCTTAATTTAAAGTTTTTACTTACAATTCATGAATTTTGCTGGTTGGTCCATTTGAAATGGGAGTGGTCTCGGTTTCCGCAGGACGGTCTCCACCCAGAGGCTTGGTCCACATGCCCTCGTCGTCCTCATAGTCTTCCTCGCCGTCTAGCAGCACAGATTGTAGCCGGGTAACAATTGACGCAGTCTCGACAACGCTCGATTCGGCCAGCTTGTCGCTTATAGCCTTCTCCACGTTGGCATTATTGTCGTATTCAGCCTGCTGATCGTCACTGTGTGCTAGATTATCCTGGCCACTTTTGATCGCTTCGGGCTCAACAGATTCAGATGACGGACGCTCCTCATTTGGCTCCACTTCGTTGCCAGATGGCAGGGCGGGAGGCGAGTCCTCCTCCTCCTCGTCGCCGGGCGGTGCACTTGTAGGCATACCCAGGTCACTGCCGAAGGTACTGAAATGGGCATCGAAGTCGGCAAAGTTGTCGGCATTGAAATCGGTGCCCCAGTTAGCAGTGCCCGTGTTAACCTGCGCAGACACGCTGGGAATGTCGGAGAACTGGACGTCCATGTCCCAAGGATCCGCCAAGTTGTTTAGCGTTATTGAATTTTTGGTGAACATTCCGTGGCCATGACCATCGCCACCGCCCGAATGATCGCCATGCTCATCATCGTCATCATCCTCGTCGTCAATGTTTCGACCAAACTGAAACAGGTTTTGATCGTTGTCCATGGTAAAGACAATGTCTTGCAACGTGTTGTCCAGATCACTGTAACCCATATTGCTGTACGACAGGGTTCCGATGTCCCAGGCATTTGTCTCGCCCAGATAATCCTTGGAGCCCACATTGTACTCGTGCTCCTCATGCGGATTGCAGTTGGCCAGCAGCTTGGTCTGCTGTTTAACCGCCAGCGAAAATTCACCGGTTTCCGACTCGATCAGGGATTGCCAAAACTTTAGCTCGGCTTCGTCACTTAAGCTGGAGGTGATCAGGTCAGCGATATGTTCCGATTCTGATATACAATTTGTAATGTGGCGCAAAATTTTAATAAGGTGGCCCATGTAGCCCAGACGGCGACCCTTTTCAGCAGATCTGGAAATAAAGTCACATATTTAGTAGCCAAATAATTGTAAGTGCATTGTTTCAACTTACTGCGCCTGCGCATTGTGCTGCCAAAAATCAACCAGTTTGGACACCAAGTGACAGTTTATAATTAACTGCAAAATATTGAGAATTATGACTGGCTCTAAGCAGCGTCCAATTTACTACTTACATGAGTTTGCATTTCGGATGGCGGAGCACTGGGGACGGTCTTGGTCTTGTCGAGATCATTAAGCGTTGGCTCCGTTTCCTGCTTAACTGCTGGGGACTCACCATCCACCTCGCTGTTCTCCACGTGGTTTTCCTGGACTTTAGGATCTGCTCCTTCCGATGGAGTTGCTTCGGCTGCGACTTCCACTTGGGCTGTCGATTGCTCCTGCTTCCCTTCGGCGGCTGTCTCATCCTGCGCTTGGGCAGCTGCTTCTTGTGCAGCGGCCACCTCGATTTCGATGTCGCCCATCTCCTCCTCCTTGCCACCCTCCGCTCGCTTGGCGTCGTTCAAAGCGTTCTTCATCTCCACTTCGGACTCCTCGGTGCCGACTTTCAGAAAGGCATTGATTAGGCAGTCGGCGGCAAAGAAGTCCGTGACCTCAGTGGATGCCGTGTTGTTGTTGGACAACTCGTTGTAAAATACCACGTAGAGAGCTTTCTCCGTTTCAGTGTGCAAAAAGTTGTTCCAGCAATACTGCTTAAAGAAATCCAGAAGCAGGCTAAAATACTCAGTCCCGCAGATCCTAGAGAAAATTGTACACAATGATTGTCACATCAGTCAGTAATATATCTCTAATTTAACTTACGCCTGCTGAATGGTCTCGTGCTTGGTTTCCAGCAACGCGGTAAACACGCGGCACACTTGCAGTCGAGTCTTGCCAAAGGGGGCGTCAACACGGCGGCCGTTGTTTCCAGCGTGGGTTTCTATAATCAAATGATAAACAACTGGTTCTTTGTAACTAGAAATGGCAAACTAACCGCAGGCGGGTTTTTTAGTATGTGGACAAATTCCTGGAGGCGAGGCGCCATCACGTTGATCACAGTCTCCTGAACTTCCTGGTGAAATTCACGCTCGCGCTTCTGCAACAGCCGCTGGCGATCCGAGTTGGGCTCATCTCTGCCAGAAAGAAGTGCAATTAAATAAGGATAAGGGTAAACAATGACTGGGTGCTAGACTTACGTGAAGGTAATTGGCTTGATAAGCGTAAGTACAACCGATATTCCTGATAAGATGGCGCTCTCCTGAGCGTTTGGTTCCAAAATCACATTTAACAAGGCTTCAATTGTGTCCGCAGATTCAATCGTCTTCAGTATGGGGTTGGAGCCATCGAAGGCCGGCTCAAACGAATCGTTCTCCTGCTCGGTTTGGCGCATCAAGCGCCCTTGGTTAATAAGATCACAGAAAAAGTCGGCAACATTTGCATGTTTGTCGGTTTCTTGAGGATTACGCAATATTGCAATCAGTCTCTCAACAATTTTATCTTCAGTAAGCCACTGTAAAAATTAAAATTGAGTTCATTTTTTTCATAAAAATGGCTTTTTAAAAGAGCTCACTTCGAAAAGGTTCCGCTTGAGTTGACCACCTTCGATGTCCTTCATCATCTGCATTATTAGATCAGGTATGACCGGTGTGTCAAAGTGTTTACAAATGAAATCCAAAAAGGTCTTCTGCGTTTTAATATACTCCAGGAGTTGTAGGCACATGTGTTGATACAAAAACCAATCTTGTTCAGGCTTTTTGGTAAAGAGCATGCTAAACGTTTTACTGAAAAACGACGATAGCAATGGATTTAACGGTGGTTCCTTTTCCAGATATGAATACAGCAGCTGTAGCGTGTCCGCGTCGGTCAGTAGCTTCTCATCCAGGGACGGCAGGCCACTGGAAAATACATTTCAGTAACTACAGAAGTCTGCAAAGGATTGCCGTCTCTTTAACTTACAGTGTGAGTATCTCACATGACATGTTGGCATAGCGGAAACGCTGCGACATGGGTACATCTTCAGAAGGCTCGGTTGTGATCAGCTCCACCAGCCGCCTGATGACATCGGGACGTGTAAAATAGTTGACCAGGTTCTTCTTTTGCGTTTTGCACTCCTGCAGAATGTCCTCCTCGTCCAGAAACTCCTCCAGTGTGGAGTTCTAAGGCCGACAAATGTGGCAATTGAGTTTCAGTCAGTCGGTCAGGTGCGACTACCTACCTCCTTCTCCAGAAGCGCCTCTATATTCGCGGAGGGCGCATAACCCTTGTCCCAAAACATTTTTCGCACGTACGTCTTGGCGGTGACACTTTCAGGCTGGGGAAATCAAGAAATCGCTTCGCTGGACTCGCGGATCGCTGATGACTGGGCATGCACGGCTCTGCGGGTTGGGGAGTGGAGATTTGGAGAAGCGGAATCGCTCAATTAAAACACTACCGAGACTTGCGACTCGCACAAAGTAATGCGTAAATTTTTGTAATTATGCCAAGCAGGCCCCACATATACACTACGAATGCAGGCCGAAAAACCCGAGTTCACCGGTCGTTTGGTCTTGCAACGGGTGGGGGTGGTTGGTGCCACACTTACGAGTTGGTTGCACCTTGTTTTTTTCACTGTTTGTTGCACTTTTACTTGTTTTTCAACCGAAAAAACCACGCTATAATTTTCTTCACTGCTTCGTAGAGGTGGACAATATTCGATTAACCAGTATAGTAACCCAGTGCGATAACTGCTGCCGATAGACCATGACCAAGAATTATCGTTTATCAGTGCCTTTTTATCAGCATCACACTGGACATATTGCAGGATCCAAATTAAACCAATAAAGTTAACATAGTTTGCAAAAAAAAAAGAGATACAACTAAACTATTTTTAAACTGAAAAACTATTTCATTTGCTACTCTATTAATCGTCATTTGTTTAGAAAGGGTGGTTATGCTGTGGATTAAGTAGGAACATGCTGTTGCAAGAACTCAAAACCTGATAACGCAATAACAACATACTGTTATCGTTTTGGCGGTCATCTCTTGTTTTTTGTTGCATTGATGCGGAAGGACAATGGATGGAATTGTTTTGTGCGAAATTGCGGATGAAGTGGCTCCAGAATGCCCGGAAGATCCAATGGAGTTTCGCTATGGCAAGAGGCGGTGGCTGTTCAAAGAATTTCTTACCGAATATGCGGAGGAGATTCTTATTTGTATCGAAGAATGTGAGTAGACGGAATGAGCCAGGAACAAAATTAATATTGTTTTTTTATAGGCCAAAATGCTCGGACAAGAAAGCTGAAATTTAAGCCGGTACGGCAGCCCACGGGCTCTTGGATCCTAGTACTATGCCACGAACAAACTTACACTCGATCCCGTCCGGTTGAGATGCAAGTGGCAGCTAAATTGCTTCCGCTCATTTTTAAGGACTTTACGACTAGCCTGGAATTTGAGGTGGCCCAGCAAGAGCAAAAGCACCAAAGGCCTCTAAAGACCTATGTGACAACGAAGCTCTACGACGCCCTCTACGAAAGGCATCGCCAGACAGGTGATCCGTATGAAGAGCTGCCTTTTAACATGCCAAAACGATTTCAATCCCGGCTACGCAAGTACCAGGAGCGCACAGTGTCCTGGATGTTGGCTAGGGAGCAGCAAATTACCAAGCTGCCAGTCAAATACACCGCGCTCCATGCCATCGATGGCAAGAGTCGTGTCTTTAAGCACAACTACTGCCTTCAGTTTTATACCTACGAGGAACAATTTCCCCAGATTACCCTGCCACCAGGCGGCATTTTAGCTGACGAAATGGGCCTGGGCAAGACCGTGGAGTTCCTGGCCATGCTGCTAATGAATCCCAGACCTAAGGACTCAATCAGGAACGAGTATTGGTACCAACGGCTGGAGGAATTCGCCGATGATGTGCCTCTTAAGCGGATGCGTCGAGCGGAAAAGGTTTTTTGTATCTGCACTCAGAAACGTGGTTCGCTAGTGCAATGTAGCAAGTGCCGGCGCTGGCAACACGAAACGTGCATGAACTATAATTTCAAGATATCGATGAACGATCCACCGCATATGTGTCCAAGCTGCTGGTCCGAACTGGCAAAATCGAGCGATAAACTAGTGGAGACCGGTGCCACCATCATAGTCTCACCCAATGCCATTAAGAAGCAGTGGTACCACGAGATGCAGAAGCACATATCGCCGGGTCTAAAGGTGCACCTGTATTTCGGCCTGCATTCGTGCAGGTGGGTCAGTCCTCTTGAGTTGGCCAAGTACGATGTGGTGCTCACTGACTATACGATACTCCGCAACGAGATATACCATACGACGGACTTCAAGTCAGACCGCCAGATGCGCCACCAGCAGCTATACATCCGACCCGACTCCCCGCTTCTTATGGTGAATTGGTGGCGAGTTTGTCTAGATGAGGCGCAGGTAATGTGGAGATCAAATTTCAAAGGTCAACCTTTACCTAATAAAAAATACCAATTTACCCACACAGATGGTCGAGAGCAACACTTCCGCGGCTGCCGAAATGGTAAGGATGCTGCCGGCCATTAATCGGTGGGCGGTTACTGGCACAATTGACGACCTGCCGCCACTGCTGGAGTTTGTGGGTCGAACAGAAGTTTGCAGGCCACCGGACGCCTGGCAAACTGTGGACAAGGCTTTTCAATTGAACTATAAGTCCGAACCGCTGCTGGAATCTCTAGAGCACAGTCTTTGGCGCACCTGCAAGTCCAAGGTGGAGCACGAACTGGGTATTCCGCCACAAACGGAGGTCGTACATCGCCTGGAACTGAGCAATGTGGAGTCACTGTACTATCGGGAGGAGCATTTGAAGTGTCACGAGCAATTCCTCACCGCTGTCGCCAAGCACACGCGCCACAACGCGGACAACAGCTCTTGTCTGGCCTCCATTTCACCGCAGTTGCTGCGCATCATCCTGAAGCCCTTTCTTCGCATCCGTCAGACGTGCTCCGTACCTGTGGTGCTCAACAGCAATGTGTCCAGCACCGATTACCTGAATCCGCAGGATCTGCTTGTGCGTCTCAAGACCAACAATGAGACTGAGTGCAAGACAGAGCTACGAAGCTGGGCTTCGTCCTACAATGGCCTGGCGGCTATTCACTTTATAAAGGAGGACTTTTCCAAAGCCATTAAGTATTACAAGCTTTTGTTGAAGCTAGCTTCCGACTATCAAGAGCCGAATATATCGTAGGTTGACTTTCAAACCTTGTTTGGAATACCCATTACTTTATGTTTCAATTTTGCAGTGTGGACAGCGTGCTGCAGATACATGCGATCTACAACCTTCTTCAAGCGAGTGAGTTGGCTACCTCAGGAGACAAGTTATCCGAAAGTGAGCAGCAGAGCTATCAAGCCCAAATGAAGCGACTGGAGTGGAAGTATCTGGAGGACAACACTCTGGTGCTCCAAAGCGCTCTTGAATGTTACGAAGAAAAACTCAACGAAGTTTCTGAACTGGAGGGTCAGTTCGAGGGCAGCACAGTGGACTTTCTGGCCACGGTGGTGAATCACAAAAGCTCTCTGCACGATGCCATGTGGAACAAAGTTCGGGATGATTTTTTCCGACAAAATATCTCGGTGGAAAAACTCGATAATGTCAGCTCCATGGCTGGATTACTCTATTTTGTAGATCTTTGGCATGCAAAGCTGCAGAAGTTGAGAAGCAATTTGCTTATTGACTTTGAATATCTAAAGGGTGTTATGCAGGAGGCTTGTGAGGCGGTTAAAACTGGCAATGTCCTCTCACAGGATATCAACAACTTTATAGCCAGCGTAACAGATTGCCATTTAGCGGATATTTTGGTGAGGGTTTCTTGAAAAAAAAAGTATACCGTTTATAATATTGTCTATTTTTTCTAAAAGATCGAAGACAAGGATAAGGAGAAGGAGAAGAAAAAACCCAAAAAGCGTCGACATTGTCGTTTGTGCAAAACTCGGGATTCCTTAAACCAGTTTGAGTGCGTTTTGTTTGATAAGAAGCTGGACGAAGAAGCTACTGTTGCTGAGGGTCTGGAGAATCCCAGTATGGAGATAAGTCTCATTAAAGGTGACTATCAATATTAATATTGTTCATCGTTTAGTGTCTTACATAGATTTTTTCCCGCCCAGCTATATTTTCTTTCTTGCGTTCCAAGCCAGAGTTCAGTGAATGGAAAGCGGAGTGCCAAAACAAACTGGATTTCCTATCTTGCCTGCAGGACCTGGCGAAGTTTCAAATTAAGTACTGGATCGAGGTGGAGTACATGGTCAAGGCTTTTGACGAACTGGGAATGTGCAAGATGCGTATTCTTCTTACCGACGATCCCGAGGAGCAATCAAATTACCGAATCCTTGCCTGCCAGCTGGACGAGCAGCTCGAATTTAACCAGTACAATCTTCACGAGTCGCAGCTAAACTTTACGCGGCTGTGCGGTCGTTTGAAGTACCTAAAGCATCTCAAGGAAGATGCCACGGATAAGCCTTGCCCCATTTGTCAGACGCAGGACGATGTGAGGGTGAGTGAAAGAAAATTTAAGTAAAGGACATTGCTGCAACCACTTTTTTGTTTTAGTATGTGATGATGGTATGTGGTCATTTTGTGTGCCAGCACTGTCTGGATAGTATGAGGAAAAAGTTCTCCCGAGATGGTGTCACCAAGTGTCCACTCTGTCGCCAGGACTCGCCACAGTAAGAGTGTAACATTTTAGTGTTTTATGTATTCTGAAAAAGTTGCTCTTCTTTAGGTTATACTACTCAGTTCGTCCGGGCGCCCACAAATCCATAATTGGCGACTTTTCAACGAAAATTGCAAGTATTGTGGAACTGGTGCTGAAGATAAGATCAGACAATGAAAAAGAAAAGGTCCTTATCTTCTCTCAGTGGCAGGCAATACTTATTCAAATTGCTAGAGCCCTTAATATCAACAACATTCAGTTCCGCAACAAGTGCACCAATACGGATATTGAGGAATTCAAGGTTTGGTCATTAATTAAAAATATCATTAAGATTTGGTAATTATAAAACTTTTTTAGGATCCCTTGAAAAATATCACCTGCCTTCTGATGCCTCTTTCTAAGGGCTCAAAGGGCTTAAACCTGATTGAAGCAACACATGTGTTTCTCGTGGAACCGATTCTTAATCCCGGCGACGAACGTCAGGCTATTGGTCGAATTCACAGATTTGGGCAGAACAAGTAAGTTTGATATTTATAATATATCTTATGGTTGTATTAATAAGATAGTTTAGACCCACAAAGGTTCATCGATTTATTGTGAATGGGACAATCGAGGAGAATATTCTCTCGCTTATAACTTCAGCCGATGACACGAAGACACTTTCAACTCATTGGGATTTGGAGAACATGACACTTGACAGCCTCAAGAAGCTTTTCATACTCAAGGAGATGGAGTAAAACATAAGTAAAGATTAATTAATTTAAACATTTTGTATGTACCCTTACGAAGGGTAGAACGTTTCAACAACACTTCGTTGTAAATATTAATGCCCCATAAGCATTAAGTACTTTTTTAAGCCAGCAACTAAGATAAATCCTGCCACTTTACTGCCGCACATTTTATCTGTTGAAAAAGTGATTATGGAACAAAGTTTTTTAAGTTTAATGATAAAAATAGTTTGTAAGTCTGAAACACAGTTTTTGTAATTTAATGACAAAAAAGTCGATCAATTTGAAAAAGTTATGTAACTAAAATGGAATCAGTAAAACCCTTTAATTTGCTTTAGAAAGTTTTTATTTTCGTAATGACTTGCAACCGCTCAACATTATCCTGTTAAATTAAACTTAAATCGAATCCTCATAAGTATATTGTGTTTTCCTGAACATTGTACATTATTGTTTGTACTAACATTAAGGACATTATATTTAATTTTGCGTAAACGTATTGTATTCTTAAGACTACTTTATTCATTCCCATCTTATTCACACTGTTCTTATAAGAATAATAAGGTATTGCTTTTCATAAAAACCCACAAATTTTTTACCATCTTTGACAGCGTTAAACGCGAATCAAATCTCAGACATGGTCGATTTTTAAAGCGTCCAGACTTGTGCCATCGGAGTGTGCCTTCTGTGCGTAGTAGCCATCGTAGGAGCTCTGCGCCTTGTCGATTTCCTGCTGGCTCTGCAGACGCTGCAGTTGCTCATAGGCAGCCTCCTGGATCTTGCGCCGCTCCTCGTCCGCCCGTCGCTTCACCTCGTTCTCTTCGAACTGCTGCGCCTGGAGCTCGGCGGATGCAGCTGCTCGTTCCGCCGCCGCCTCCTGATATTCATCGTACGAGTGCAGGTTGCGATCGCTACTTTCCAATTTGTGCAGCGATGAGAGTTGCTCCTTGGCCGCCTCGGCTATTTCGCGTCTCTTAGCCTCCGCCTGACGCTTTGCCTCGCGCTTGCTCCTCTCCTGCTCCTCCAGCTCTTCGCGAGCGGCGTAGAACTTGGGTGAGATTACGGGCGGGCGATTCTCGTGGGTGCGTTGATGGCGCTTCAATGCCGTCTCCTGGCGGAAATGGGTGCCGCAGGTCTTGCACTCGAAGGGTTTCTCCCCCGTATGTATCCACTCGTGATGCCTCAGCGTTTGTGCCTTGGCGAATCTCTTCGGGCAAAAACGGCAGGCAAAGTCTTTGACCTTCTCGTGAATGATTTTGTAGTGCCGCTTCATGTTTCCGATATTGTTGAAGCCCTGCCCACAACCGGGGCAAATGTGCTTGCCCTCCTTCTTGGTGAAGTTCACCTGCGGCGACCACGAGGGCACCGAAACCGAGGGTATGGGATTTACGGCGGTGCCGGCCAACTGGGCTATGTCCACCCGTTGGACGCGGCGCGGATCCTTAGGTATGGTGGCCACTGACTCCGCGCACACTTTGAGTAATTCGTCGGTTGCGTTTTGTGACATGATCGGTTCGATTGATACTCCCTCAACCGGTGGCGCTGGGGTATTGTCCACCTGGTCGCCGGGTGACTCGCCCATTTCCACCTGCCGCTGACGATAGGTTTCAATGGCCCGGAGCACTCGCTTTTCGTGCGTCTTCAAGTGCTTGGTCAGGCTTTTGGGGTAGAGGAACTTCTTGCCACAGACCTGGGTAAATAAAATTGCTTAAATTATAGATCACGTATTGGTAAACCTCTTCCTACCTTGCATTCGCAGCGCTTCTCCCCGTGTGCGTCATCTCGTGAATCTTGCAGGCATGCGACTTGCCGAAGGTCTTTCCACAGTACTGGCACGCATAGTTCTTGATCTTCTCGTGCACGATCTTAATGTGGTTCGCCAGACTTTGCTTGTTATGCGAGGCATGTTCGCAGATGTGGCACTTGAACTTCTTCTCCTGGGTGTGCGTCAAAATGTGCGTGTTCCACTCCTGTCTGGTGGTTTTGCCCACGCCACAATAGGGACACACGTAGTTCTTGATGCCCGCGTGCCTCATCAGGTGATCCTTTAAAGCACTGTTGATCACGAACCGTTTCCCACAGATGTTGCAGGGGAACGGCAGCTCCTTGCCGTCGTGCTTGTACATGTGCTTCTTTAGCGCCATGGGGCAGCGGAACACCTTTTCGCACTCAGAGCAGGGATAATCCCGTGGCGGCGCCGCCGCCTTCGTGATGCCGTGCACCTTCTTCAAGTGGAAGGTGAGTAGGCGGATCCGCGGGAAGGTCTTGCCGCAACCATCGACACTGCATGAATGAACCTCGGACAGCTCCGTGTGGGCATGGTCGATGTGGAGCCTCAAACCGCCGGCGGTGGTGAAACCTAGAACACAAAAACCATGAATTAATATTCTTATTTACGACATATCGACAATACCTTTCCTGCAGGTTTCAACCTTGCACTGGAAGGGCAGTAGATCGTTGTGGTGCTTCATGTGCTCCTCGTAGCGGATGGCTTTCTTGAACTTCTGATGGCAGATATGGCAGTCGATGATGCGGTGCAGGTGTCGTTCACCGGCCGGAATCCTCTTGCGCCTGGTCTTCGACTTGTCCTCCTCATCATCCTCTTCCCCGGAACCCGATACGAATTCCTGATCCTCCTCCTTTATAAGGGCTCGCTTGGCTTTTGGTTTCGCCCGAGCGCTTTCTTTTAAGCGCTGGGCCAGGGGCACATCGTCGTCGCCATCACTGCTGTTCGGCTCAAAGTCTGCATCTTGGTCAAAGTCGTCTTCGCTTTCGTCGGAGGATTCGCCCGCGAAGATGGTCATTAGGTCGGCGGCATCCAGCTCGTCCTGCTTCACCTCCTTCTCCACTTGCTCGGCTTCCTTGTCCACATGCTCCAGCATCTTGAACACATCCTCCTCGTTCTCGATCAACTCCATTTTGTGATCCAGCAGTGGATCGAAGTTGATGCGATCCTCCTCCTCCTGGCCCACCAACTCAGCCTCGTTACCGGCAACGTTCAGTAAATCAAAGGTTTTGATCTGCGAGCTCGCCGGCGGGCAAAATACGTTTCTGGCCACCATGTCCTGGAACTTCTGCGCCGAGTCCACACACAGCTTCTGAAACTCGTGCAGATCGTCCAGTCGAGTAAAACACGGCGTGCACAGGCTCTTGGGAAACCCATCTGACTGCTCTACGGAAAGCGAGGTGCACACGCACAGCTTTTTGGCCAGTCCGGGAATAAGGAACAGGTCGAAGGACCCCGTTCCGACGCCGTCCTCCGGCAGGCGATTCAAGCAGATGCGGCACACCGCGTGCACCGAGTATTGAGCGGCCTCCACCTCCATGTAGCCTGATCCTGAGGGAATCTATTGGCCAAAACCACGGAATATTGAGCCAAGACAAACTTTACGCGTCAGACCAATCAAAACAAATACCAAAAAAAAATAAACGCCAGTGATGGCAAATATTGGCAGTCAAGGGTATCCCAAAAACAGCTAAAAAAAAAAATAAAAAAATTTACAAACAAAATGAATAGGGTTTCAAAGTTGCTTTATTTTATTTAAAAATACCTACAAAATTTCTAGATTACAGTAAATTAATTTTAATTTTAGTAAATAACATTATTAAAGCAAAAAATTAACCTGATTTTATGTTTTGGCTATAAAAAGACCAAGGTTGATACTCTAGCACCAACCACCCAATGTCAACATTGTGCGCTTTGCAACACTAACACCACTTTGAATGCTTATTACTGTTTATTATAGTTAAATCATTAAAATCAGTTATAAATGAATACAATTAGTAAAGTACAAACTTAAGCAGCTGAGAGGGGGAAGTTTAAATACAAAATAGTAAAAACATGCTCGCAAAGTGACGTAAACTAGTTGGTAAACCTTAAAGACCTATAACTCATATGTCCTTCATAGAAACACATAATGAAAGGGATCGGGATGCGGCTACGGGTTAGGTAGCAGGTATATCCGGTTTATCCTGCCGCTCAGACATGGTCCAGCTTCAGGGCATCCACTGAAGTGCCCTCCGCTTCCGCTTTCTGAGCGTAGAAGCCGTCGTACGTGTTCGTCTGCTTTTGCAGCTTATTCAGCTGCTCGAAGGCCGCTTCCTGGATCTTCCTGAGCTCGGCCTCCGCCTTCCTCTTTGCCTCGTTCTCCTCGATTTGGTAGGCCAGCAGTTCTGCAGTAGCCGCCGCCCGTTCCGCGGCCGGATCCTGGTACTGCTCAAAGTTCTTCGGCTGCTGGCGCTTCACCGTGGTCGTCTCCGTCTTCGGTCCCGCCGGCTCCTTGGGCTTGCCCGGTGGACGCGGCGGCTTGTCGTGCACCTTCATGTGTGTCTTGAGCACCTGCTCCTGGCGGAAGTGCTTGCCGCACACCTTGCACTCGTACGGCTTTTCGCCGGTGTGAATGTACTCGTGATGCCGCAGGTACTGCTTCTTGGCGAACCTCTTTGGACAGAAGCGGCAGCAGAAGTCCTTCACCTTCTGGTGCACCACCTTGTAGTGCAGCTTCATGTTGCTCACGTGGTTAAAGCCCTTGCCGCAATCGGGACAGATGTGCTGACCCTCCTTCTTGGTGAAGTTAACTTGGGGCGACCAGGAAGGCAGATTCACCGATGGTATTGGATTGGCCACCGTGCCCGCCAACTGGGCAATGTCCACACGCTCGACGCGACCGCGCAGATGTGGACTGGGCTTGGCAATCGTCGCGGAACCACTGGCCCCATCACCACCGATCAGGGGATTGACGCCCTGCGTCTTGGGCAGATCGCGCTTCTCGTGCGTCTTCAAGTGCTTGGTCAGGCCCTTCTCGAAGAGGAACACCTTGCCGCAGATCTTGCACTCGCAGCACTTCTCTCCCGTGTGGCTCCGCTCGTGAATCTTGCAGGCGTGCGACTTGCCGAAGGTCTTGCCGCAGTACTGGCACGCGAAATCCTTGCGCTTCTCGTGCACCACCTTGACGTGATTGGCCAACGCCTGTTTGTTGTGGGAGGCGTGGTCGCACTGCCGGCACTCGTACTTCTTCTCCTTGGTGTGGGTCAGGATGTGCTTGTTCCACTCCTGGCGCGTCGTCTTGCCCACTCCGCAGTACGGACACACATGGTTCTTGATGCCCGCATGCCGCAGCAGATGGTCGCGAAGCACACTGTTGATCGGGAATCGCTTGCCGCAGATCTCGCAGGCGAAGGGCAGCTCCTCGCCGGTGTGCTTGTACATGTGCTTCTTGAGTGCCGTCGGGCAGCGGAAGACCTTCTCACACTCCGTGCAGGGGAAGTCCCGCTGCGGAGTGTCCACCTTGTGCACCCGCTTCATGTGGAAGCTGAGCAGCACGGGGCGGGCGAACGTCTTGTTGCAGCCCTCGTAGGTGCACGGGTGCATGGCCGAGGTCTCTGTGTGGGCGTGCTCCACATGAACACGCAATCCGTTGGCGGTGGTAAAGCCTGTAATTAAAAACAAGCACATAAATCCTATAATCTGGGAGCTGTAGAACTGGGAATACCTTTCCGGCAGCTCTCCACGGTACACTGGAAGGGTAGCAGGTCGTTGTGATGCTTCATGTGCTCCTCGTAGCGGATGGCCTTCTTGAACTTCTGGTGACAGATGTGGCAGTCAATCAGCCGGTGGCGATCCCGCTCGGTGGCTGGAATCCTCTTGCGCTTCGGCTTATCCTTGGGGTTGCCATCGGAGTCCTCCGAGGAGCTCGATTCCTCGGACTCCTCCTCCTCCTGCCGCTTGGCTGACGCCTTCGATTTGGCCTTCGACTTGGATCCACGGGCGGCGCCGCGTCTACTGCGCTGGGCCAGCGGAATGTCGTCGTCGCTGCTGTTTAGCTGAAAGTCCGCGTCCTGGTCATTATCGTTGCCGCTCTCGAAGGAATCGTCCTGCGATTCGTCGGCAAACGGCTGCTCCATCTCCATTTCCACCTCCTCGACTTCCTTTTCCACGGACTCCAGCATCTTGAAGACATCCTCCTCGTTCTCGATGATCTCGATCTTGGAGTTGAGCAGCGGATCAAAGTGTACGTTGTCCTCCTCCTCACCCGGCAGATCCGCTACGGGGGCACTGGTGTCCAGGACATCGAAACTGGTTGCGCAGGTGAAGGCGTTGCTGGCCACCAGATCCTGGAACTTTTGGACCGAATCGACGCACTGCTTCTGGAAGTCGGCCAGGTCGTTCAGCTTGGAGTAGCAGATAGTGCAGAGGTTCTTGGGAAAGCCATCCGCCTGCTCCACTGATAATGAGGTGCACACGCACAGCTTTTTGGCCAAACCGGGTACCCGAAACAGATCGTAGGCAGCCGTGTTGTCTAGGGTGGATAGACATGTCCGACACACCGTGTGAATGGAGTACTGGCTCCCCTCGTTCATTTTGGACATTCAATTCGAAGCCGAAATCCCGAAAAGTGCAGCAATCCGAAATGTTCTTCGTCGAGAAAAAAATCCAATACAACACACATTTGTGTGTACTCGGATGTACATGTGTGTGTGTTTATGTGTCCGCTCGTCAGCAATTCGCGTTATCGATTACCCGAAAGCGGCGAGTACACTCGCCGGAAAACTGCGCAGCTCTAGCATTTGCCCACCCACACCAAGGCGTTTTGTTTTGTTTTTCTCATGTACACATGTGCGCGGAGGAGAGGGTACGATGGGCGTATTAGACCAGCGAGTATGTGTATGCATAATTAAGCCACCCAACGAAGCGGAGGTACTCTGCTACAGTCGTTGACACACTAATAGCACCTCTAAATATAATTTATGAATCAATATAACAACTTGTTATAACCACGTAGCAGTTGTACACAATCTGTATTAAGTTTGTATGTTGATGTTTTCAAACTAAAAATATTTTTTGGTTTCTTGTAATATCAAGCTTAATAAAAATATCTTTCCTCATTACCAACTAGTTTTATGTAAGGATTAAACAAATTTAGTTTTTCTGATAAAGTTTAAAGTACGCACATAGTGATCGTTTCTATGGTAGCCACATACGAAGTTTATGATACAGTAGTCTGAGGTTTATAAATAAAAAAGGCCGTACTGAAAATTTAAAATAATTAAACGAAATGGAGCAACCAGAGAATAATGAAATTCAAGCTTTAGAAGATGAAGCTAAAAACTTGGAAACAGCAGTTGCACTAAAGAATGCTGGAATCGAAAATAGTAAGCTCAAACAGGAGGTCGCCAAATTGGGAGAGATCCTGGAAAAGCAAAGAAAAGTCCTGGACGAAGCTGAAAACAGTAGGAAGGAAGCCAAATTGATTTTCTCAGCTTTATTGGCATTGAAAAAGGACAATGGAAGTAACTTAATAGTTAAGTCAATCCCCTAGATTTATAAAAGTATTCAATAACAATTTTATTTTAGGATTCTTCAGGATATAAGCCGCCCCAAAAATCAAAACTAAATGAGAAATCAAAATCGACTAAGTAATGTTTTTTACTTTAATGTACCTTTGTACATGTTTACGATATTATAAAAATATTCCCAAATTTTTAAAGTTGAAATTAAGGTGTTTTCTTTTTATAAATGGTTTATTTATCTAAATTCCAAGACAAAAATATTTGTACAATTAAAAATTCTGTAAACAATCCAGAGTGATTAAAAATAAATTATAATTATTTTGTAGAACTTAAATTATATTTAAGGTTTAGTGGGCGTATTGCTGTGTGTCTTTTTATGACCGCGGTTGTGGGACTCCCTCCCACTCAAAAAAACTCCAATCGCTTTATGCATATTATTTTTTAATCCATTACTCTAAGTAAGCACGGGAGACATTACACGGAAAAACAAAATACATATATTGCATGTATGTATAAATGTATGTAAAAATAAGAAGTGTTCATATTGTAATATAAACTCGAATAATTAAGAGTGTCTATAAAACTACAATCGGATCCAGCTAGAGAGCAATTCGAGGCATGCTTAAAATTCTTTCCGGACAGTGACAGCTGCTGTTGAAGTTGGATACATATTTCGTCGCTAGTGTATAGTATATATACTCCTAAGGTAAAGCCGATCCAGTTGCCTAGACATGGTCGATCTTCAAGGCATCCAAGCTGGTGCCCTCGGCCTGCGCCTTCTGCGCGTAGTAGCCATCGTACGAGGTGGTCGCCTTGATGATCTCCTGCTGCTGCTGCAGCTTCGTCAGCTGCTCGCAGGCAGCAGCCGCGATCTTCTGCCGCTCGATGTCCGCCTTCCGCTTCGCCTCGTTCTCCTCCAGCTGGTGCGCCAGCAGCTCGGCGGTGGCTGCCGCCCGTTCCACGGCCGGATCCTGGTACTGATCGAAGTTCCGCGGCTCGGCATCCGGCTCCAGTTTGCGGAACGTGATCTGGGTGGGCGCACTGCGCTCGGGCACATGCCTCCTGTTCGGCTTCTCGTGCGTCTTGATGTGCTTCTTGAGCGCCGTCTCCTGGCGGAAGTGCTTGCCGCAGATCTTGCACTCGAACGGTTTCTCCCCGGTGTGTATCCATTCGTGGTGGCGCAGGATCTGCGCCTTGGAGAATCGTTTCGGGCAGAAGCGACAGGCGAAGTCCTTGACCTTCTCGTGGATGATCTTGTAGTGGAGTTTCATGTTTCCAATGTTATTGAAGCCCCGGCCGCAGCCCGGACAGATGTGCTGGCCCTCCTTCTTGGTGAAGTTCACCTGCGGCGACCACGAGGGCACGGAGACGGAAGGTATGGGATTCACTGCGGTGCCCGCCAGCTGGGAAATGTCCACCCGCTGGACGCGGCGGGAGTTCTTCGGCTTGGGCGGCACTGCTGCGGACCCGCCGCTGCACGCCTTGAGCATGTCTTCGCCGGGCATCTGGTTGGGATCCATGGGCACCAGCCCCTCGCCCTGCATCTGCATCGGCATCTGGCCAGGCATTATACCGGGCATCTGGCCGGGAATGGGAATGTTAAGCTGCTGGCGATGGGGCTCCGAAGGCGGCAGATCCCGCTTCTCGTGCGTCTTCAAGTGCTTGGTGAGGCTCTTCTCGCAGAGGAAGATCTTGCCGCAGATTTTGCACTCGCAGCACTTCTCTCCCGTGTGACTCCGCTCGTGCACCTTGCAGGCGTGCGACTTGCCGAAGGTCTTGCCGCAGTACTGGCACGCGAAATCCTTGCGCTTCTCGTGCACCACCTTCACGTGGTTGGACAGGGCCTGTTTGTTGTGCGAGGCGTGGTCGCACTGCCGGCACTTGAACTTCTTCTCCTTGGTGTGCGTTAGGATGTGGGCGTTCCACTCCTGCCTGGTGGTCTTTCCCACTCCGCAATACGGGCAGACGTGGTTCTTGATGCCCGCATGTCGCATTAGATGATCCCTCAGAGCACTGTTGATCACGAACCGCTTGCCGCAGATGTTGCACGGATACGGCAGCTCCTCGCCCGTGTGCTTGTACATGTGCTTCTTGAGCGCCGTGGGGCAGCGGAAGACGGTGTCGCATTCCGGACAGGGGAAGTCGCGCAGCGGTGCCGCCGCCTTGGTGATGCCGTGCACCTTTTTCATGTGGAAGGTGAGCAGGCGGACGCGCGGGAAGGTCTTGCCGCAGCCCTCGGCGATGCAGGCATGAACCTCGGATAGTTCCGTGTGGGCGTGGTCGATGTGGATGCGCAGCCCGTTTGCTGTGGTGAAGCCTAAAAACAAGGGAGAGGGTAAAAAGGTGGATCTCAACCACTGGAAATCGGAAACATACCCTTCTTGCAAGTCTCTACCTTGCACTGGAAGGGCAGCAGGTCGTTGTGGTACTTCATGTGCTCCTCGTAGCGGATGGCCTTCTTGAACTTCTGGTGGCAGATGTGGCAGTCGATGATGCGGTGCAGGTGTCGCTCCTCGACGGGAATGCGCTTGCGTTTGGGCTTGTCGCCGCGCGCACCGTCATCATCAGAGTCATCCGAGTCGGAGGACGAGCCGCTTATCTCCTCCTCGTCTGGAGGAGGCGGCTTTATCTTCCTTGGCCGTCCCCTAGGCTTGCCCTTGGGTTTGCCGTCGGCGGCCGATCTACCTGGCTGGGATCCTGACCCGGTGCCCGGACCCCGCATGCGCTGGGCCAGCGGAATGTCATCATCGCTGCTGTTTGGCTCGAAATCCAGGTCGTGGTCATTGTCGTTGCCGCTCTCGATGGAGGAGTCGTCGTCGAACATCTTAATGGTGGCATTCGGCGGGTCTTCCAGCTCCACCTTCGCCTCGTTCTCCACCTCCTCGGCTTCCTTGTCGACGTGTTCGAGCATCTTGAACACATCCTCCTCGTTCTCGATCAATTCCATTTTGTGGTTGAGCAGCGGATCATAGTTGACGTGGTCCTCATCCTCGGCCTGGTAATCCTGACCCGCCGTATTGGGATCGAGGACATCGAAGCTGCTCTGGCAGGCGAAGACATTACTGGCCACCAAATCCTGGAACTTCTGTACTGAGTCGACGCACTGTCTTTGAAAGTCGTGCAGGTCGTTTAGCTTGGTGTAGCACAGGGTGCACAGGTTCTTCGGGAAGCCATCGTTCTGTTCCACGGACAGGGAGGTGCAAAAGCAGAGCTTCTTGGAGAGTCCTGGCACCAGATACAAATCGTAGGCGGCGTCGTTCTGCAGGTGGTTCAGACAGATCCTGCACAGGCTGTGGATCGAGTACTGCCTGCCCTCGTTCATCTTGCTTTCACTCGCACTGGGCACTGTGAATCGGTTCGGTTATTTTCAGCTTTTTGCGTATCTCTCCGGGCAGCTAGCAATAAAATAATATTGACACAGAAAAAATTGTATACTCGTCGACGGAAATCGGGCGAGTGTGCAATAAGCACTGCCAGCGATATACTCGTCGAACCGTCTCGATTTATTTTCCAGGGATGGAAACGCACTTTAACCTTTGTTGGTATCTAATAAGAATTCTTATAGGATTTAATTTCTCATTTATTTAATTCCTGTGTTTTAAAAGTAATTATTAATATTCATGTTAGAGGCATAAATATTAAGCAGTTTGGCAAAAATTCAAATTGGACGCATTTACACCTCTTAACTTGTTGCAAAACTAGGCTCATATTATTTGTATTTATAAATATTTATCAATCACCCTGCTCCTCGAGCACATATGTGGATGCTTATTTAAAACGCTTATTGGCGTGGTCGGATCAAGTTGGTTGGTAATCCTTAGGGTATTGGAGAATCAACTGCAATAACAACTTACAGGACCAACCAGAAGATAAATGTTGGACTATCCTGTTCGGTAATCCACTTTACTATCATTTTTACCCATTGTACCTAAAATGGGTTAAAAATACAGGCGGACGGCCACACTGGCAAGAACACTGCGATAAATTTGTTTTGAAGCTCGGCTTGTAATATCCCCGAGAATCGGGAGAAATGGACACCGCGGAGCTCCAGTACTCCGTCCACTCCCTCTGTCGCATCTGCTTGATCCACCTGGAGCAGGCTATTAGTTACGACTTGTTCCTGATTTCGGACTTGGCCAGAAAACTAAAGAGTTGCACTTCGCTGGAGGCGGAATCGGGCGATGGTTATCCAAAGAGTCTGTGCACTCAGTGCTTCACCAAGCTGAACGACCTGTATGACTTCCAAGAACTTTGTGCGGTGTCCATAAAACGATTCAAGGAAATGGTGGCCAGCAATAGGATTCTCCCCATGGGAGTTTTTGAGCCCGTGGCTGAGAATTCTGAAGCATTAGGGCGGCAGGAGGAGCAGACCAGCTATGATCCCTTGCTGAACCATAAGCTGGAGATGATCGACAACGAGGAGGAGGTTTTCAAAATGCTAGAAACGGTGGACAGAGAGCCGGAAGAACATGGTAGTTTCGACGGCCAAGGGGATTCCTCCAGTGAAGAGGAAAATGAGCAGGATGAAAAGAAGCAGGCGTTGAAGAGCGACTCCAGCGAAGATGATCAGCCTTTGTCCAGCCGGCGAAGAATTCCCAGCGACGAGCGCCACCTTCACCGCTTAATAACCTGCCCCATCTGTCAGCAAAAGTTCAAGAAGCCGTCCAAGTTTGAAGAGCACATGAAGCACCACAACGACCTGCTGCCGTTTCAATGTGAGGAGGAAAACTGCCAAAAGGGTTTCACCACAGCCGGAGCACTGCGCCTCCACGTGGACTATGCGCACACCAAAAAGGCCGAAGAGATCCCCTGCACTGTGGAGGGCTGTAGGTTACTATTTCCCCGTCTCCGTCTGCTGACCATCCACCTGAAGAAGGTGCACAACCAGACGAGGGTGAGTGCCCCGCGGGTTGAGCAGCCCTGCGGAGAGTGCGGTATGGTCTTTCGGTGCCCGGTGGCTCTAAAGAAGCACATGTACAAGCACACGGGCGAAGAGCTTCCCTATCCCTGCAATATTTGCGGCAAGGGCTTCCACATCAATAGTGCCTTGAAAAATCATCTACTCCGACACGCAGGAATCAAGAACTACGTGTGTCCGTATTGCGGAGTGGGGAAGACCACGCGTCAGGAGTGGAGCAAGCACATCCTCACCCACACGCAGGAGAAGCAGTTCAAATGCCACATCTGCGATCATGCCACCCACACCAAACGGGCCTTGGATAGCCACGTGAAGATTGTGCACGAGAAAATCCGAAATTTCGCCTGTCAGTATTGCGGAAAGACTTTTGGGAAATCACACGCCTGCAAGATCCATGAGATGACGCACACGGGGGAAAAACGATGCGAGTGCAAGGTGAGGATTCCTTCCTTTTTTGTTCTAAATACCCGTTTAATGAAAGCTACCTTTTAGGTTTGTGGGAAGAAGTTTTTGTATACAGAGAGCTTAACAAAACACCTGAAGATTCATGAAAAAAGCGTGGAGAGAGCTCTGGAAACCTATAGGCAACGACAAGGTGAAGGTGAACCTGGAGACGTCCAAGTGGACGCGGATCAGCTGTTGAAGGTGTGCGCCGAGTCCGTGGCCACTATACCAAAAGATCCCCGTCGCGTCGAGCGAGTTGATCTGGCTCAACTGGCGGGGACCGTAGTGAATCCCATACCCATTGTTGAACTGCCGCCCAGTGAAGTGCCTATTCGCACAAAGTTTGTACAGAAGGAGGGCATGCACTTGTGTCCAGGCTGCAGTCAGGGATTTAATAACCTGGGCAACATGAAGCGTCATTATAAAAGCGTCCACGAAAAGGTTAAGGACTTCGAGTGTCGCTTCTGCTCCCGCCGTTTCGCTAACTCACAATCATTGAAGCAGCACGAGTGGATTCACACCGGCGAAAAACCATATGAGTGCAAGGTTTGTGGGACTCATTTCCGCCAGGAAGCGGCTCTTATCCGCCACCAAAAAGTCCATGATGAAAAGCCACCTAAGCCACCCAGGCCGCCCAAAGAGATCAGCGAAAGAGCCCGCCAAAAGGCGATGCAAAAAAGTGAGCGAAGACGAAAGGTGGAGGCTCTTCGTCAGGAGATCGCCGAGGTCGCCAAGGAGGAACTGAAGGATTTGGAGAAGCAACGGGCTCTGGAGAAGCAGCAGAACACCTACGAGCAGTATCAGGCAGCGGCAGCTGGACAGGCTATTCCTGAATCCAAAGGGGTATCTTGATTGGGTATTAGTTTTGGGTGAGGCTTCAAGACTTCCCAACCGCTTGGGAGATTAAATTGTTGGTTAATATTTAACTATTACTTAATTGTTACTTTAGTTTTAGGTAAATGAATAAACTTTTTATATTTTGTCAAAGAGAAACAATCGGTTTTAGTTTTTCTATTTTTTTTTATTTTTACTTTTACTTGCTTGTTATTTTGATGAGAGAGTGTCTTAATGTCGTCAAATGATTGCAAACAGCCGGGATCGGTCCGCAAATGGCCGCATTCCGCGATGTCCGGCTGTTTATATGATAGATGGAGTGATGGATGGATGATAATGATTAGATTCAAATGATACAAAATGCGATCAAAAAAATCTACAAGTAGATAGCAAAAATTTGGTATACATATAAGTAGGAGCGAGTAGTTCCCAAAACAATGGAAAATGTTTGGTGGTGGAAGGGGGCGTCATCTGGTCGGTCCCAACTGGTGACCCATTCCCGCCTGCCGTGCCGTCTGGATGGTCTAAGGAGCCTCCGGCGTCTTTAGATTGTATTTTGCCTTGATGTTGTTTAGCTCCTCCTGCTTTTTGTCCATGTCCACACGCTTGAATGCCTTGTTGGATTGGTAGTAGAGCACCACTAGATAGCGATTGCAAACGTTGAAGCCGGATAAATGGTCGCAGGCGTTCTTGGCATCGAAAATGTCCTCATAGACGACAAAGGCGGTGCCTCGCGTTTCCGGAGTGTTGCCCCTATTGAGGATAATATTTAGTGAGTGGATCTCGGGAACTGGGCAAAGGCACTTCCAACTTACACGCGTATCTGTCGGATCGCCCCAAATTTGCCGAAAATGTCGTACATCTCGTCCGAGGTGATTTTGTACGGCAGGTTTCGCACGTACAGCAGTCTATTTACCTCCGGAGGCAGGCGGATCTGCAAAAGAAATTGGTTTTCCCCATCAAATCCATTTACTTTGTCTTCAGAAACGGAGTTTTCTACTCACATGGTTGCGCTTGTTCATGACCGGTCGCTTTGGATGTTGAACGGCGACAAGCGAGAAACTTTCACTCGGTCGTGGGGAAAGCGAGAAGCGGCTTTGTCCGTCACGGGATGAATGTCCTGAAGCGTGGTCCTTTGTTTAAAATTAATGACTTCTCTGTCTGGCCTCAAACCCAAACAAAATTGACCAGGGTGGCGAATGCGGGCACTCTAAAGTAGTGGAAGTGTGACCACATTTGTTGAAATGCGACCGTATACCGGTACAGCATCTAGAGATGGTGTTATTATCTTTTAATATCTAGAATTAATAAATTTGTTTTAATACAAAGTACGATACATTCATCATTGCTTAGAACAAATTCATATTTTATGTTTAAGTTAAGTTTTATCAATTTTCATTCGTTATATGATTGTTTAAAAATTTTAAATGGTACATATTGTTTTAAGCTGCAACCAAACCAATCTTGAATAACAAGTAATATATATATCATACAATGGCAATGGAAATAAAATTATATAAAATATAGGTATATGCGAAAACGACACGCACCCATCTCTAACACCAGAATGGCATACTGCCTCGCTCACCCACGGCCACACTACACACTACTCTGCTAATTGTGCAAAGAAAAAGTGAAAAAAGAGAAAATTTGTAGGAAAACTCAACATAATTCCGACCCAACTAGTTTTAAAGCACAGCCAACACCTAAAGGTGAGTACGAAGTGTATGGGCGAAAGGGTTTTCGGCGTGGAAAAGTGTTTTTCTGGGGCTCGACCGAGGTTCACGGAATATGGCGGAGGAAGGCGGGTTCGGTTCGGGTTTTTCCTCTGTCTGGGTTTCTGGGCAGGAAATCGCAAGTTCCTCGCGGGGAAGGGCTTTCATCTCGCGCCGTCCGCTGTAAACCCATTAAGTGCCAAAGGAAAATTGGACGGAACGCGAAAATGTCAAATCAGCAGATGTCCGTGCGCGAGTGTGGGTGCGAAATGCGCTGGTGTGCGTAAGTGGCCTCGAACGGAGTGTCTCTCTCGCTCTCTCTTTCTCCCCCATTTGCTACCCCTTGCGAGGGCATTCACCCTAATTCACTATTCACTAAACTACGGCCCATCCGATCTTCCCTAGCAGCAGCAAAATGACGTGGGAACCACAGGGAGAAGGTCTGCAGCAGATCATAGCGATCCTCAAGGAGTCGCAGTCACCGGACACAGCCACCCAAATGGCCGTACAGATGGTAAGTAATAAAACCCCCAACTGTTTTGCCATTCATTCCACATCATTTTGCTTGGTTCTACAGAAACTTGAGGAATTCAATCGGTATCCAGACTTCAACAACTATCTAATCTACGTGCTGACTAAGCTGAAGACAGAGGACGAGCCCACGCGTTCGCTCAGTGGCCTGATCCTCAAGAACAACATCCGCATGCACGGCAGTAACCTGCAGCCCGAGATTGTAGAGTACATCAAGCACGAATGTCTGCAGGCGGTGGGAGACACCTCTCCTCTGATCCGAGCTACCGTGGGCATTCTGATCACCACCATTGCGAGCAATGGCGGCTTGCACAACTGGCCGCAATTACTGCCATCGCTTTGCGAGATGCTCGACAACCAGGACTACAATGTGTGCGAGGGAGCTTTCAGCGCGTTACAGAAGATTTGCGAAGACTCGGCCGAAATACTGGACTCTGCGGCGCTCAACAGACCTCTAAACGTGATGATTCCCAAGTTCCTGCAATACTTTAAGCACAGCAGTCCCAAGATCCGCTCCCACGCCATTGCCTGCATCAACCAGTTCATCATAAACAGATCACAGGCTCTGATGTTAAACATTGACAGCTTTATTGAGAACCTCTTTCACTTGTCCTCGGATGAGGACCACGAGGTGCGTAAGAACGTCTGCCACGGATTGGTAATGCTGCTGGAGGTGCGCATGGACCGTTTGATGCCGCACATGTCTCAGATTATTGAGGTAAATATAATTTGTTTCTGTACAACACGATTTAGTTTAAGAACATTCTGATTGATCTATTTACTTTCAGTACATGTTGCTGCGCACACAGGACTCCGACGAGGGCGTTGCCCTGGAGGCTTCGGAATTCTGGCTCTCACTGGCTGAGCAAAGCATCTGCAAAGATGTGCTCGCACCTTATCTGTCCCAGTTAGCTCCAGTTCTTGTGCGCGGTATGCGCTATTCAGAGGTTGACATTATTCTCTTGAAGGGCAACGTGGAGGAGGACGACATGGTGCCGGATCGAGAGGAGGACATTCGACCTCGATTCCACAAGTCCCGCGCCCACACAATCAAGAGTACCCAAGAGGGAGCTGGAGCCGCTGGAGAGGATGACGACGACGATTTTGACGATGGATTGGACGACGATAGCTCGCTATCAGAATGGAATTTGCGCAAGTGCAGCGCTGCCGCCTTGGATGTGCTGGCCAATGTATTTCGAGAGGATTGTCTGCCGGTTGTGCTGCCCATCCTGAAAGAGACCCTGTTCCACCAGGAGTGGGTGATCAAGGAGAGCGGAGTGCTGGCTCTTGGCGCCATCGCCGAGGGCTGCATGCAGGGCATGATTCAGCACTTGCCGGAGTTGATTCCCTACCTGATTAGTTGCCTGTCCGACAAGAAGGCCCTGGTGCGCTCCATTACCTGCTGGACGCTCTCACGCTACGCCAATTGGGTGGTCAACCAGCCGCACGACCAATACTTGAAGCCACTGATGGAAGAGCTGCTCAAGCGCATTCTGGATTCCAACAAGCGTGTCCAGGAGGCGGCGTGCTCTGCTTTTGCAACTTTGGAGGAGGAGGCCTGCACGGAACTGGTGCCCTACCTAGAGTACATTTTGAAGACGCTCGTCTTTGCCTTCTCCAAGTATCAACACAAAAATCTACTGATCCTGTACGATGCCGTCGGTACCTTGGCGGATTCCGTGGGCCATCACCTGAACAAGCCGCAGTACATTGAAATCCTAATGCCGCCGCTTATCGACAAGTGGAATCTGCTTAAGGACGATGACAAGGACCTATTCCCGCTGCTGGAGTGCTTGTCGAGTATTGCCACTGCCTTGCAGTCCGGTTTTTTGCCCTATTGTGATCCTGTGTATCGAAGGTGCATCTCCCTGATTGAGCAGACCATTAACCAAGAAATGGTAAGCAAGATTTACTAAAGTTGAGCGATGTTATGATTAAATTAATTAAAATCCATTTTAGCTGTGCAAACAAAACCAAACGTACGATCATCCCGACAAGGAGCGCATGATTGTTGCCCTTGATCTGCTGTCTGGCTTGGCGGAGGGTTTGGATCGTCACATCGAGACGCTGGTGGCCAACAGCAATATTATGCATCTGCTCTATCAGTGCATGCAGGACGTTTTGCCTGAGGTGTGTTTCAAAATCTTATCTTTGACAAGGTGATAAAACTATTGACCTTTATAATTGTAGGTTCGCCAATCATCGTTTGCCCTGCTGGGTGATCTAACCAAGGCGTGTTTCCCTCATGTGCATCCCTTTATGGCGGAGTTCTTCCCCATCCTGGGTCAAAACTTGAACCCCGACTTTATTTCAGTGTGCAACAATGCCACCTGGGCCATAGGCGAAATCTGCATGAAGTTGGGTGAGTAAAAATACCTTTGTATGGTGTTGTTTTTGTTTTAACCATTTGCTATAAAGGTGAGGAGACGAAGCAGTACATACGCCTTGTACTCAGCGACTTGTTCATTATCATCAACCGGCCGAACACTCCCAAGACTCTGCTGGAGAATACAGGTGAGCCGTTTGGGCTGATCCGGTTAATCGAATTGCCGGGATGCCTCAAAACTTATATGCGATTTGTTTGTATATATCTGATTCTGAATGTATGCGTGTATGTGGATCTCTGGAACTTTGTTTCTGTTTTAATTTGTGTTACTTGTTGCATGAGAGCAGCAACGAAACGAAATCGAACATCATTCCCATACAACATGCATAGATAGACAGTTGAGAATCGCAATTGATATTCAATTCAAGTGTAGTTATCAATTAAAACGAACTACGTGTGATATTGATTTATTCAGTTGATTTATTTATTCTTATTTATTCTGTTCTTTTAGCAATAACAATCGGTCGTCTAGGTTATGTGTGCCCAGTTGAAGTGGCTCCTTTTTTGCCCGAATTTGTACGACAGTGGTGTGTAACTCGTTTTTATATTTAACTAGCTTATTTTTTTATGATATTCCCTTATCTATCCGTCCCATGCCATTCCTCAAATTACGCTTAAACACTAAATCCAACCAGCACACCCATTTATTTCTCTAACAACTTGACGCTCATCTTTTGAACACGTTTTTAACATTATATAGCTGGAATTTAAAATTTGCTTTTAAAGTTTACTGTTTGCTACAACCTGCTAATAAATGGTTTTAATGTAAAAATTCAATTTCAATATTCTCCCCGAAAAATTTAGGTGCACATCGCTGCGTCACATACGAGACAACGATGAGAAGGACTCGGCCTTCCGTGGCATGTGTCATATGATCACGGTAAATCCAGCTGGCGTGGTGCCCGACTTCATATTCTTCTGCGATGCGATCGCCTCGTGGGTGAATCCCCCACAGGATCTGCACCAAATGATTCAAAAGGTAACCTAATGATTTCGCGTGTCGTTTTGATAAACTAATATTTCGTATTATTGCAGATTCTGCATGGCTTCAAGACCCAAGTGGGTGAAGAAAACTGGCGTCGTTTTGTGGAGCAATTCCCGCCAACACTTGCCGAGCGCCTGGCCACCATGTACAACATCTAAGGCCAGGCAGGCTATATAACACCCACCTGCACCCACTAGTGAGCAAAGCAGCAACATCTTAACTAGACAACTATGTACAAGTATGCGTAGTATGCGTGTCGTCTTAATCTTTAACCTCCCTTAGTTATCCGATTCGATGCTGTTCGAATGTTACGTTAAAATTGAAATTTAAGCTTATAGAAAACAAGAAAAAAAAACAGCAAATTCACATAAAAGCAACTGCATAACCAGACTTATAACCACATACATATATCGATATATCTAATAGAGAAGATTCACATATATTCGAACCTCTTTAGGCAGTCGTCTGTCCGCTTCGAGCGTGTTAAATGCTTTTATTATGCAAAAACTCAGTAGGAATTACAAGAAAGTGATGTGTTCCGGCCGTACTTAACCGGAGTCAGTGCTATAATATAAACATACCCAAACCTCCAATACACTCAGCCCAAAGCGAAAATAGAGTTGAATATGCTGGACACACGGGTGTTCTCCATAGAATAGGTAATAAACAAAAAAAAAATCGTCGAAACTAAATGATCGTGCGGGTTCGTGTCGCGGTAATTAATAAACTAAATCGTTGAAAGATGAATGTGTTGGGCCAATTGTGAAATCCAAAGATTAGAAATGGACTAATGCACTACGAATGAAAAGATTCAGCTAAGGTAAAGGATACAAATCAAACAAAGACTGATGTTTAAAATCAACTCCGTTCAAAATCCATAGAAAGCATTCATCAACAGGCGATTTGAATTTCACAAGTGAGCCCAACACTTTCATAACTTAAATAATATTTAAAACAATCGAAGAAAAATCGTCGCGTTTCGGGTTTATACGGTTTCGCGCTCGCGTATTTTCGTCGTTCGTTCGTAATCGTAATCGTCGTTCGTGGTAACTCGTCGGGTAATGAAAATCGGGAAAATGAAAGAAAAATAATACAAGGATAACGATAATATTGCAACTGTTACTGATACAAATTTACTTATACACTGCATGATATTCATATGCTATACAAAATTAGGTGTTTTTTTACGCGTTGTGTAAGCAAAAAGCAAATAGGGAAAAATAAAAAATTGAGATTAGGATTTCGTTGAGTATCTTATTTATTTTTTTTCGATCCTTTAACTGAATACAAAAGCAACCATTGACTGATCACTTTTTAAAGTATTATTATATAATTTTTTTTTGTATAGGGACAAGTGTAATTAATTAACTAATATTATTTTCAGCAAACTTTGATATAATTTGTATAGGCTCGTGTATTCCGTAACCTTTATAATTTATGATTTTTGTACAGAACAAATTTTTTACAATTATACGATTAGGTGTAAAGTGTACTACTAAATGGAAACAAAAGTCTTTGAAATTGTCGCGGAACAACTTAAAAAATACGAAAAGTAAAACTAGGGAAACCAAACTCAGTCAAACTCAAATATAAAATGATTATGAAGCAAATAGATAACAGAGTAAATCTAAGTAATAGTATTATGTAATAATGCAAACCGTGATTACGTTTGTATTTTTATTTCGTTTAAAACAAAATCAAAGGGGGAACGTGTGATAATAAAGTAACTTCGGGTCGTTCGTTCGCGTCGCGTTAAACTCAACCAATCTAAAACTAACAATAAGGGACTTTCGCCCCCGAGTCCCAAATAATATTTGCAATACATGGTAATTATAATACGGTCTAATTAAAAAGCAGTGAGGCAATCGCTGAACTGAAACTAAACTAAAATGAAAAATCGTGATTTCGTTGTACCTTAATCCGGATTCATCGCGGAATCCGGTCGCGTTCGCGTGCGTTTGTATCTCTCTCGGGTGATCTTAGTGATTAGCGTTTAAGCAGTTAAACAAATAAAAAAAAACAATCAACACTACAACCACACACACAAAACATTGAACATATACACACCACACATATAGAACTATATAAAGTATATTTATAGATTTTATGCAGAATAGGTTTTTGTTCTTTACGTTATTTTTCAGTTTGATAGGGCCAACCAAAAACAAAAAAAAAAAAAGAGTAGGGAACTAAAAATAAAGTAAATGTTAGGTCAAGTTAGGGCAAGAAATAAATAAATAAAAGCAAAACGTAACAAAAACAGGAAATCAAATAAGATTTGTGCAGCCTTAGGGAAATTTTATTTTTTATTTATTACATTATTACTGTGTGTATGTAATTAAAATTTTGAAAAGAACGTAACATCTGTTTTTGATCCTATACACAAACATAATCATCCACTTTTGTTGTTTCTTTAGGTATATGAAGACCAAGCTTAGTTAATATTGTTTTAATTGTTACTTTTTACACACCTCTTATAACACCTAATTAATTCATCAAGCACACAACTCTGATAGGTTTAAATCTTGTAATCCTTTAACTTAAAATTCACTTTCACTAACTCGGTTAACAAAAGGTCTGCAAATGTCTAACGAAATTGAATATATTTACGCGCCTATATACATTAAAAACATACCCGTATATATGAAGTACATGCAAGTATGTATAATCCCTAAATTAGCTATATGGATCCAGCATATTGGCAAACTAGAGATTATTCTTCTGGAGTCAAATGTTTTACTAAAGCTCCATTTCAAAATTCAACTATCGAGATTTGTGTAAATTGAAAAGTATATATATGAATAAATATGTATGTATAACATTACCATCAGCAACACAATGATTTTAGTGGAATTTAAATTAAGAGCACTGGTAAATTTTGGATTTTAAGTTTCCTGCTTTATTGGGAAAAAGTTTACAGAACCTTAGCGGTAAAGGAAAAACACAAATTTTACTTTGATTAAAGGGATTTATTATTTATTAATTCGACAAAGTTTAAAAGCAAAGATTGAGTTTAAAAAAGAGTAAAGCAAATATATTGGCACACTGTTTGGCTTATAGAACTAGAAAGTATACGACAGGCAATTTTGCTCAGGGTTCATTATCGTTGAATCCCCAGACTTTCTGGGCCTGTCGATTTTGTTCGTTTAAGATTTGTTCGTTCGTTGTCCAGTGGAATGCATTTGTCGGCAACTTTAGATTTTTCCTTGCATCTTTTCGTAGACTGGTACATTTAAATCGTAGGTCCTTGAGTCATTCCGGATTTCATCACTAGTTGAGGGGGCAGTAACCTTGCCAGATATCGCCGATCACCATGTTGGGCGTAATGTTGATTAACTTTTGGTTCACCTCCACCTTGCTGATGCAGCCCTTGAAGGATTTCTTGGTCTTGATACCCGGTGCCTTCGCAAAGGCCAAGTGGCCACCCAGGAACAACGGACGGTTCGTCCTGGTCGTAACGGATCCCTCGCCACCCACGCCAGGATTCGAGCTAATGAAGTCCACGGCGATGTTAATCACAAACTTGGACTTAATGGCCTGCACGTTGCGGGTCTTTCCATCGCAGAAGCTCTCGTTGTTGGGCAGCTTATAGTTGGTGGTCACGATGTTCTTCGGATCGGTCTTGACGGTGAAGAACAGGGTGTTGTCCACCAGCTCCAGGATGGAATAAGAGTTCTTGCCATGCACCGAGAAGAGCAGACCGTTGGGATCCCTCGGCCGGAAATCGAAGCTGATCTTCATCTCAGATCCGACATCGAAGTGATCGAAGATCTTCACGTACGCCTTCTGGTTGTTGAAGAACAGGCCACGCTCCACCTGCTCGGAGCACGGAACCACCCCGAACTCCTCCGGCGGCGTCTCCAGATCGACGCCATCGAACTTGATGTTCTTGAGGCAGCCGTTGAAGAACGGCACCTCCGTGATGAAGCCGGTAAGGTTCCTGACCTCCGACTCCAGGAACTTGTTAACGCCACCAAGATAGATGGGCATCTCGACGGCCAGCACTGGAGCACTGCGCTCCGCACTCAACTCCACGGAACCCGGCTGCTCCAGCTTGTCGATCAGCAGACTGACCTTCCGGCTGGTTCGCACCACCTCTACGGTGTGCCAGGAGCCATCGTTAAGCTCCGCCTCGCTGGTGATCTTTGCCCGTAGGAGAGCTCCCACCCGCAGCTCGTACGTCACACGACCGTCCAGCAGGTAGACGGCTATAAAGTCATCGCGTTGCTTGCTTCCGGCGAAGATGAGCAGGCCGTTCGGTCGCTCCGTGCGGAACGAGATGCCCATGTCGTGGTGGCGACGCAACTTCACTGGCAGCGAGTTGATCTGCAAACGCTGCTCCCGCAGTCCGTAGAATCGGTAGCCCGCCTCTGCGAAGTCCACATCGAAGTTCGGTTTCTCTGGTAACTTGCAGCGCTCGTCGCTGGGCAGATTCAACTTGGCCGGCGGCCGGGTGGTCAAGGTCTTCGGTGGCGCCCTGAGCTCCTGATCCTTCTCTTCATCGATGTTACTCGGCGACTGCGTTGTTGGCGGCGGAGTGGTTGTTGTTGTTGTGGTCGTTGTTGTAGTGGTTGTTGTGGTAGTCGTTGTCGTTGTGGTTGTTGGTGGTGTGGGTGGTAATGTGGCTTCAATATCGGGCTTCAGCGGGGGAAGTGGCTCCGGGTTCCACGGAGTGTCCACCTCATTGGCTCCGCTCGGATAGTAGCTGGGCACCAGACTGGGCTCGTAGGCTAAAAGCAAAGAAAGGAGTTTGGTGAGTTTAATTTAATTCTTGTAATGATTGGAGTCTTCTTCAGATCTAAGATTTAACACTTACCTAGAACATGAGGAGGACAGCTGTTGATGTTGCCGTTCTTCTTCTCAGCACTGTTGGCAAAGTTGATGATCTCCTCGTTGACGGTTACATCACGGATGCAACCAACGAAGTAGGCCAAACTGGCCAATGCATTCCTGGGCGTTCGATAGTTATCCGGTAACCCGGCGAAGAAAATATCGCCACCCTCCAGAATCAACGGTTGCGGAGAGCCAAGTCTTTGGGTAGACGAAAAACAAAGATTAGCAAGAATAAAATTATTTTGATTTTAAGATTCCTAATCCTAGAAAAACCTTCTTCAAACCCACCTCTTGTTATCCACATCGTCGACGGAGAGACGCAGTTCACCCTGGGTGTGCTGCACAGTGACAACATGATCCTCGCCATCGTTCAGGAGACGATCCTCGATCACCAACTGGCTACCCATGCTGTTTAGCTTGAGCAGGCCTTCGTCCAGGCTGAGTCCGATGTTGGCACTCTGGTCATGATTGGCCGCGTAGAAGAGCACGCCGTTTGGTTGACTGGTCTTGAAGCGCAGCACCACATGCAGGTTGTTGTCGGAGGAAACGTTGTTGATTCTTAGGAAACCATACTCATGCGGAGCATACGAGACAACGGTGGAGAACTTGGCAGGGCAACCCTCCTCCACTCCTCCACTGGTTGCGTACTCCGTGAGATCAACAACTCCGCCATTGATCACCACATTGTCGATGCAGCCATCAAAGTTGGGTTGCAAACTAATCGTGCTGTTCGGACGTCTCGGATGGCCACCGAAGTACAATCTCCTTAGCTTAGGCAGCTCCAAGTCAGCTTCCAATGGAGCATTCGATTGGGATATCACCACATCGTCCACCTTGAGTAATCCATCCCGGTTCTCCCTCACCGCCTGAACCTTGTGCCACTGGTTGTCGTTGTAGCGATCCTGGCTGCCGGCAATAACGCCTCCACCCGGTCCCAAGCTGATGTTGAAGAAGATGGCCCCGTCGATCATCTCGATGCTCATGTAGTGTTTATCCCTTCCGTAGAAGAAGAGCAAGCCATTGGAGGTATCCTTGTCCGCCTTGAAGCTGAACTGAATGCTGGAGCGCGTCTTGAAGTTTGAGGTGGCGTTCAGAAGGACAAAGCCATTGCCCTTGAACCGCAGACCCGTGACCGGTTTCTTCTTCTCTAGCAGCACATCTCGCTCATGGGCGCCTTCCGTGTTGTCATCCCCGTAGACAAAGTTCCACAGACCCACGCTCTCGTCGCCGATCTTTAGGTCCTCAATGTCGCCGGTGAAGGAGTTGGTCGTGAGGTCTGGGGGAGCATTGAAGTCCGATATGCTGGGATAGCCGCCCACAAACAGGCGACTGTTCTTGTTCACATGCAGGATGTTCTGCGTACCCTCCAGATGAGCCGACTTGCTGTGCTCCACCACCTCACCGTTGGGCAGTTGCTCCCTTACTATGAGCTTGGCATTCGGTCCAACACGTTCCACCGCCGCCTGATACCACTGCCCATCGGCCACGTACTTGTCGCTGGTGATGCGCTCGGGACCATTGCCCAAATCGATGGTGAGAATCGGATAGCCGTTCACAATCTCCACGGCCACAAAGTCGTTGTTCTTTTGCGCGGTCTTGTTGTCATTGCCCAGGTACATAAGGAATCCGGATGGCTCGTTGGTGCGGAAGTACGTCGAGAAGTTGGTGCGCGTGGTCAGCAGGTTGGTCTTCTCTGGGGTCTTCAGCTCAAGGATGGTGCTCGGCCGGAACTTGACGCCCACCTTAATGCTGTTGGCCAACTGGCGCGTGGACTCCACGAGGCTCTTCAGGTTCTCGATCGACTGGCCCAGTTTCAAAGTCTCCTCGCCCACGTGCTGCTGCTGATCCTCGATATCCTCGGCCAGTTCGTTCAGCTTCGAAACGGATCCTTCCACATTGTCCAGCTGGTTATTGGCCTGCGAGATGTCCTTGTTGGTCAGATCCAGGTCCCTGTTAATGGCCTGCGCCTTCTCGAGTTCCTTTGGCGTTTGCGCACTCACTGGTTCGAGAATCTCGAGTACGTTCTTCAGGATCTCCAGTGCATCACTGGCATTCGTGTTCGAGTTCTTCCAAATGTCCCGCTGCGATTCCGCTGGCAGTTGGCTGATCAGAATGTTAATATCCTTCAGCTGATGCTCGGTGGCATTGTTAACGGAGGAGATCTTTTGCACTTTGCCGGCTGATCCGTTCAAGCGTGGCTCGAGGTCATCTTGGACTTTTTGAAGCGACTGCCGGGCTTTCTGGAGAAGTTCCGCGGATTCATTGTCTGCTAGACGGGCTTTCTCCTCGATGCCATCGGTAATTTGAGTGGCACTTCCGGCTGCTCCAATCGCATCCTGGCTGAATTTCTGGGCGGCATCCACGGCTTCGACGATGCCCGAGTACGCAGTGGCTGCCTTGATGGCCGGTTCAGCACTGGCGGTCATATCAGAGTACTGCTCGGCCAGCAACTGCGCCTTGGCCGCCAACTCGGCAGCCTTCTGCTCCGCCTGGTCGGTCAGAGCCTCCGCTTCATTGTGCTGCTCCTCCCGCAGCGGCAGCTCTTCGTCCACATTCTTGTTCACGGAAGTCAGTTCAGAGAGGGCATCCTTCAAGCTGTCCAACTTGTCGGTGATTTGGTTGAGGGTTAGATCTCCATTGATCAGGTAGAGCTGTGCATCATTGATGTTCTTCTCGGCCTGTTGCTTTTGCTCGGATACGGTGTCGAATTTGGAATTGTCAAAGGTCTTTTGATTATCCACATTCCTGCGCTCCACATCGGCCGACTTGGTTTGCGACTCCTCGCTCCAGATGAATAGATCCTCCAGCTTATCGCTGAACTCCCCAATATCGTTCTTCAGAGCGTTCAGGCTCTTGTTTTGCTCCTTGATGGGCAGCACAAGTGTGTTCACTTCCTCGTAGAGTTTCCGTGCCTTATCCAGCACTTGTTCGTTGGGTGCGAGTTCGATGCTCGTGCTGTTGATCTGTTCCAGAACGTGTTGGGCTTTCTCCAAGGCAGCATCAATCTTGGTACTTGCTGCCGCCTCGAGATTCTTGGAGAGAGCCTCGACCGAGGAGATCGCTTCCTTGGCCTGGTCAGCGCTCTTCAGAGCCTCTTCGTAGGCGACTGTGATATTACCCAAAGTGGTGCTCGATCGCTCGCGAATGTCCAAGGCATTGGCCAGAGTTTGGTTCACTTGCTTGGCGTACGACTTGGCATCGGACTCCAGTTCACTGTTGGCCTTCTTGGAGGGATTGAGGTCCACACTGTTGGGATCCAGCAACTTAACCTTCGGCTCCAGTTCGTCGGCAAGCTGGTCGTAGTAGTTCAGTTTCTGACTGGTGAAGAAGGCTAGGGTTACGCTGTTGAAATCTGCAAGGACACTGTCGATCTGGTAGCGCATTCGATCGGTGACATCCAACAGGGCGTGGTGACAGTTGTTGCACTCCTGGCAGCCCTCGTCCTTGATCAATACCCAGCGGTTCGGACAGGCGTCGCATCTGGAATGAAGAATACGATCAAATATAAAATATAAAAGAATTAAGGAACCCAACTAGTACCAACCTATCTCCAATGACTCCCGGCAGGCACTCGCACTGGCCCGTGCTGGGATTGCAGCCGAATCCTCGCGAGTATCCCTGGTTGCAGTTACACGGAGTGCACCCCTCCTTCTCGTACTTCCAGTGGTCCACAGCACAGCGATCGCACTGACGTCCAGTCACTCCGGGCTTGCAGGCACAGTGACCCGTGTGCGGGTCGCATTGCGTCGAATTGGAGGCCGCTCCACAATCGCAGGCGCGGCAACCAACTCCCGACTCGAATCCATAGTGATCCGGCTTGCAGCGATCGCAACGCTCGCCAATGACGTTCTCGTGGCAGGTGCAAACACCCACGTAGGGATCGCACTCCTGGGTTCCCAGGTCATCGCAATCGCAGCTCTGGCAGTTCTTCAGCTTGATGGCATCACCGTAGAATCCAGGAGCACACAGATTGCAAGCGGCTCCGAAGGTGTTGTTCAAACAGCGCAGACATTCGCCGGTTCTCGTGTCGCAAGATCCCTGATCCTCTGGATTGATGTTTCCGGAGCACTCGCATGGCTTGCACACCTCTCCCATATTCTCTGGCTGACCGTAGAACCCGTTGGCGCAGGACTCGCAACGAGGTCCTGTGTATCCCGGCTTGCACTCGCAGTGGATCTCGTTTCCGCTCTCGGAGATCTCGCAGCTGGTGGCGAAGTTGTTCGAGTCGAAGGGAAGGGGACAGGCGCAGATCATGCAATCTCCCGGTGATCCATTGGTGGCATTTCCATAGTAGCCAGACACGCACTCCTCGCAGTGATCACCCTGAGTTCCGTGCAGACAGTTCGTGCAAATTCCGGTGGCACAATCGCAAGTCTCCGAATGGCCATTGCAATCGCAGGGAATGCAGTAACCTCCGTACGGACCACTGGGATCTCGGTAGTAGCCAGGTGCACAATCCTCGCACGAGTGTCCTGCGTAACCGGGTGGACAGGAGCAACGTTCCACGGCCAGGAACTTGTACTCTCCCGTGCCGTCGGCATCCTCATCGGCTAGAGTTAGGTAGACATCCGCCAAGTGGGTCACTAGTGTCTGTTCCCAGTAGTTGGCCCTGATGAAGATCGACTTGAGATCCCGCAGAACCATCATGAAATCAGCTCGGGAAACTGGTTTTCCGGAAACCGTTTGGAAGTTGGTTTCCACGATATTGATGCGATTGGTGAAGGGCTCATTCCTGTTGGGCTGCTCATAGCTTTGGTGCACCAGGACACTGTGTTCGCTAAACAATATGACATCGGGCGCCGCAATGTATTTGCCATCAAAGCCAGAGGTGAAATGTAGGGTATAAGCCAAGTCTCCGCCGTACGCAGAAATGTGACTATTCTGGTTGAGCAGGTAGTCCAGTACGCCAAAGTAAGCGGGTCTTTCATCGCTGACCTCCCGCAATGTAAAGTCGGCCCTCAGCGTGGTTTCATTTAAAAGAATCTCCTCCGCCGGCACTGGCCACATCTCAAACTTAATGCTCTCCTCGCGGAACTCCGGAGTGCTAATGGACACTTGCTTCAACAGACTGACATTGTAGACCCTCAAGTAGGCACTGTCACATCGCGAGGTCTTTCCAAAGCAGAAGCAAGTGGTGCATCCCTCGGGATTCGAGTCTTGCAGGTTGTAGGTTCCCTCCACACACTGGTCACAGTCCCTTCCAACTACGTTCTTCTTGCAGAAGCAGGTGCCGTCGATCTTGTCGCACACCTCCAGTTCGGTTCCGGGCTTGTGGCAACCGCACGGTTCGCACTCCGGGAAGTTGAAGTAGCCGTGGCTACATACATCGCAGGCCCTTCCCTCAATATTGTCACGGCACTCGCAGGTTCCGTTGAACAGGTCGCACTGGGTGTTTCCGTTGGCAATGCCCAGAGGGCTACATCCGCACTCCTCACAGCCAATCACCTGAAGGGTACATAAAATATAGTTAATTAAAAAATGATTGAGTTTTATATGTACCTATAATTTAATACAACTATAATTTTTTTAATTTCTGAGTTTTTCTATGTTGTATTCGGCGTTTAAGCAGATTAGTATTAATGTATCTTACCTGATGGAACCCGTAAGTATTGGGAGCGCACTTCTCGCACAAATCCCCGATGACATTCGGCGGACACATGCACTCTCCGGTGGAAGGCTCGCACATGGCGCTGCTGGGACACTCGCAAGGCTTGCACTCGGGGAATCCGTAGTACCTGCTTCGACAGGCTCCGCACGTCCGCTCGATCACATTCGGCTTGCACTGGCACTGACCTCCAAACGGATGGCACTCGAAGCTCGTGGATCCGGCGTAGTCGCACTGGCACGGCAGTGCTCCACTGTTGTAGTCCGCGGTCAGGGAGAAAACGGACTTCTTGCAGAAGTCGCTGGCATTGTGAGTGATGTGGAAGTGATCCTGACCGCAGTTCTGGATGAACTCCTTGGTCTGATCGAAGGTCTCTTCCACCAGGAGATCATCATTGTATTGTTCGTAGGGCACCACTACCAAATAGTCTAGCCAAACGCTCTTGGTTTGATCGGTCTGAAAGATTAGTGAGTATTATAGTTTTGAGTTTTGTGGTTCCTCTATAATATCTCACCGTAATGATAAACTTAAACTCGTCTTCAATCTCAAACGAACCGTCTCCGCCGGGACGAATCACTCCACGGCATCCGGAACTCGAGGGGCAATGCTGAATGTCGAACTTGCCATCATATTGATTCTTTCCAGCCGTCAATGTGTAGTACACTTGGTATTTCGGATGGTTCGGTTGGTAGTATTTCACCAGAATCACAAAGAGATTGGGCTTAGTAGCTTCCACCTTCGATCTACAAAAAATACAGATTATATATAAGAAATTCTGATGTAGAAGTAGAAAACTCACTCAATCACAATGGTGGTTTCGTTGGGACTGCCCAAGTGCACCAACTTAACCCGATCATCAAACAGGGCATAAGGAGGTTTGTTGGTGGCAATACGATCCTCGTGATCAGTTTCGAACTCAATCTTCTTGGAATCGGGAACGGATCGGAATTTGGAGGTGGCACACTCTTGATCGTGGATCACACAGACCGAACTTGGGTTGATGTAGTCAATGGACCACTGCTCGACGGGGATAGCGGTTACCGATATGATGGGCACTCGACTATCATCATCAATGTCGCCCTGAAGAATATGTAGTATTTATTACTATATTCCAAGACTTATCAATAAAAGGTATAGCTTACGTAGATTGTAACTGTCTGTGTTTCCTCTTTGCTTATATAGAATGCCTTCTCCTGACCATCGTCATTCACCGAAGTGCGGCAAACGGTGGAGTACAAGCACGGATACAGCAGCACGGTTGTCTCCGAATCGGGATTGTCCTTCAGCTTCAGGTTGATGTAGTAACTGTTGGGATAGTTCCTATCGCTGATATAGTCAATCACGAAGATGTATCGCCCACTGCGCGGCACACCCACGATGTAGTTCAGTTCGTTCTGTGATTTGCTCAGCACTGGAATCTCTCCCACATGGCTCACAATCTCCAGGTGTTCCGGATCACTGTACACCTCCACGGGATTGGTGGGCTTTGAGTTTCCTCCAATGACAAATGGAGTTGTGGCTGGCTCGAAAACATCCACGGAGGCGTACTTGTAGTGGCGGCATAGCTCCATGTTGCCCAGTTCACAGGGGTTCGAGATGTGACGGGTGAGGATGCCAGCTTCGTAATAGGCGGCAGGCAGAAGAACGAAGTAGTCGAGCATCACATTCTTGTTGGCCTTGGTGGTGAAAACATAACGACCCGGATCCAAGACAATGGCCGAGGGCTTTACGCCCAAGGGACCGGCAACGGTCACGAACTTGGGCTCCAAAGTGGGTTGCAGTAGTACCTTTACACTGCAAAAAAAAAAGTAATTAGCTTTACCCTTAATAACATAATTTTGAAAGAACTTACTGTTGGTCCACCTCTAGGGGATTATCAGAGGTAATTGAAATAGTGGCTGTGATATTCTCCGCATTCGGATTCACGTAGCGCAACACGATCCGGTAGAGAGAAGACTTGAACATGTATATTTCGTTACGCACCTCGTTCTGAATGGCATTGAAGACCACATAACCCTTGCTGCTGAAATCAGGGAACACCGCCTCATCGTAATCGTAGCGCACTTGAGTGCCCGAAGGGAGTTTTCCATCCTCGTACTCGTACTGGAACTGATGAAGCGTCGGGAAGAAGTGGGTGGTCAGGGGTTGAGTGCAGGCCAAGCCCGTGATCCTCGGATGGCACTTGCACTGGCCGCTGACCTTGTCGCAAACACTCTGCCACGATCCACCCACATCGCAACTGCAGTCCTTGCAGCCAAACAACGAGGCACTGTCCAGATCAAAGGTTCCATCGCGACACTCCTGGCAGCGCCTTCCCTGCGTATGCGGCTTGCAAGGACACTGACCGGACTTCGAGGTACAGGTGTCCAGGGCGGATATCGTACCATCCGTCCAACAGTCGCAGATCTCGCAACCCTCCGGATGGCTGATGTTCAGGTTCCAGTACAGCGGTTTGCACTCATTGCATATCCTGCCGGTGACTCGCTCCTTGCACTTGCACAGCTCGCCCACGGGCACCGATCCGCATCCCGCGAACTTGTCGATCACTCCCGCCGGATCACAGTTGCAGTCCTCGCAGCTGGGGAAGTTGTAGAAGCCCTCCTTGCACGAATCGCACTGACGGCCATCGAAGTTCGGCTGACACAGACACTGTCCGTCCGAGTTGCAGGACACTCCCTGAGATCCGTGCGAATCGCAGTGACAGGCTGGTAAATAGATTTAATTAATAATTTAATAGGGAAGTAATAATAGGAAATAAATAGAAATAGAAATTAATAATTAGAAAACTCCTGTTGTCGAGTTTTTGTTTGTTATTTTATTCTTTAAAACCGAATGATATTTTTGTTTTACTTACGTAAACAGTCCGGATAGCTGTAGTATCCAGCTGTGCAGAGGGTACACTGTTTGCCGGCAAAGTTGTTGAGGCAGTTGCACTTTCCGGTGTTGTCGCAGGTGATCGCCGAGCTGCCTGTGGTGGAGCAGTTGCAGGGTTTGCAGTCCGGATAGTTGTAATATCCTGGCAAACACTGATCGCACCTCGGTCCTCCGAATCCCTCGCGGCAAATGCACTGACCTGACTGCTTATTGCAGATTTCCGACTCGGTGCCCTGGTTGTCGCAATCACAGTCTTTGATAAGAAGAGATAAGCATTAAAATTAATAATATTTAAATAAAAAATACTCTTTATATCTTACATGAGCAGGTGGGGTAGTTGAAGTATCCGTGCTTGCAGCGCTCGCAGTTGTCGCCCCCGAAATTCGTGAGGCACTTGCACTCTCCGGTGGTCACGTTGCAGTCATTGGTGATCGACCCGATCTTGTTGCACTCGCAGGCCTTGCACTCCGGGAATCCGTAGTATCCCTCGGCGCACTGCTTACAGTAGGCGCCCGCGAAGTTGATCTTGCACGGACACTGCTGACCGCTCTCCGCCTCGCAGTGGTATCCATTGGTTCCGTTCAGATTGCACTCGCACTCGCGGCAGTTGGGATATCCGTAGTATCCGTAGGCACAGGAATCGCAGCTGGGCGGCTGGAAGGCGGCACGGCACTCACAGTTTCCGGTCTCCTCCTCACAGTGTCCGGTAGAGAAGAAGTTGTCACACTGGCACGCTGCACAGGTGGGATTATAACAAAAAAAGTTGCATTTAAAATCCAATAAATATTTACTCAAACAAAGACTTACGACTGCAGACGTCGGTCTCATTCCAGTACTTTCCCTTGGGTCGATAGTACTTGGGCTTGCACTTGTTGCAGTTTATTCCCACTGTGTTGTGCTGACAGTTCTGGCAAACGCCACCGCCATCATAATGTCCGTGAATGTCCAGGGAGAGTCCTTTGCGGTTGACCTCCTCGTCGTATTTGCACTCGTTGCTGTGACCATGACAGTTGCAGGCTGAATATTAAAAATAAATAAAATAATTAAAAGTTGGTCACAGAAATTTTTAAGGAGGTGTCCGCTCAAGGAAGAGCGTTGTCCGCTCAAGGGAACTTATGATCTTTTGATTTACTTACGTTCGCAGTTGAAAGGTCTGGCATTCGTATTCTGCCTCCACTTCTTCTGCTCGAATCCTGGACAGCATTCGTTACACTGGATGCCACAGGTGTGATGTTGGCAACGACAGGCAAGGATGCGCACAGGACTCTTTGGGTCCTTGACGTCACAGGTGTCGGCGTGTCCGTTGCACATGCACCTTCCACCGATCGAGATGTCCTTGATCGAGTAGAAGTAACGACGCGTCACCGTAGGATCCTGTCGAGCAACGGACATTAGATGTCCCAAGAGATTCTTCGTGCGCAACAGTCGGATTCGGACGTTGGTGGCTCGAGTCCATTCCTGCAGCACCGTTGAGTTGAAGTAGTTGGTCGAGCTGGGACGCTCGTTCAGCAGCATCACGGGAATCTCGCCGTTTTCCAGCGGCACAATCTTTGAGTATTCGGTGGTACAGATAACGTCGTCATCGCGGGTGATTGGCTTGTAGGTGTCCTTGCCGAAGTAGGTCTCACAATCGGCGGGAGTGTCGGAGAAGTGCTGCCAAGGGGTCCAGGTCTTGCCATAATCCGTGGACTTCTCCAAAGTCCAGAGACCCGGACGAGGAGAATTGCCCATGCGAATGAACAAGTAGGCCACATGGAATTCCTTAAAACAGAATATCAAATTTAATTTTTTCAATTGACTCCATTTGTTAAAAGTAATAATAATTAAAATATTAAATATTCAATAAAAGTAAACCAATACTATACAATTTAATTATCTGTAAAAGTTTACAAAAAGCAAGTCTTAAACTGTTTTTATGATTTATCTTTGCTGTAAGTATAAATCGCTTAGTTTTTTCTTTTTTCCCTACATAATTCGAATAGGTCTAGCCACGAAATTCATTTCGTACAAGCAAATTCATTAAAATTTATTAGTCAAGTGTACACACTACTTATGTACATACAAACTACACAATCACTGAGGCAAAATGCGAGACGACAACATGAGATCACTGTGGGGGAATTAACTCCAAATGTTCTGCAGTAGACCGGCCAGTGTTTGTTCGTTTATTTATATTTTCTTGGTTTCTGTTTGCTTTTTAATTTGCCTTCAATTGAAAGCGAACCCAAAGATATGGAGATACACAGATACAGAAATGCGTTCATATCTTTGTAAAGAGCGCACATGTTATGTATTCGTTAGCTTCTCTGATTTTTTTACAATTCGGTTTTCTGTTGTTTTTGAGTTTTACCCATGTGGAAGTTCATGAAATTTTTGCATAAACAAAAATCTTTATGTACAATTCTTTCAACATAATTCTTTCAATGTGAATCTTAGAATTTTTGGATTTGATTCCCAACCTCATAAAGCAGTCTAAAAATAATCCAGAATCTCATGTTCAGTTGCATTCTGTGAATTAAGAAAAGTGCAGCTGAAGAATTAAAACCCCCACGGAATTTTCATGAGATCATGCTGAGCTGTTGAAATCTTAGCGCAATTGTTCTCGAAATTAACTTTTGAACCTCGTGGATTATTTCGTTTCCGTTGCAAGTGAGATAAGAACGTAGGCGAGTCGACCCCCAACTTTTTATAGAACGTTTTCAGACACACAGATGATAAGGCAGTAGTTTCTTGCGACTTGTGCTGATTAGCAGGCTGCTCCCAATTCGTTTATGTCGCATGCTGATGCCTTTAGAAAAAGAATACGGCTTTATCGCTTTAAAAAAAATACAATAAACTCAGAATGAACAGACCGAAAGAGTCAATGCTCCGTGTCGGTTTCTAAGCAGCTTGTAAGCCGAGACTTCCCATTCAGCAGGAGTGTGTGTATATACGCTCGTACATATCTCTTTATTATATATGTATGTACGAGCTGACATGCTGATAACCCACAACTCCAAAGGGGAAGAGGCCAACAACAAAATCCCGAGCTCAGCAACATTTTTTTCGTTCAGTTTTTGCTGTGTTGTCGTCGTCGACAAAATGAAAACCCATTAAAATTGTTTTCAAATTTTACGATCCCATCGCTCGGATCCGAAAACGAGTTGCATCCAACGAGGCCTCCCTTCTATGCGTTTCTCAGGCAGAAAAATTCGTTTGGTATGTTTTGTGTTCTCCGCTGCTTACCTGTTCGAAATTGATGGTCAAATTGACTTCATTGAATTTCATGCCCCTGGACAACGGAGGACTCTGCCACCAGGCCTCGGTGCCATCGATCGCGTTCTCTGGCGGGTGATTCTTCTCCGGAGAATTGGGATCACAATAGTCGCAGACCTACAAAAAAAAACCAAGAACACATGTTAGAAAAAACTACATGCAAAGATCCAAATCCAGTCAAGAGTATTTTTAGAGTCCAAAACGAATGTTCAACACATGTGGGGAAGTCAAAATGCAGTACACACATGAAAAAATAGTAATTAAATGACAAAAATATTTGCGATATTAAAAAATATTTTAAGTTTTAATTTGATATTTAATGTTTTAAATTTTTAATACTACTTTTAATATATTTAATTAAAAAAATCAAATTATCAAAAATTATGTAACTTTTTCTGATTGATAATCACTGGTAAAAGGATCTCTTATTAAATTAAAATCCTATCTTTTGTTTGAGATTGTATGCATTTTTTTTTAGTGTAAAATTAAAGATCTTCTGATTTTGTGTGTATACTGGAATGATTTTTGGGCGTTGCTGGATCTTGATTATAATTACCTGTCCCTGGATAACCGAGTAGTCGATGTGATCGTGTTCCGTGTTGGCTCCCACTAATTTACAGTAGAGTTCCGGTCCGTCCGTATCCTGGCCACAAGTAGCCGTGGCATAGATCTTTCTTCCCGTAGCCAAATTGAAATATGGTGGTGTTAGCTCTGCCTGGCAATAGGATACAGCCAGGATCACCAGCAGGACACCAATGGAGGCCACTTTGAGCCCCATCGTGCCGAGAGTTCAAGCACCCGCGCGGCGATAACGACAGTCCTTCAACGGACCACTTCCGGTTCTATCTCACTCTTTCCTGGATCACTCTTATGTATTTCACTTTCTTATCTGCTGGCCACTTTTTTCACTAGTTCACATTCACTGTTCTTTTTCGTATTCCTTTTGGGGGAGCTCATCCAACCGCACTGGATGGGTCTTCACGAGCAACTGATGGAACTGCAGCGAGAAGTTTTCCTCGAGACCCCAAAATTTTTGATTTTTTAGTCTGCTCGATCGGCTCTTCTCGGCTGACTTCGGTTGTTTGGCTGCCTTCGGCATGAGAACGATAATCTTTCTGTTTTTTGTTTTTCTTTCGACATACTTATATGTTTACCCCCACTTGTTTGGCTTTTTATTAATTGTTTCGTTTGCCGGCCGGTTAGGTACGTAAAAAAAAGAAACAAACAAAACGCCAAGTCGGTTCCTGGCTTCAGACCAAAGAATACTAAGATTTGCAAAGAAATCCTTCGATGCAAACCACTTATGCAAAAGTATGCGTAATACGTGCATAATAAGTGCCTATTTTATAGCCTACTTTAAAGGGAATTAGAAATGTAAATATGTAATAGGTTGGGGTGTCCATTATATTCAATATTATCAATTGATAAGTAAACAATATTACAATTACTATAGACCAACGGCCAACAGTATGTCTTGCCTAAATGATGATTATTACTAAAATCGGATTTTTTTATGTCCGGTTTAATTTTTAAGGTACTTAAAATCTGTTCGTCCGTTGTCCTTTGGTATTTGGTTGTCGGTAAATTGAAATAGTAAAATAGTTAGTCCATAGAAATCATAAGTAACCCTAAAGGTGAAGTTGAATCCTTACATTGGATCCCATTTCTGAAGCATCGCTGATCTGGACAATTAAGTGGATCCGTCCTGGTGGACTCCCCACGATCAACTGATATAACTACAACGAGAAGTTTCCCCAAGCCCCCATGTTCGGATTTTTGTAGTACCTCGATCGGCTCTTGTCGGCTGCCTTCGGTTGCTCTCGTCTTCAGCTGTTTATATAGAAGAGAGAATGATAATCTTTTCGATTTTGTTTTGCTCTCGACATATGTTTACCTCCACTTCTCCGGTCTTTTGTTGTTATTCTCATTCGCCGGCCGGCTCCAAAACGTGGAACTGGAACACAACAGAAAGGGAAAACCGGTCTGCGGAACGATGTGGAAGTGATCAGGGTGTCCCCTGATTGAGGGCAAGTACCAGCAATGGAATATTTATAGGGTCTTCTGATGTGTTCAAAGGTTCCAGAACATAAATCATTAAGAAACCATAAAATTCCTATTGCTTAGTTCGTTATAAATGATTTTTAAAAATTTGTCTTGTAAAAGATTTAAACTATTTTTTTTTAAATTTTGTTGTATTTCTAGTTACCAATGGGCTTACAATTATTTTCTATGTCGCAATAAAAGAAAGGTATAAATATTATTTTATTGCTCGCTCTTTTGGAGTCAGCACTAATGTCAGAAATTTTAATTGCCCAATAATTCAAATTTTAAGAAAATAATTTGTTGATGCAACAATATTACAAGTGTGCATTTATTATTCTGAATATAAAGCTAAAATCACTCTTTCACTTGTTTAGACTTCCTTTGCAGCCTTGAAGAAGTATGAATTCATTATGCGAATCCATTCTTGTTGCTCGTAATGAATCATTTAAAAACAAACTTATTTAAATGAGATTCCATTATTGCTAAGCTAAGCCACGTTACATTTAACCAGAAGACTGATTGAAATAACCGTTATTTAATGGAGGTACGCCACTGAATCGAAGGTGAAAAACAACTTGGGTCGCTGCAACCAAACCCGCTCGGGCCTGACCAAAACAAAATAAAGCTAAGGTAATGGACAAAACGCAAACACCATAAATTGCAACTCGCAGTTTAGTTCAACCTACGATCGCCGAAAACTTGAAGTTTATTGCTTGACCGATTAAGAGCGCCAAATGCAGAAACTAGCTAGCAGCAACAACTATTGAAAATCACGATCACAGCGGAATATTGTGCAAAATTCATGACCAATGCGCCAACTGCGCTGCCGACTTCTCTGCCTTAACTTTTCGATGCGGCTATCTCGATTTCTCGATTTTTGGGCTAACTGTATTTGTTGTACGGAAACTCGTTTTCCACACTTTGCAATGACATAAGTAATTGCATTGATAAAGACTGCGGCGAGTGTCAGAGCGGCCGGTTCTTTTTATTTTTGTCCTCAATTGCTGCGCCTGCGCAGCAGCTTCTCATGGCTGCATGTAAACGAGTTCTGATGACGTAATTCGCATCGCTCCGCTCAGTTCTGCACCTTTGCCTTATGCAATGTGCACGCAAATGAACATTGCCGAAAAACTTAATGGAAATATGCGCTTGTAAAAAAATGAGTTAAAAATCAGCAGATTGCGACATCGACAAGAAGTTCTCGATTTAGCTTTACCCACACAGCAGCTGCACAGTGGAGTGCACTGTATGGCATTGAGAAAACTGGTACAAAAAATATATATCTTCAAAAGAAACAGAACAAGTTCGAAAAAATCGTCAGTGTAAAATAAATTGCGCTTGCACAATGCGAAAAATAATTAACAAAAAAGTAGCATGGGTAAGTGACACCTACTTGCTAAAAATACAATGTAAACAGCCGCTTAAAGAAGAAAAAGCGACTTTGCAGTACCAGCTAAAATTTCTTGGAACACAATTTAGAGGCAAAATGCATTTACTTGCTCAGTTAAATGCTTTAAATATCGATTTGTAACCAATTAATATTAATATTTCATTAGCAAATATTTCCCCCATTCTTACCCCATTGAAATCCCAATGGTTCTAAATGGCCCCACCTCTGGTCCCACCTAATTGGTTCCACTGTGCCGCTCTGCCGACGTCGACGTCGACGCAGCTGCCGCTCACCAAATGTTTCCACTTATTCGCGATTGCATACGCGAATCGGCGTTCAATTTGGTTCTAAGTCTCGTCGCGTTTGCATGGGCGCAGTTCTTTGAGTTCTCGACTTAATCGCCATGGTGCTGCTGAGAGTGATCAAGTATCTAGTGGGTTAGTGAAAGTGATCCGGCCAGGTGTTACTTGAAGTCTGTTTTTTGTTATCACTATCTTCCTTTGAAGGCTGCGTGGTGCGCGTCTGCAACGAGTTGTCCCAGAACATGAGTTCGCTGAACAAAATGTTCAAGTACCATTTGCTGGAGGTCAGCTAGAGATCCGAGAAACCGAAGAAAAATTCGCCTTAAATATATATAGTTATCTGCCCCTGTCGAGCGAGTTCGTTGCTCAAGTCTTTTGTTTTGCGATCCAATAAAACGTATTACACCCACACATACACTGAGTTTTACGGTATCTCTTGTAGAATGGCAACTCTAACCTTGAGGGGATTGCGCAACCCTAGAAGCTGAACAAATTTAGTTACATTCTGGTACTTGAATTATGTGTCACATTTTTGTTACTTTTTTTATTTGACTGAAAACCTTGATTTTGCTCTGTGTAACAAAAAAAAAAAAAAAAAATCCGCTACCGAAATCATTAGCTTGGAACCATGTCTTTATTCTTGAGAACTTTACGCTAGAGTTGAATTGTACTGAGCTGTGGATTTTCCCCAAAAAAAAGAAATCCCAGCCAGCGCGTTGAAAGTATCCACGGCAAGGTCTCGTTATGACTGATTGTCCAAATCAGCCAATACTTACAATTAATGCCGGCTAAACAACAACTTACGAACGAATTCGCACAGAAATAGAAAATAAGTATAAATAAAATAAAGAGAAAAAAGCAAATCATTAGCATTTGTCGTCTCGCGACTCTTGTGTCGTCACACTTAATCGTCTTTGGATGGAAAAAAAACGAATTTCTCGAATTAAGTAGCGAAAAAATCCCCGACATAATTAGAGGGCTTGGTCTATAGAGACGTCATTCCTTTTACGCTCAACACCTCTGTTCATTCAATATTTTGATTGATTTCAGTTCTGTCTGCTCGAAACGTGTTATCCATCGCATTTTAATATCTCTATTATAAAGATGGGTCAAGTCTAATGTCCAGTTAATTCGCAGACGTCACTAGTTGGGCCAGATGGAGGTTTGCCAACAGACGCGTATTTTATGACGTCTTAATTGGCGTAAGCGTCTTCCTATAAATACCTCTCTTAATTTTATACCCGCATTCACACCTTTTTTGTTTATTAAGAGACGCGCCTGCCGAGAGAGAGTTAAAAAAAGAGTTAAACTGTATAAAGCTTTATAAGCTGTTTGATTTAAAAAAAAATAATATTCGCATTAAAACTTTTGAATAATTATGGATAAAAAATGGCGCCTTCATTATGATAGTGTTAGAGAAAGTTTGTAAGATAAAAGGTCAAAATGTAGGTATTGTGTCTAAGCCAAAACTTTTACTCAAATAGTTTTAAATTCTAAAAACGTGTTTAAAAAAAAAAAAAGGTAAACGAACAGCATGTTTTCAAAAATCGGTAATTAAAACCTTAATATTAGAAAAAATTTAATCACAAAAAAATTCAGGAATAAATATTTTTTGAGGATTTTTTACGTAAGTAATCCCTTTGTTAAATTGCAAACTGGAAATAAGTCTAATTTGTTTAGGATAATTGTTTTACTATCTTGGAATTTATTTACAGCTATAACATTTGGGAAGTGGATTCACCAAACTTTTCTTATACATTTAAATAAATAGTTTCATTAGCTTAGGATATTTTCTACTGATCCATGACGAAGGATCTGCCAAAGTTGATCACACTGCTGACAAATCCGAAGCATTGAGGTGATCATGGAGTAGGCGTGCTTGGAGCTCTCCGTGGTTTCACGCTTATCACTTCTAGTCGGTCTGACCACCTCTTTCCGGCTTTCCGTCGGTTTTTCGCCGCTACTAAAGAGCCTATCCAACCTAAGGATGGGCTTTTTGAACCACTCTCCGCTAACCTCGTTGAGCCGTTCATCATCCTCCCTGCTGAATTTATCGAAGGGACGTGCGATGACTAGAAAGAATATACAGGTTATTGAGTTATATCGAAATACCAGATGATTCAGAGGCTTACTTGTCTGCATGATCACACAACCGATAAGGAAGAGCACAATCATTTTGCTTTCTGAGGTCATTTCGCTTGAACTTTTCGCACCAAAAAGAGATTGATAACTGACTGAATCGAATACCAGAGAGTTCAAATTTATAGACGCCGCCCCGACGGCGGATGTTGCCCGACATTCTACGTGATGGTATGGAAAGTAACTCAGCGCACGTTTCACCAAAGTAATTGCTTTATTTTACGCTGGTACATTTTGCCTAAAATTAGAACTAACGTAGCCATAACCCTGAACTGAACGGTTCTAAATAGAACACAATCTAATTTTTAGCTTCGGTGGTCGTTTGGGCCATGTAATTTGTTTGAAAGCATAATCCAGTTCGGCATCGCCATATCGTTCATCGGGAACCGGCGGCATTTTTTTATAGCGTTCTTCGAGTTCCCATCGAGTAAGTCTCCGTCTCGGCATCCCAGCACTCCAACCGATCGCTGCAAATTGAATATTGGTAATTTCATTTGATTTATGTGCCCCAGATTATTTTCACTAACCGCAGATAACGAGCAGACTTATCAGATAAAACTTAAGCGGCGCGCTGCTCATGGTATTGCTGGAATTGATTCGATTGATGGACTTTAACTGACAACCGAATCTGCGATGGGTCCACTTTTTATATATCCACATGGAGCCGGACTGGAGCTCTCCGCTGATTGGCGATGGAGCAGGAGGCCAATAGGCTGTGGCGCCGCCGCGGGAGATTATGCAAAGCACCCGACGAAGACACAAAAATAACACAAAAAGCGCAAAAAAAGTGTAAAAAAAGCTGAAAATATCGTATAAAAGGCTCGAGGCGTCGTTCTGTCTCATTGAGTGGGAAAAAACACTGGCGGCACTCGGTTGCCTCCTACCGGTCTTTGACGTATTCATCGTCGTCTCGCACGTGAACGGCTCGTTGCCCGCTGATTGATTATTTATTGAAATGCCACCTAATAATTTACACATTTGTCGTCGGCGATCTCCACGGTCTTCTCGCAATCGGCCTCTTCTTGGCCAAAAAAGAGCGTCCAGCGTTCGTAGGGAGGCTCTTCGCACAGCCAACCTTCCATTGCGCAATACTCGCTGCTGTAGTCGCTGAATTCTGCGAGAGAAAGGGTTCCCCGAAATTATTATTCAAAATTATTTATTATAAGGGAAAAAAATGATATTTTCAATATGCCAATATAAGGCAAAGTGTCAGTATAGCAAAGTTATTCTCAACCAGGCAGTCGAACAGACTAGAAGTTTAAGCTGGTAAATTAAATATGTATAAAGCTTGCAGAAAAGTTCGGTGTCATAAAATGATAAAATCCATAGGACAAGTATTTAAACGGTTATGAAAAAACATACTCAGTGTATAATACACGTTTGCGTTAATTAATAACAGAAGTTAAAAATTTAAATCCATTTTTAACGGTCGAGAAAAAAATCTTCGGTATGTAATACGCAATTACCAAAACTAATTAAGTTAACATTTTATAATACCGATTTTCAATTTATATAATAAACCAAATGGAACTTACTTACGTAATTGTCGATTAAGACAGCTGGCAATCGCCAAGTGACAGGCTGATTTATATTTTCTTATACAATTTGTGTCTTCATCCAAAATACAAACCGCTCTTGATTCGCTTACATACCCACAGGATTGCTCAGAGGGACACTTTGATGTGCCTTCTGCTTCCAGAAAGTAAACTGAAAAACTTAGTTACTTAAAATATTTTCCTTTTTTTTAATAAATATTAAACGAACTTAAGGCAAAGGTGAAAATAAAGAGCAGCTTCATGACTGATGTTTCAACCATAGGTTACACATTATTTAAAGCATTTTATTGGTTGCCTTATCAAATTAAACCATAACATTCCTAAGGAGTTGTGACTAATGGCTCCACACTCAGATAAACTCAGGAAACTTGTGTTTATTTAAGAATAATCAAGCTACAGATATAAGCGTAATTTTTGAGTACCGTTCCCCATATTTTTAGACGTCTTCATTGCCAAAGAAAATAGTCCAGCGGGCGTATGTCGGTGATTTTTCGCAAAAATACGATTCCATTGAACAATATAGTTCATTATAGTCAGTTAAATCTGAAACAATATTATTTGGTGATCATTTAAACTCTTAAATAATTAAAAAGAACTCACTTTTCCCCGCTTGGCAAGCTGCAATATCCAAATGACACCTAGAAGGATACTTCAGAATACATCCCGCTTCCTCGTCCAATCCGCAAATAGCAGTGGATGCATTAGCTTTACCGCAACTGGCTTCCAAAGGGCATGGTTTTGAAGGAATATTCGCTCCATAAGAGAAAGCTGACCAAGAAAAGATGCTTTTATTAAAATGGATTCCCTTTTTAAAATTACTTACCCAGGCAGATTAAAAAAATTGCTGCTGCGTTCATTTGGATATTTGAAACCATCTGCGACAATGCTTCAAATGGCAATGCGGCAACAAGGTTTATAACGTTTCAGAAGGTAGAATAGATAAAGTATACTATCGTATCTTATCGCAAAATTAAACAATAGAGAATAAACCTTTTGTGACGATTGGTGTTCTAATTGGAGATAAGATATTAAGCAAGTTCAAGTGCCTACTACAAATTCAATAAGCTTAAGTCTTAGTATTGATTGATCACTTGTTTAATTTTATTTCAATAAAAGGACTGTGTTTTACATGTACTATATACAAGAAACAAATTTTTTTAAAAAATGTTTTTGGAATCATATATTGTAATTGCTTAGTAAACTAATCCTAACATTTTTTTATGGCCAACGACAGAATGGTTTGTGTCCGAACTAAAAGCTATGAATTATTTGCTGCATACTTCCGTGCTTTTGGATACATTTGAATTCTTTTCAAGAGGCCTTCGTTTGACTGCGATACAGTTTGGAGTAAATGCCATTCTTGGCCAGAAGTTGGGCATGGGTTCCCTGCTCCATTATCCGACCAGCTTGAACCACACAAATCAAATTGGCATTTTGGATGGTGGAAAGACGATGGGCTATTACAATGCAAGTGCGTCCTGAGCACGCGGAATCCAATGCTTGTTGGACAACCTAAAAAGTCCATAAAAATATTTAAATAGTAACATGGCTAATATCCAATCCCTTTAATGCAAATCTTACCCTTTCACTTTGGAAATCCAGTGCAGAGGTAGCTTCATCTAGTAAAAGGATCTTGGGATTCCGCACCATCGCTCGTGCAATGGCAATCCTTTGCTTTTGTCCACCAGATAGTTGGGTGCCCTTGGATCCCAGGACCGTATCATATTGAGCGGGTAAAGACATAATAAATTCATGGGCATTGGCCATCTTGGCCGCCTCAATAATCTGCTGCATTGGCACTTGACGCGTTGTATCACCATAACCAATATTATCGGCAATGGACTTCTCAAAGAGCGAAGGTTCCTGAGAAACGATTCCCAGGCGACGACGTAGAGTTTTTAATTCCATATCGTGGTGGATACTTTCTTGATCTATGAGCTGAAAGGGAAAAATAGGTAATATAAACATTAAAATATGTTAATATTATTCATGCCAATATTACTTACAATCTTTCCCTCATCGGGATCGTAGTATCTCATTAAAAGCTGAACACAGGTGGATTTACCAGATCCCGAAGCCCCCACTAAAGCAACAGTTTGACCTTGTTGGATATCCAGATTAAAGTTCTGCAGGACCTTGATATGGGATCTCGACGGATAGGAGAAGTTGAGGCCCCGATAACTGACTCCCTGTTGAACAGCGTTTGTTTTAAAAGCAGATCCATTGCCATTCTGCTGGATCTCAAAGGATTCAGGGGATTGAATCTTTGGCTTTCGATCAATGATCTCGTACATGCGATTTGCGGAGAGAAGAGCAGCATTGAAGGCGGGAGTAAATGCTAGAGATTGTGCCAGGATAAATAGACCATAAAGCATCGTGTTTGATATTCTGCAAAGTGTTTTTAAATATATAATTAAGGATCATCATATCATTTTTAATACATACTTCATAATAGTCTCAAATTTGATGTTGCCATCGGCACACATATGTCCTCCATAGGTCAACGTTACTGCATAGCCGAAAAACATGAGGGATTTGCCCAGCGAATTTACCAATCCTCGCCACTTAAGTCGACTTAGAATCTGCACCCTGTATCGCTCCACTTCCTTATCGTATATTTTTATCAGTTCCTCCTCCCTTCGAAGTCCTGCCACTGTCCTAATTTGAGTAATGGTCTCTGTGGCTATGCGACTCGTCTCCTCCAAAACAGCCTTCTCTTTTAAAGCTGATTTCTCTCCAAAACGTGCTTCGAACACAATGGAGGCGATCATAAAGGGTGAGGTACTCAGGCAGATTAAGGCCAATTCCCAGGAGTAGGGAAATGCAATGGACACACTGCAGATGAAGTTGGTGAAAGCCTGGATGATATTGCTCAGTGGAAAACCTATGGCTCCTTGAACACTGGCCGCATCGCCAGATAATCGGGCAGAAAGGGCTCCAATACTGTTCTCCTTGCGGTCGAACCAACCCATTTCCTGGTGCATAATGCAACTGAAGGTCTTGGAACTGAAATAAAAATGAATAATTAATAATAGAGCTAGCAAATAATATTTATATTTACTCACCGCATTCTCATGGTTAGCCAAACTCCAGCCAGATTAAAGAAGAACGTCTGGATGAAACACACTACACCAGCTGCAACTCCAATAACCAGGGAAATAATCGCCATTGAGGCGCTCTGATCTAGCACCTCTTCATCAGTGGGCTTGGCCAAAGAACCATACAGTTCCGCTAGGATAACAGAAAACACCGGCATAGTGACTCCATAAAGACCAGCACAAATGGCGCCAATGATGAGAAAACTCCATTCCGGTCTTGCCCAGCCCAAAACCCTGAAGAAGGTGCGGATATAATTTCCAGATGGATTCTCCGCTACATCTACGTCGTGATCGAACGTTGGATTGGCCAGACCATTGAGGTTCTTCATCTGGAACTCCGCATTTTTCTCCAACGAAACAATCGAATTGCGGGCTCCCAAATTAAAGTGTTCAACTTCATAGGACATCTTTCTCTCTTTGTTTTCAGCGTCTTCTTCAAGTTCATTCAGCAGTTCTTCGGCGGAATCATCATAGGAATGTACGGTGACCATTTTATGGTAAAATCCCTCCAGCTTCATCAGTTCCTCATGGGTTCCCTGCTCCACAGCTTTGCCATTCTCAATGTAAACAATTCGATGGGCGTGTCTAATGGCGGATAACCGATGGGACACCACTAAGGTGGTTCTGCCCTTGCAGGCTTTGTCCAGAGCGGCTTGAACCAACTTTTCGGCATGGTAATCCAAAGCGGAGGTGGCCTCATCCAAAAGCAGAATTTTTGGTTGCTGTATGAGAGCTCTGGCGATGGCAATTCGCTGTCTTTGACCTCCGGAGAGCTGGACACCCTTCTCACTGATATTTGTGTCGTAACCCTAAAATCGGAATGGGATTTAGTAATAGATAAAGAAAGGAAACTAGCAGCAGCGAGCCAAAGCTTATTTACCCTTGCAGAAATCAAATAGCTCGGATAAAATACATGAAGGCTAAACAACATAAAAGCTTTGAGGATTTTTCTATTAGTTTTCTATATTTTCGACGACTATTTATAGGAGAGCTATTTAAATATAAAAATGTCAAAAAATCTACCCAAAAATCAAAACCAAACTAACCAATTGCTAAACTGGAATTAAAATACTCTCTGCTATGTATTTACTTTACCTTATGCAGCGCTATGATAAAATCATGAGCATTGGCTGCTCTAGCGGAATCCTCAACTTCCTTTTGCGTAGCATCTGGTTTTCCATGTCGGATATTCTCTCCAATTGTTCCTTGGAAAAGCACCGGCTCTTGACCCACCACGGCAATGTTTGACCGCAGCCAATTAAGGTTATATTTCCGCACATCCTCACCGTCCAAAAGTACTTGGCCAAAAACCGGATCATAAAACCGCTGAAGCAGTTGTATGCAGGTGGACTTGCCACAGCCTGAAGGACCCACCAAAGCCACAGTTTGACCTTCTTCAACTGTCACATTGAGTCCTCGCAAGACGATCACATCTTCTCGGGCGGGATAACGAAAGAAAACATCGCGGAACTCAACGGTTCCTTTCAGACCATAGTTAAGGATTTTTCCAGCCTTGGAGAGAGGATCAATCAAAGATGTGCGATCGATAACCTCCAAAATAGCCGATGCTGATCCTCGAGCCATTGCAAAGGTCTCGAGAAATGGCGATGTGCGCGAGATCTGATTGGCACTCACGATAATACCCGATATCACAATCATGACCACAGCTGGTGTGTATTCCCTCTCGTTGATGGGAATGCTGGGATCCCGATAGAACAGGATCAAATTGGCGCCGTACCAAAAGGATCCCGCTCCTGTGATGAACAACATGGCCTTCATCACAGTGTCACTTAAACCGGAGAAGGCTCCTTTCCATTTTCCCGCCCTGAGAGCGGGTTTGAGGAGGGTATCATATCGCACGGACTCCGTTTTCTCTCCGCCAAATGCAACCACCGTGCGAATGGCTCCAATCACTTCCTCAACCACCGAACTTGCCCGGACATACGAACTTTGTTCCTCTCCTGTGAGTTTACCTTGGTACTGGAACGAACAAATTAAGGTATTTATAAATAATTTATTTTATTTCGTATTAGTTCGTAATATTTGATACTGATCTTAAAACATATGAACTATATAAAAACTTCGTCATTAAAGAGAAAAAAAGTGAGTGTAAAAAGATTCAATAAACGTATCACATGTTGTTTACTTACAACCATTCATGCAGTCGATTTGAGAAAATGTACATATGTTTTGACTGAGGTTAAGTACTTATTCTATTTTTGAAAACTATTTTCAGACTAGCCAAAGAAATTTTCAAGTTCATCCAAGACTTGATAGAAAGATATTCTGTTCTAGAAAACGTTTTCTACTTTTAAAAACCAAAAAACAGAAGGGAAATGGAAAATTTTATTTTTTTAACATTATTTTTTTTTATTATTTTGGCTATACTCACATGAGCCACTGCTGAGTTGACCACTAATGTTAGGGGAATGTAAAATACTATGGCCAATGCTAGTTTCCACCCGTATATAAAGGACAAAGCCACACTGATTATCACTTCGCACATAATCTCTACATAATGACCGAGATTCTCTGCTATACCGCTGCGTATTTTCTCCATGTTGCTAAATAGAAAATAAATTATGAAAGGCTTTTTTAGTTAGGGCATAACTCACTCCGTAATGCGAACTGCAAAGTTTTGATCTTTTGCCATGTCATGCCAGCCAATCTCCTGTCTTAACGTGGCCTTAAAGAATTCCCTGCGCATTCGAACTGTGAGTTTTAAAGCCAATCTGTTGAAGGCATCCACATAGTAAATTCCCGAGAAAAGCATGAGAAGAGTGTTGAGCGTCATGAGTATGCCGAAGGATACGCTGTCCTTTCGCAGCTCATGCATGTTCTCCTCGTAGGAGGCATTTGTACTGAAAAATAGAAAATTTTTATATTTTTAAAAATTATTTTTTATTTATTTTCATCAATATTCAGGTTGATAAATTTGTCAATTGTAAAAACATTTTTATTTTTTTCTTTTCAATTAGACTTTTCTTACATCGACCGGATAACATTATTGCTATTGTATAGCCCTTTATTTTGGTTAAAAAGTTTTTATTTTAAGCAAAGTACTTATGCCGGAACAACAAAAGAAACTCGCGGACCAAAAGACCGAAAGAGAATCTGTTTCTTTTTAAACAAAACGAAGAACTGATTCATTCTCTCCCAGTCAGCTGTTTTCAATTCTATATATAGGATTTCTAATAAAAAACATTTATGCGGTGAAAGAGTCATGATCTTAACATACATTTTTTCTAATTAAATGTATGTATAGATTTTAAAAAATGTAGGTTCAAAAGAATTGACTTGCGGAAGAGTAATGGGAATAAATTAACCTTCAACTTGTAGTTCGGTAACAATTTATTTTATTAGTTTTGGTGGCAGAGTTTTTAATTATATATTTTTTAAGAGTATTTAGCAATACTTACAGTATCTTTCCGCCCCCGAAGAGGGGCAGTCCGATAGTGGCCGAACTGGTTCCCTGGCCCAATGTCCTGTCGATAAACATGGCCACCAGTTCGCTGTAGACCACAATGGCGATGGGATAGACCAGAGCCTGAAGGAGCGCCGCGATGAAAGCCGAAAGGAGCAGGACATAATCCCAGCCGGTGGTGTATCGAAAGAGCTGTGTATAACTAATTACGGGTGGGCCCTTCTCCTTGGTCTTGTCTTTCTTTTGGGCCTCCGGCGAGCCCTCATCCGCATCGCCGGGAACATCTTCGCGGGCCTCCGTCATTGTGATCACTGCGAACTATCGCCTATACAGCCAACTCATTGACCGGCGGGGTCAATTAATAGTTAAGAAAGCGCGCGGAGAGCGAAACCAAAAATCGAAACGCCCGCAGTTCACTTGCAATGATGGCAATCCACGCGATGGATCTCGAATGGGTTCTTTTCTCTGGCTAATTAACTCCCTCTCCGGAGATTGCACTGCCGATGAGGCTGATCCGCCTGCGATCGTCTTTAGCTTAATTGTTTTGCATTCCGCGCTTTCACAAAATCGTTGCTTTTTATTTATATATGTTTTTTTTTTTTTTTTATTTTTCGATGCTGTCCGGAGCGAAGTGTGGCGGCGCGTCTGTTCCGTTGCGACTGCAGAAAGCGACTGGCGGTTCTGTCGAGTGTGCCGCCAGTTTTCAACAAATTCGGTTTCTATTAAAGTTCAAATAGACAGGCATCGGTGGGGACTTTCGTCGAGAAGCCCGTTATCGTCTTTTATTAATATCAATTGAATTGATTTTACTCAAGGCTCACGATGACTGGTTGAAATTCGGTGGGCATCTTTTCCCCCCAACAAGGTGTGGATCCATCCATCGCGGAAATGGGTCAGCCAAATACGCAAATTATGCATTCCGCACCGTTTAAACTTATGATCTTAGCTGTTGAATTGAGAGCTGTTATCTTTTAACTGATACGCAAATTCAAGTTTGTATGCCATTGACAATGAATATTAGCAGCGGTCGTGTGGGCGGCAGACGTTGTTATAGACATGCCACAAAGATTGCTCTCTTATCAGTCAGATAAGTTTTGAGGTGGATCTAATAATTACGAATTCCTTAAACAAATTTCATAATGTTATGACAATTGTGCAACTCATTGGGATAACCTATCTCCCATTATAAATGAATAAAAATCTTGTTTATGGATAAAAAGTAGTGTAAAAGTTTATTTAGTTTTTGGTGACACCTGTATTTTGGTTTTCGGTGATAGTTACAAAATAGTTTAGATAGTTTTCAATGATCCCTTTGGGTCTTGTGCAACTTGGCGTAGATGCCGCCCTGGGAAATCAGCTGCATGTGGTTGCCCTGCTCCACCACTTCCCCGTTTTGAACCACACAGATGACATCCGCATTTTGGACGGTGGACAGACGATGGGCTATGACAATACAGGTCCTTCCTGAGCAGGCGGAATCCAAGGCCTGTTGGACCAACTGTTCGCTCTGCAAATCCAGTGCTGAGGTGGCCTCGTCGAGGAGGAGGATCTTGGGATTCCTCACCAGTGCCCTGGCAATGGCTATTCTCTGCTTTTGTCCACCGGACAACTGAGTTCCTCTGGCTCCCATTCGAGTTTCATAGCCATTCGGCAAGGAGATAATAAAACTATGGGCATTCGCACTCTTGGCTGCTGCAATAATCTCCGTCATGGGAACCGATCGACGATTGTCGCCATAAGCTATATTCTCCGCGATCGATCGTTCGAAAAGAGTGGGTTCCTGAGAGACGATCCCCAATTTGGTTCTAACTCCCTCGAGCGTTAGGTCATGCTGGATGTCATCGTGATCGATGTGCTGGGTAAAAACAATTTAAATTTAATAAATGGCAATAAAAATTCCATTTAAATGACTTACTATGGTGCCCTCATCGGGATCGTAGAAGCGCTGCAGCAACTGTACGCACGTGGACTTTCCACACCCGGAATGACCCACCAAGGCCACCGTTTGACCCTTGAGAACCTCCAAGTCCAAACCATTGAGAATCTTGGCATCGGGTCGTGTGGGGTATCGGAATTCGATACCGCGATAGCGTACGCCCTCGAAAAGATTTAATTGCTTGGCTAGAGTATTTTTAATAGTTCCCATGGGTGAGTGAATCTTGGGTTTACGATCCAGAATTTGAAAGAGGCGATGACCCGCGATCAGGGCGCCGGAGAAGGCGGGGGTGAAGGCCAAGGATTGGGCTAGCATCATGGAGCCATACAGCAATGTTTCCGAGACCCTAGAATAAAAGATCATCAAAGACTTGAATAGTAAGTTACTTAATTACGATATCCCTACTTGATAATATCCTGGAAGGGCAGTTGACCCTCGGAGACCAAAACACCTCCATAGCAGAGAGCCACTGCATAAGCGAAAAATGCAGATGCCTGCATGGTGGAGTTAAGGACTCCTCGCCATCTCAGCTTTTGGCGGATGAGCACCTCCACCCTCTGAATTTCCTCAGTGTACTCCCTGATGACATCCGCCTCCCTTCTCAAACCGGCAACAGTGCGAATGTTGGATATAGATTCAGTGGCAATGCGACAGGCTTCCTCAATCACCTGCTTCTCTCGCACAATTGCAGTGGACATCATTCTGAAACAATAAGTAGATTTATTATATGGAAAATATACCAATAAAGGGACCACCCACTTAGCTTCCAGAATAACAGATCCCACAATAATGGGGCAGTTGGCCAAACACAACAGGGCCAACTTCCAGTTGTAGTACATGGCAACGCTGACACTGGAAATAAAGTTGGATATGGCCTGGATCATTCCACTCAGGGGAAATCCAATGGCTCCTTGGACACCAACTGCCTCGCCGGACAATCGAGCGGATAAAGCTCCCACCGAGTTGTTCTCATCGTCGAACCAGCCAACTTCCTGACTCAACATGGCCTTAAAAGTCATGGATCGCATTCTGGTGGTCAGCCAAATGCCGGCATAGTTGAACAAGTAGGTCTGCATGAAGCAGACCAATCCAGTCAGGAAGGCCAGGCCCAAACAGGCCCAGGAAAGTACTGCTGTGCGACTCAAGGCATCCTTGGGATCCTTTTCAGCTAGAGCTGCATAGAATTCACCAAAGATGATCGCGAAAGCCGGATATAAACAACCCACTGCCACTGCGCTAACAGTTCCGAGGATGAGGTAACACCATTCTGGTCTGGCCAGTTTCAGAATCCTGGAGAAGGTGTGGAAGAAGTTCGGTTTCTCGGCGGGAGCCTCAGCAACCTTGGCATTGGTGTCCTTTACGAGGGCTTTAACAATGGGCTCCTCAAACTGAACGCTGTTTTTCTGGCCTTTCTCAAAATTGAGGGGACTGGTCTCGAAGGATTTTTCATATAGAGCCAGGCTTTTTCCTGAAGAGATATATATTATATTATGATATTTAAAGAAAGCATTTTAATCATTAAGAAGTTTACTTTTGGTTTCCTCGATGGTTTCCTCCTTCTCCACCTCATCGGGCATGTTTATATCACCCGCACGAACCATGTTGTAGTAGGCACCTTCAAGAGCCATTAGATCGTCATGCGAACCCTCCTCCAAAACTTTGCCATCATGGATAAAGACAATCTTATCTGCACCACGAATGGCTGACAGTCTATGGGAAACCACAATGGTTGTGCGACCTTTACTGGCCAAATCCAAGGCCTGTTGAACCTGTTTCTCAGATTGGTAATCCAGTGCAGAAGTGGCCTCATCCAGCAGAAGAATCTTGGGGTTCTGAATTAGGGCTCGAGCTATAGCAATACGTTGCTTTTGTCCTCCGGAGAGTTGGGAGCCCCGTTCTCCAATCATACTGCGGTAGCTCTAAAAATTCAATATTTTCAATTAGGTTTTTGGGGTTTTTAATCTTTTAAATCTTAGTATCTAACCTCTGGCAAATTGGTGATAAATTCATGGGCTCCAGCCTGAGTGGCAGCAGCCTCGATTTCCTTCTGTGAAGATCCTGGTTTACCATAGCTAATGTTTTGGGCTGTCAAAAAAGGGTTATTTTTAATGATCGTAACAAAACTTTTAAATATAATTTACCTATAGTTCCCAAAAACAGCACTGGTTCCTGACCCACGACAGCAATATTCGATCTTAGCCATTGGATGTTGTACTTTCTAATGTCTAAATCATCTAGGAGCACGGAACCAAAAACAGGATCGTAGAATCTCTGCAGCAACTGGACGCAGGTGGACTTTCCACAGCCCGAAGAACCAACCAAGGCGACTGTTTGACCCGCTCTAATCTTGATGTTTAAACCCCTATGAACTATAATCTCCGGACGAGAAGGATATCGGAAGAAGACATCCTGGAACTCCACATCACCACGAAGGCCGTAGTTTAAGAGCTTGCCATCTGTAGAAAGAGGATCGATCTTGGAGGTCAAATCGATGACCTTGAACAGGTTGGTGGCACAACCTCGGGCGGTGGCAAATGATTCTAGGAAGGGTGCAGTTCTGGCTATGTTATCAGCACCAACAATAATGCCAAAGAAAGCCTTGAAAAAATAAAGAAAATTAAGTTATTTGCATTCATAAAGTTTATGTATCTTACAATCATCAGAATGGCAGGTGTATACTCCTTATCTTCCAAATCTCGATCGTCAATAATCAGATTTACTCCATACCAAAAGGCTCCAGCGCAGGATAAATACAACATAGACTTTAGAACAGCATCACTGAGTCCGGAAAAGGCTCCTTTCCACTGACTGGCCTTTCGAGCTGGAACCAAGAAATTCTCGTAGCGCTGAACCTCTGATTTTTCTCCCCCAAACGAGACTACAGTGCGAATGGCACTCAGAATTTCCTCCGCCAAATTACCAGCTCCTGCATAGGATTCCTGTTCCCGGGAAGTTAACTTGCCTTGGAACTAAAAATAAAACATAAAGGAACATTTTTTATAATCTCAGAAAGAACCTTACATTAGGTATCGATTAATACTTCAATGGAATAATTATAATTTTTAATTTATTTATTTTAATCATTTCTCACCTTAGCCACATAGTAATTGACCAGTATGACCAGAGGTATATATGAACTCACTGCCAAGGTGAGTTTCCAACCATAACCAAATGAAATGGCCACGGTTATAATGAAGCCCACAACCAGGTAAACAAAGTGACCAACTTTTTCTGAGATGCCATCACGAATCTTTTCCACATCGCTGGGAAAGTTATAATTGTTAAGAAAATAAATAAGGAATATGGATTGATAAACTACTTACTCCACCATGCTCTGGGTAAAGTTTTGCTTGTTGGCCAGATCATGCCAACCAATATCCTGTCGCATTACAGAAGTGAAGAGCTTTATTCGCATCCTTGTGACCTGACGCAAGGCCACCATATTGAAAACATCCACAGAGAAAACTCCAGAGATAAACATAATCACTGAAGCGATGGTCAGGAGAATGCCATATGATATGGAATCATCATATAAGGCTTCGCTGTTAGCTTCCCGAGTGGCATTTGTGCTGGAAACCAGAATGTATTTAAATTAAGTTTAGAATGAGTATTGGAATGAATAAAAGTAAAGCCACCACTGCATATGAGTAATGAAAAGGAAGTATTGAATGCTTTTAATACCTAAATTTGATTAAATCTAAATGTATTTATTTTAAATATATTTTATTCACTTAAATAACTCACTTACAGTGTTTTACCTCCTCCGAAAAGTGGCAAGGCGTGGACCTTTGAGCTGGTGCCAAACTGCATGGCTCGATCCACCAACATGGACGTAAATTCGCTGTAAATGATGACCACGGCGGGCAGGGTTAAGGCCTTAATGCAGCACATTATAAAACCAAAGAAGAGCCAGGAGATCTCCCCATACGTGGAGAATCGGAAGAGTTTCAAAAAGCTGATGGGCTCCGTGGGCTCCAGACCCTCCGCAATGGGCGCCTCCTCCAGGGATTTGCCCTCACTCGTCGAGGTGGACGCCTCATCGCGCTCCATGATGATGGACAGTCTACGGTGACGGAATGACAATTAAATGGACTATATTATTCAATGGGCCATCGATCCGTGGTCAAGATTTCTTCACTCAAGCCCGGCACAAATTCGAACCAGACGAGACAAAAGGTTAATTCAATTAAGCAACACTTTGCGTCCGCATGCAAGTTTGTTTCTTTGGCCACATAGTTCTCATTGACCCGCGGGGTTAACGAGTAATAGAATATATATTATTGGACACATTCCTTGGCAAGTTGCAGTTTTTAGGTTGTTTGTCTGCAGAATGAAGTCTGTTTGCTTCACTAGATCTTCACCGTGAGATATTCACCTTTTTATTGACACTTTTGGATTTGTCCTTTAATTATTCGCACTTCTTCTCGATCGATGATGATGATTATAGTCCGCAGATCGTTACCGCTTGAGCGCCCAAGCGCAACTGACTGCCCATCTTCCATGAGCGTCCATTTAAATTTGCCACGTACATATATCGCACCGTTGGGTTCAAATTCTAATTGATCTTTCTCTTGGGGTAGGTTCAAAGAGTCCCAATTGACCAGAGAAAGAGTGGAAAACGTCATCATCAACTCTTCAGTGTCTCTTATACCGAATTTAATAAAGACCAAAATTACATTAGTTAAAAATTTATTTTATTTCAAAGTATAACTACAAGAAGTTGCCTCCTCGTCTGTACAAAGGGCACAACTGCATAGATTTCCTGCATTCACATGCAGGGCATTATAATAACAGAATACAAACTTATCTGTACTTGTAAAGATACAAAATCTAGCTGGATAACAATCGCATATCACATACTGTGTTGGTTTACAAGTATTTACACTGCCTACACGAGATAGAGATTCTTCATAAAGTTATGCAAAGATTCAAACGCTTAACTAATATGGCAAGTGCCAAAACAATAAGTCAATTTACTATTAAGTAGGCTAATTATATACAATAATCTATACAGTTACAATTGATTGATAATACACTCTTTGCATTTACTAGAATTTTGTTGAGCTGAACTTATTTGGTAAAAACTAAGGCGTCTGATATTGCCTTTATGTAGATTATGATTTCAGAATATTAGAGTGATAAAATATTGCTTATTTAATGGTATTTATACATTTATATTTATAATAAAAATATAAAAAGACATCCTGATCTGCTGCATGATTTTCTATAAAAAGTGACTACAAACTTTCAAGGAGCAAATCGAATGTTGTCCTTGAACCAATCAAACTTTTTAGGCTACTCATAATATCATTTTAGTGGTTCCGGGTGGCACAAATCCTTGGGCCTTAAAGCTAATTACGTGGCTCGATTTTCAAACGAATCTAAAACAATCCTGGTGATATTAATGTCACACGTACACCTCTCCGGTTTTTTGTTCCGGCTTGTGTTTCGCCAGAGTCGAAGGTGCCGATGATCCTGCAGCTCCTCCCGCATCTAGACCTCCGCTCCTCGGAGGCATTGGCATCGTGGCCGAGGTGTCCACCGTATCCACGGGTCCTGCTGACCTCATCGAGGATCGCTGTTGCGGATCCTGCAGATTAAGGCTCAAGTTGAAACTGTTGTTGCGCGAAATGTTTGCGGTTCCAGTTAGAGGTTTAACGGAGAGCAGAGCGGTGGTGGTTAAGCCACCGTTTCCATTGCTGGAACCATTGCTGTAGCCATCCTGGACATCGGTTCCTGTCAGTTCCACAATCGAAAGTGCCGACGGCGATCGCTGAATCGACAAGGACACCGGTATCGTGGTGATCACATCGTTGGGATCGTAGCCACTGGCCGTTGTGGTAATCGTGGGCAACTGGGCGTTGGCCGTGATGGGAAGGATGCTCAGGGTTCCTGTGGGAACGGTTTCTCCGCCGGTGCTGGTCACACTGAACGGGAACGACAGTGTGGTAATGTTCGTGGCAGCAGGTATAGCTAGAAAATTTAAAGAAAATTATTTTAATATCAGGTAATTACTATAAATCATTTAATAACATTAAGTTATTTAAAGGCTTTTTATATAATTTAAATATAGTGTAAATATTTTTAAAAATTACCCAATGAATCTTTATATCTATATCTCAATCATATCTCAATTGTTATAAGGATATTATTTTAATGTAATTAATTATTTTAGACTTGATAAAGATTTATTATCTTCAATAATATGATAAGATGAATATTTCAACTTACTGCTCGGCGCGAATCCTTCCTTCATGCTGGCTGCCAGGGCGGCGGTGGCCGGGTGTCCTGGAATCAGAGTGTTATTGGACGATGAGCTATCCATCTCTTTGATGGGCGAGAGCAGCAGAGTGCCCAGCACCTGGCCGCTCTCCTGGTGCAGAAGGGTGTCGGGTGCGTAGGAGGAGGGGTACATGCCCGGTGGTGCGCTGGTGGTGCTCAGCTGATGTGGTGCCATTAGGACCGAGCTGGTGGCTACACGGAAGTGGTGCGAGTTGTTCAGTAAGTTGCGGGGTTTCGTGCAGGATTTGTGCATCTCACTCACCTGGATTCGTGCTGCCATCCTTGGTGACTTCGGGTGTGGGAATCCGCGGTCTGGTCTTGGCCACATTCACATTCAAGCCGTTGAGTTTGGAGTCTGTATTAGAGAAATAATCAATTTGAGAAGCATACTTTTGGGGGTTTTTGATAAAAGGTAAATGATTTTTTAAAGGAATAACTATTATTTTATAAACATTACCATCTAAATATTTTTGAAATATGCTCACTTTGCTTGATAAGTTGACGTTGCGCTCTGAGCGACTTGCGGTGCACAAACTTGCCATAAAGACTCGATTTATTTGGCTGCGATCCAGCCTGCTGTTGCTGTTGCGCCTGCTGCAGTTGCTGCTGCTGCAGGATGGTCAGTGGCAAGCCAGACTCGGGACTAGAGTACACGGAATTCAAGCGATTCCGGTTGAAAGGCATTCCCCCGGAGGAGTAGGCCGTCGACTGGCTCCTCATCGAACCCATTCGAGACAGCTGCCTTACCAGCCAATTATTCTTCCGTCGCTCCACCATTGGAGTGTCCACGCTTTCCTGTTAAAAAAAATATTTTAATTATTGAAAAATTCAGTTTTACTAAAATGCCATTACATTATTCCAAATACTAGGTGAGAAACATGAATCAGCTAAAAATACTCAAACTCAGCTCAAAGTTATGACAGATCCTCAATAAAAATGCCCATAACATTACCGCTTGAAACAGCTGAATATTATATAGGCTTTAACTTAAAATTATGTTCCATAAATCACCACCACTTAAAGGGAAATCCTCTTAAAACTTTAACAGTGGGCAAATAATAAAACTGTAGCTTTCAGTGGTTATAAATTAATGGCATATTTAGTGGAACATATTACTTATTGCACCTGGAGTTACACCCATATTTTAATGCTATTAATGTTTTTAGGAAATATATACTCACATAATCCGCGTAGACATCGTCGCTGAGCATCCGCTTGCCGCCGCCTGGCATTATGTTGGCGTACATGGCGTCCTCTTTCTTCACCTTGTACTTCTCGGCGGATCCTTTGGGCTCGTCCTTCCTGTAATGCTCGGAGGCCACCGTGTAGGGCAGATCCTTGGGCACCACGCACTCCCAGTACTGATCCCGCAGCAACTCGGGGTGCTCCTCGTGCATCTCGTCGACGATCATGTAGGCAGCCTGAAAGCGAGTTATCAAAAGTGGATCAGTCGAGGGCTGTTCAAAATCGGAACGTGTTCGCCATTTGCGATTTCTGGGGTATTTCGAGGAGGAGGCACTAAACCTAATTACGTCACAGCAGTTGAGCCGTGGCTACTGTCCCACATCGAAACAAAAAGTGAAATTGTTTACAAGTTTTTAATTATTCCATAACAAAGCTAGCGCTCAGCCCACAACAGAAAATTGCAAAAAAAATAATACAAAAAAAAGAAAATAACAAGAAGAAACAGAAGTAATAATAAATAAGAGTATAAAAAATACTAATTTGGTTAATCATTTTGCCGCGCTCTGTTTTCAATTTGCCATTTACGTGCGAGTGAGCCAAGAGTCACGTCTGGTCGTGTGGAGTGCAGTTGAAATGGGCCACAAAAAGCTGGCCGAGGTGTTGGCATTAACCCCCGCTGATAACCGGGCTTAAAGCAGGCATTTGTGTGCTCAACCACTGGGGATGCATTTCCGAAATCGAGCAAACCCAGCGGTGACCATAAAATCAAAAAACACACACTCGAAAACAGTCAATGATAAAGCTCTACAAAAGAGGTTTCAATGTTTTCAGTTCGTATTTTTTTTCGCTTTTCTCATTTTTTGAACAAAAACCTGTTTTCAATTTACTTTTGCTGCTGCTGCTGCTGCTAACTTTTGTAAATAATTGCAAGCGACGGCGGGCCCCAAACAGAGATACAAACACACACAATGCACACATGCAAAACGCTCTCCTAACACACAGAAACTTCGAGCTCAAAGCCCAAGTCCAAAACTTCAATCAGCATCAGCGGCAGAAGGGATATAGCCGAATCGAATTGACTCTATTTACACGAATACTCTTAGTTTTGATTTTTTAACCAGGAAATTCTAGCTTTATAAATTTGTTCATATTTATTCTTAGTTATTAAAAAAGATTAATTTTGTGCTACATTTGCAAGTTCTAAACTATCATTGAGGTAAACATAAATAAGTAAGGTATTCATTATATGCAATTATTTCAATTTATATTACCCCTAAATTTAAAGTGCTCTTCAAATGTTTGTTATTAACGAATACCAAATCACAATTTAATAAAGATTTCCAAGTATCTTATCTTATTATGAGACTACATTGTTTTTTAAGTCAAAAATTATTTTGTGGCTTTAGTTCAGGGCACGTTACAGTTCGCTTTGCAGAAAACATTATTTGCTCCCCGAGTCTTTTGTTGGGCTATGCCTGTTATTTTTAGCACGTGGCACTCAGACAGACATGTTCTTTTCCTTTCAGCAACAATCCAAGAAGTGGCTGACTCAAGCGATTATCGCTTTAAGAGCTAAAAAATCTTTACTTAGCCAGCACGCTAACCCAATTAGCGAATTCAGATTTTAGCAGTCATAATACTTGGAAACCTATGAAGTTATAATTATGGATAATACCCCCTGACCAGATATAAGTATCTCGCGGATGTTTGCAGCTCAAGGTTTGAGTTAAACTCTGGGAAGTTCTGTGTTTAAGTTTTGCCAGTCGAAAAGCATCTGTTCCGATCATTGTTCTTAATTCAGTTTAAAAATTAGTGAGTTTATCTTCTCTATGCTAAATAAAATTAATTGGAAGTTATACAGGTTTTTGGTAAAATTTAAAAGGGGAATTTTTCGCATATCTCTAACGAAAAATGATTGTTTTATTAACGTGTAGACCGCAGGAATTACTGCCACTGCTAAGTAAATATGTTTAATGGAGTGAAGCCAATGTGCCACGACGAATTACGTAAAGATTGTGCGAATTACTCACCTTGATGTGCCGGTCAATCAGCCAGTTAAGCTCGATATCATCGTCATCTTCGCCAAAGGGATTGATTAGCACCTCGGCCACTTTCAGCCAGCCCACGTAGAAAACAAACTGCAAAGATTAATTGAAAGCGATAGGATCGGGTAATTACATCATGAATAAAGAGACAGAGACAATTTCAGCAGAACTTGGGAATAAGTTGAAGGCACGACTGGGAAAGCTTCGCAATTCCATTCACTTTTTTGTGGCTTCAAATTATACGGTATGGACATTAACAGTTAATAATGATAGCTAAACACTTGTCACAGATTTATATCTCGGCGAAACACAAACCAGACCAGACCAGAGCCCGGCAAAATGCCAATTTATAATATTACGTGGAACGTGACCGCGAATCGTTTACATAAGGCACTTGAAATCTGTCCCCAGCGGAGAACCGCAGAAACCAAAACGGAAAACAGTCAGCACAACAGTTGTAACTGGCCATATCATGATATAGCCGCTATATAGTATATTATATATGGAGCATCAGTGCGGCGTATCGCTAACAAGGTATAGCCATTACATTCGACCACTCTGTTCGGCGTAAAAAAAAAAAAATTCGCAAAAACAATTGCGAATAACAAAAACCGCAACAAGTTTTTAAACTTTAACAAAACGTCGAGACGTGCAAATTTGACTCTGATTTATGGTAAATAAGGCGGAACGTGCAAATTAAGATTACTTCTAACCCGTCTTAAATCAAGCGAGGAAATTGTAATTGAATTATACGGGTAGATGATTTACCTGCAGTACCGTGAAGAGGGGGAAATACAAATCCGGATCTTCTCGGCCGTTTCTATCCAGTACATTGGGCAACATTTGTCGGCCCAAAAGGGCAGCTATGAAATAGGTGTACAGCACCAGGGTAACCACCTAAAAAAGTAAAGATATAATTAATTATATAGTTAAATTTTCCTTTTAAGATAATTGATTGTCCAGAAAGAAGAAATAAATATTTTTTTTAATATTATTTGATAATTTTATATCTTATAAGTATTTGTAAAACTCACCTGAGTGTAGACCAAAGGAACACAGACCGTATCGTAGCCAATAAGGCCACCCAAACGTCTACGTATATCGGATAGCTCCACCAAAATGGTTTGAACTATATGATCCGAGGCAATTAAGCCATCCTTTCTGGCTCGATTGATGATGTTGGTGGCCCAGACCAGAGGCATCCAGTATTTGGACATGGGACTCTTCTGATTCAGAGCCTCGAAGATTTTCATCTCGGACTCGTGCATCAGACCCGCATCCACGAGATGCTGGGTAGTGGGAAAGCGACGTTTCACTCGCAAGGAAATTCGCTGCAGGGTGATCACATAGGCCAGAACCATATAGCGCATGATATTACGACGCATTAGGCGACCCGTTTCGTTCTGAATATACAAATAGTAAAGGGGTTTAAGCGGGTGTTCAATCATATTCAAATACGTTTCCTTACATTTACACCGCCATTTGAGTTGGGAATGGCAGCACTTATAAAGAGGGCCAACGTATCTGGCCAGGGCAAAAGACGATACTGTTCCCACCAACGTTTCACAACCAGATTTACATAGAAGGCCAGCACGAAGGACATTGGTATACTTTCACCCTGCTGCCCAAAGTACAGGCGGATTTTCTTAAAAAGGCTATCAAGAAATAAAGAAGATTATTTTTGAGTTTTTAAAAAGAATTGTCTTATACTTACTTCTGCTGACTTTCCGTCAGGCCAAATCTGAATATAACATTTATGGTATAGTATAAGCACAGATACGCAATTAATTCGCGCCAGATCAATTTGTAAACGCTGCCGCGCCATCTATTAAAAGGGTAAGGGATCTTAATTAGGTATTTTTAAGTTAGTATTGTATGAATACATTAATTCTAGCGTCTTTGAACTGTAACTAACTGGTTTTGTTTTATTGAAAAATGATTTCCTCATTCAGACATTTAATCATTTCCCTCTCTTGGTTGATCACCGCATTTCTGATTATTTGTTCGTGCCAGTTTTGCAAGATTTTTTTATGGGGGTATTCCAATCTTGCATGTCAGTTCCAATGAATTCTAATGTGCAGAAGTGTGATTTGATACATTATAAAAAAAATACATGTATAATGATAGCCATAACCACTTTGAAACTGGTACTATTCAGGTGGGGTCTTTGTTCTGTTTGTTTTGATCAAGGTTTTGCTCGCCTGCTTCTGCTAAAAATGTGGGTTTGTGTGGCATTAACCTTTGCTCAAGTTTGTTAAGTCAAAAGTAACTATAACTTCTGGAACGCGAGGTTATCGTTGAAAGCGATATGGCTTAAGTAATTTTTAAATTTACTGTCATAAAATCATCTTGCATAAGTTTTCAATTAGTGAATCCATTACAGAATGTGTGCCTTATCAACTTGGGAGCTTCGGAGCTTCGCTGTTATAGCTACCAATTTGTTCCTCTTTCTGGTTTGAATGGCAAAAACTGGAACTGTGCAACAGTAACTGGAACTGGAATTGCTATTCTAACTGCCCAGTTACGAGTGACTGCACTTGGGAAACAATTAAAGCGAACTGGGGTTAAAAATAAACACACTCTAAAAACAAAAAATAACCCGAAACCAGATGTTGCCGGGGGAGCTGTCAATATGGGGTCTGAATAGAGAGGCTTGGAGCATGGGATGTTAATTGCGATGGTAAACACTCGAACAGGTGCATGAGTAATGCGGAAAAATCCCCGGAATCGGTAACTCTTGTTGATGGGTGGTGACCCAGATAGTCTGCACACCACACAGAGAATATATTGTTTTGAATTTCATAAGGTTTGGAAACAAATATTGTGCAAATATATTTAAATAACTTGGTAGTTTTATTATCAAAATCAAATACATAATTTTAAGAATAAATATAAGGTTCTAATAGATAATACTCACTTCCAAAGGATTTTCCAGAAGCAGCCGAAACTGCTTCCATTTGGCACTTCACCAGCATAGGAGATCGTCATTGCTCACAGACGTTCCTCCTTCGTCTTGGTTTTTTTTTTATTTTGCTGATCTTACTTTGTTGACTTAATCACAAACACTTGGCTTTTGTTATTGTTTTTGCCGGCGCTAGGCCGCTGCCAATATGGAGAAGGCCGAATTGTAGTTGCTTTTCGATTTCGTACGCGAATTTTGTTAATTGTTTTTGTTGTCGCGTCATTGAATTTAGCGTCGCCGTCGGCTGCTTTTCCTCTCTCACTCACACCCCCGCCGCTTAGGGTGCGACACACTCTCTTTCTCGCTCTCTCTGAGCCTCAGGTTTTTAGGCTTCTCCTAAAAATTATCAAAAAGAAATAAAACCTTACTAATTGATATGTGTACAAAGATAAATGGATGGAGATACTAAAACTCCTATTTTTAATTTAAAATGTTGCAAATTTTAGGATGACAATGCTTAATAAGCAATACACTGCATTGCATTTAAGTTAAAAAATCTACAATTTGTTAAAATAACTTCCATAAAATATACAAATTTTTTCCATATTTATGGTTTTAAAGTTTATTTTTCTGAAGCTTTACTGTATCCCGAAAGGTGGGCGGTCTCATGCGCCCAGTAAAACTGTAAAGAGCAAGACACATGCAATCCATGCAAATAATACTGGAGGGCTAAAAAGCTCAGCTTAAATTCCGGCACGTATCGAAAGGTTTTCTGTGGTGTTGTTGTTGTTGCTGCTGTTTTCCATTTTGTTATTTTGTATTTATTGTAAATTAAATTGGCTATGCACTTTCAGTTCAGGTGAAATGCGGCGTTTAAAACTGAGAACAGAGTTATGGTCATTTTTGACTTTTTCACAATTTCACAGTGTATTTACTACATTGTATAAGGTTTTTTTTTGTTTTTCTGTACTTCACTTTATTACAATCACCTTGTACACACAATTATTATGGATTCCCTTTTGGGCTTTTTATTTTTTAGAGTACTTAAAGATCATTTTGTTGCCAGGATTTCCCCAAAACTGTGGACTCTCCTCAATGGCAAAGGTATCTGGACGACTTGATGTTGGGATTTTTGCTTGTTATTTTTTTTTTACTTCTTTTTTTTCGTCAGAAAACCTTGGGTTGGGCAAAAATTCGGCAGTTTCTCTGTATTTTTGCGGGTGCCTAATTTGCGCCGTCAGCGCCACGAGTCTTTATCGTTTCCCGTTTTCTGTTGATTTGGAAGTCTTGATTAATTCCGTTTATGTTGCGTTTCTCCGACGCGATTTTGATTAATCGAACGATTGGCGAGCACAGATTTTTGAAAAAGCGTTTTCAACCTGGGCCTGCAAATGCGAAGATTTGAAACCTGTTGTATTTGCTCCTTATCGCTAGTCGAAGTTGCAAATATTTGCATAAGCCATAACCAGACGGGCACCACAGAACGGGTTCTATATGGGGCTTAGAGTTGTACAGATTCCAGGTTCAGGGGGACTCCGGCAATTTTCACTTTAGCGCGTTAATTTCGTTAACAAACACAGAAGGTGATCTTCAGGAATGTAAGAGCCAACCGGTTGCAAACGGGGGTCTAGGCCAAGTTAAGTCACGATGGTTTTTGATTACACGGCTAGAGAAACCACCCACCCACTACTACTGGCTAACCGAGAATTTCCCAATTGTTTTGCTGTTGAATCAACAATTAAAGATAGTCGTGCTTCCCAGATTAGTTATTTATACTAGCTGACGGCTGAAAGTTTTGCAATCTACATGTTCTTTTAGGACAAATAGTAGTCATTGACCCTACCAAGAGATTTAATCTCAACTGTCCACCGCTGTGGTAATATATTATCAGAGCAAACAACCTGACAGCCAGATATGGGTGGTTGCAGCTTCTAGAAAAGCACACTGCGTATACGCGATATGGAGTTGGCCACACAAAAATCCGACTTTGATTTGTGACGAATTGGGACCGAATAAATTTCACTTTCCTCTGACGTATGTATTTGCCCAGCAATTTGTTTACCTAATGAGTCAATGGCGATGGCTCTCCAATTCGCCTGCTACTTGCACTTTTTCCGGCGGGAGTCGTTCTCAGAATTAACCACTTGAAAGGTGGGAGTTTTCGGGCCTCATTAGCACACAATAAAGCAGATATATCTAGGCATGAAGACGATTTCTGTTAGCATTGTTAGCGCTCACCATAAAGTGATTAAGTATTGTTGAAGCGATTTAAACAGCACTGTTCAGAAAAAATTAACGTGTTTGTTAACGTATTAAATTTTATCACAATTGATACTTTTGTAGAAGGCTGTAAAAAATTTTTATTTAAATTGATTTATTACTGGCACATATGATTACTCAAAACTTGAATTTATTCGCCAATTTTTCAAATACATTTCACTAATCATCCGTGCGGGGATTATACAACCCAGCGTAATCAATTACTTCATTACTCCGCTATTTATAGTTATTTCTGTTGAGAATGTATGCACGTATATATCTTTCTAATTGCTCTTCACTCATTAAGCTTGTTCAATTGAAAAATTGCATCCGAATTCGGCTTGGCCGCACATTCAGTCAATAGAATGCCGAATGAACACCTAAGCGGATCGGGCGAATAAAGCATAAATAAAAGTAAACTTGACCAGTTGGGAGCTGGAAGCTTAGTTTACGGAGCCGCCTAGGCCATTTAAAGCTGGAGACACGCGCTGGCGTGCGACGCGCTTACGATTTCAGATACACAGATATAGATACAGATACAGATACTGAACCCATTGGATACGTGTATCTAATGGTGCGAGCTGGTGGTCGGGTTGGATCACATGAGCATGGCATTTTATCCAGCATTAAAGGGACTCCCTTCGATTTCGTTACACTTTACACACTTGGATTTAAAACTTTTATTTGATGTTTACACAAAAACAGCAGCACCAACAGAAAATACAACAGAAAGCGTCTGTTTTTTGTATACAATTTTCAGTCGTTTTGTGTAATATCCGAATGCTGGCTGGCTTCAATGGGGTTCCGCACGATCAACTGGCGAGTGCTCAGTTCAGCACAGCTCAGCTCGGTTGATTTTGCTCCACGTACCGACAGCGCGACGACGGGTTTATCGCTGGACACTTCAAGCTCGAGCTGCAACTGCGACTGCGATGCCGACCGCCGATCAACCTCACCGCTCGACAAACTCAACCAAACTGCGCTCCAGAGTTGGTCGCGAGCGGCTCTTAACTCACTTTTTCCAGCCCGCACGGACAAAAAGTTTAGTTGGCAACAGGTAGACGAGGCGCACAGCGAGCGGATCCCTCAAAACATTCGTATACGTGTTGTTTTCGGCATGGGTGTGTAGAAAGAGCTTAAAGGGGCTTAAAACTTATAACTTCTGAGTTAAGTTATTTTTCTTTGAATTTGCATATGCAGTATTTAAAAATCAACAAATATTCTTAGGATTGTCAAGCACGACAAATGTTTTAACTTAAAATGTTTTACTTTGTTTTATTGCGTAATGTATTATGGTTTTCAGATTTGTTTGTATGTTTTTTTAATAATTTATTACAATTTTGTGGATTATTTAAAACTAGTTTTATAAAGAAAAATCAATTTAAATTTGTTTTGTTTCTACAAAAGTAAAACTATTGGTGTTGGACAAAAAACCTTGTATTCTGATCACCCCTTTTTACTACGCCCCTGAAACTGTGTGGAATCTGTAGACCCTCTTTTTTGGCCCTCTCTTTCAGCTGCCACTGAGAGTCGGCTTCGATGAGGTTGATCAGCTGTTTTCGTTTTGGCTTTAAGCCAAAGATCAATGACAAAGAGTAGTCTTTAAACTCAAAGAGTCAGATTCTCCAAAGAGAGTTATTTCGCCAGAAAGATCCTATTCATTATAAATAGCACGTGCAAAACAAATTTTAAGATTCATAAGGTTAAAATCTTAAATTAGCTAGTAAACGGTTACTTCAACTTGACATTCATTGAAAATTAAAAGAAATAGAGCAATTTAACGCTTCAGTTCCATGAAGTAATCTAAATGAATCAATCAGGCAACTCTGCTGTTAGATTAAATAAGGCAGAAGCATAATTTTCGGCTTTATATAAAAATTGTTAAAAGTTGTTGACTTACCGAAATATATTTTAATAAATTAACTAACCAACTTAAAAACAATTACAATTTTTACAAATTAACTTAAGGCTTAGGATAATTTCTTATCAATAGGCTTCTCAAAACGTCTCGCTTTATATCTCAAGCCATGTTCCATGTAGGTAAATGGAGGATTTGGCTGAGTTAAGCAGAAGTACAGACCCTTGGCATTAGCAGGATAAATAAGACCAATGTTGATCGTGTTTTTGAAATTGCAATCCCCTTGCCGGAATTTGGCCCAGCTCTCGCACTTCGTGGCAGGGATCATCACACCTTCAATAAGGGCCTGTAAATTAATGTAAATATTAAATTTAGGTATTGAAGTATTAAGATAACCTTAGAAGTCCTTACCTCCATAAAGAGAACAAAAGGATACATATGACTGCAGATCTTGGACTCACAACCTGGTTGAAGTTTTCTCCTTGGGAAATACCCAATGCCATTTGGATAAATATCAATGTGTCCTAGAGGAACCCTCACCCCAAAAACATCACCCTCACCGTGAATCACCACCACCCTTGTGGCAACATTCTGTTTCACCAAAATATCGGTGGTGCGACACATGGTGGCGGGATCAATGGCTATCAGTTGACCCACCAATTGTTTGTTTTCCTTGGCAAAAAGTTGCGCCCCCAAAGCCGCTATATTTGCACCCACCGAGTGTCCTGCCAAACTAATATCATCCATTGCAATGCCCGCATCCTTTAGAGCCCGCAGAAGTTTATACACAAAATATCCATCAACGGAGAGATGATGCCGCACTGCATAGTACAACTGAGCCACATCCTTGGCAAAGTCAACTAATATCACATTGAGATCCCTTCTGCTGTTCTGCAGCAAAGTCAAGTGCTCCTGGACACTAAAATAACTATCGGCTGTGTGGAAGGCATTCACATAGATGAGGGTCTTACGCTCCGGATTGATATCGAAATCTTTGACTTGCGACAGGGATTTGATGGGCAGCTCCACACTTTGGTTGGTGATGGTCATCACATGGATTCGGGCATCGCTGGGATTTATTCCCTGGAAAAGGGACATCACACCCTCATCCACGGGAGCATCACCTATTCAAGATTTCATTATAATATTAAAAAATAATAATATAAAAATTATTTCAGACTCACAGAAGGCTCTCCAACCCCTGTTGAGTTGCTCGGTCAGCAGTTTTAAATTATTTTTTTGCACAGTATCAATATTCACGGGCAGCGTTGCCTTTTCTTTAACCTCCACTGCCAAAGTTTGGCAAATCAGGCAGATGGCTATGATCGCTGTGCTCTTCTGCATGGTGAATTCTGCTCTCATGTCTGCAATCGAAAAGCTGGGCTCTTTTATAGCCAGGTCTTATCAAGCCGAAAGACTTGCCAACTGAGACTCTCTTATCTGGTAGCTGGTTTTCGATTTCGGTTCATATTTTTCAGCTGGTTGCAGCACGTCTGGTGGAGAGGGTCTGTCTGCTCGTTGTCTGCTGTTCCGCCCCAAAATCTTCAGCCCCAAATATAAGAAGAGGTGTCAGATAAGCCCCCAAATCTGGTCAAACTTTGCTGATTGATTATCGCCCTAAAAGCGATCGTGCCCCAATATGAAAATTCTTACCGAAGATTCCCTTGCTGAGTTTCATTCACTTTTTTCCGTTAATTGATTAAGGTTTTTTATCTATATTTTTTTGTGGGTGCGCAAAGACAACTAGGTGCTAAATCTTTATTTGTTAAAATGTATATTTTTGAGTATAGTTAGGGCTGTAAATTTGACTAGAACTCGTCTTGGTTGACAAGCGATTCACGATTCAAAATTTACGCTAATGAGGTAGCGGCGGTTGTTGTCTGACTCTGATCCTTTTCCAGTTGGAATTTCTCGAGAGTGGCCTTAAAATTAGGTTCCTTAGTTGGTAAGATTGTGTTAAACGGAGCATCGCTAATCCAGGTCAAATAAATGTCAATAAATCAAAATTAAAACCAGAGAAAAACCCAAGATGAACCAAATAACAAGAGCGCTGCGAGTTAAACTTAAATTTTAAACAGTTTATTCGTGTGGGCACACAAAAACTAATCCATAAAAATAATAAATAAATTGAGAGGTGTACTAAAAATAAACATTGGTAGTCAGAAATACTTGATGCTCTGCCCGCGGCATCTTTTCACTGGCTTCTGCTCCCCCGCGGCTTCAAATTGGACTAAAATTAGCTTTCCGCTCTATTTATGTTGTGATTTTGTTTTGTTTTTTTTTTTGGGTTGTGAATGAATTTTTTAGTGGGATGGTTTCATTTAGAACTTGAGACCAGCCTGAACATCGGACATGATGTTGGCAGATTTCTGCAGCTGTTCGATTTCGGTGGGGGTCAAGATCTGCTTGACCACGGAGGTCACACCGTTGGCGTTCAGGATGCAGGGCAGCGACAGGAACACATCCTTATCGATGCCGTGTTCGCCCTGGAAGGAAATAAAAATATTTATTACATTTTATATACATTTTACTATATATTTTTGATGGTCTTACCAAAACAGAGGTGGAGACAGCGGCCACGCTGCTCGTGTTGCGCAAAATGGCCGAGGCCAAGGAGGCAGTGCTGAGACCGATGGCCCAGGAGGTGTAGCCCTTTAGCTTGATCACCTCGTAGGCGGAGTCCACCACCTGCTTGTGCAGCTCGTTCCACTTCTCTGGATCCTCGCCGGTTCCCAGAGTGGGGTTCAGCTCACGCAGCCGCACGCCGGCGATGTTCACGCCGGACCAGACGGGCACCGAGCTGTCGCCGTGCTCGCCAATGATCCAGCCGTGGCAGGAGGTGGGGGCCACGCCCAGGCGCTGCGACATCAGGAAGCGGAAGCGGGACGAGTCCAGGTTGGTGCCGCTGCCGATCACGCGGTTCTTGGGCAGGCCCGACAGCTTCCAGGCCACGTAGGTCATGATGTCCACGGGGTTGGACACCATCAGCAAGATGGTATCGGGACTGTACTGTAAATAGAAATGGAGCATTAGTTATGGGGCTTAAAAAAATATTTCACAAAAATTTCATTAAAAGAAACTATAAACTTAACATTTTTTAACTTTGATTGATTTTAATTTTGATCAATTTTGATTTTTTTTTTTTTATCATGAATGAAATCGTAGAATTGTAGAAACCAATAAAGATTTGCAACAATAAAAACTAAATTAATCTGCCAAAAGGAAAGTAGCAATCGCAATTGCGTTTTCGGTTGATTTTTTTTAGCAATCAAAAATACTTGGAGTTTCTTATCTTGACACGTTTTCTTTTTGATTAAGAAAAATGTTAAGAATGGTTCTTGAAGAAATGCCAAAAATTCATTGAGATAAATTAGTGAGTGACTTTGCCAGATAAGGTAATGAAGTTAATTGAAAAATTTAACGAGCTTGATATATAGTAAAAGTTGTTTTTAATAAATATAAAAAAAATATAGTTGGTTATATTCACAGGTGTTTTACAAACGAAAATGATGTTTTTAGTTAAATTAGTTGCCCTATATAAAAGTATTAAATTTGTTAAACACACTTGTTATTTTTTTGTTAAGTTCGTATTTTCATATATAACATGTTATTTGCAAACGAAGTAATTTATTAATTTTAATAGGATAAGCTTCGTTTGTAATTTGTCTGATATTTATCTTTATTGTATAGTGTTGCACTTACCTCCACCAGCTTGGGGATGATGTTCTTGAGGATGTCGGTGTTGCGCTGGACGAGGGACAGACGGGACTCGCCCTCCTTCTGGCGCACTCCGGCGGTCACGATGCACAGACGCGAGTTGGCCGAGGCGGCGAAGTCGGTGCTGGCCGTGATCTGGGGGTTCTTCAGGAAGTTGGAGCCGTGCTGGAGATCCATCAGCTCACCCTGCAGCTTGTCGCTGCAGACATCGATGAGGCACACCTCCTTGGAGACGTTCTGAGCCAGGATGCTGAAGGCGCTGGCCATGCCCACCTGGCCGATGCCCACGATGGTGACCTTGTGCCCGGAGCTGGGCAGCACCTCGGCGACTTGGGCCAACAGACTGTCCTTAATGGCGGCCATTGCTAAGGAGCAGACAGAGACATTCCCATTAATAACTATTTAGGAAATCAAATGAATTCCCCCCGGGGAGATTACCCATTCAGTGGCTGGTACCCATCACGTGCCTATGATTTAGTTAAAACATTCACAATTTTTTGGGAAAAACTATCTATCCCACACAGACACACACATACTGCTAAGTTGGCGTTCTTTAACCTTCACGAAGGTCGTATTAATGAGAAAAAAGCGACATCGCCACAACACGCAACCGGACCGAACCGAAAACATTGCCGAAAAAATTAACTAATAATATTTTTGCTCTTTTATATAGCAATTCGTGGTGGCACATGACACTGCCAGTCAATTAGTGTCTTCTTCATTCGCATAGATAAGCTCTAATTAGCCCCAAATGGAAGTTTTATCAATGCATCAATGCGAAACCTTTCGAAATTAATCCCCCGATTCAGCATTAATCGCTCTATTTCTGATTTGGCCAACAGTCAGAGGAACTTCCTCGAAACTTGGCCATTCCTATCTTATCAGCAAAGTGAACAATTGAAACAATTTGATTAATCCAATTAATGAGTGTTCCGCATGATTATTAATTATACTCGAAATTTTTGTTCACCATATGGAATGTATCGGTATATATCACCATGACGTAGAATAAGGCTTATCGCTAATAGGAAGAGTTTGGGGGCCAAAGTTGAATTGGTTGCCAATATTTGCAATATTATTTCAGATTAGATTGCTTGCGATTATAAGTGCATATTGGAACTATTATCAGTGAGAAAATATTTGTATAAACATGTGGCACGTTTTTAATTAGAATCTGCTTCAGGTTGAGTGTTTTCTTAGCTAAAATTACGAATGCAGTTAAGAGTTCTAAAGAATATGGGTGTGTTGTAAAAAAAAACCCAAGAGTTTCGATGAGTTCCGCGGTGCCGAATGGTACGAAAAGTCACAGAAATGTCACAAATATATAAAACTAGATAATGATTTATGGCTCATTGTTTATTTTTATTGGGAATGCGTTCTGAAGCTTTAGATATAAGTATTGCAAAAAAAAAAAAAATACTCTTAGTACAAAACGTATGCTTATACATGAAAATCGTTTCAAAGGTTAAATAACAAACGTTAACTTTATTTGATAATTTGCAATATTTTGCAATGTAGAATAATAAACAAAACAAATAAGGGTTTTATCACAAATGTTTTAATTTACAACTCAGACTTGTTTTTATAACCAAGTCAGACGAAAAAAATCAATAAATGTTCCGAAATATGGACAAATATTAAGTTTACGAGTATGGTTTTAACTATCCATGTTCTCCCCCTCCCCCACTTGTTGCAAGCGACGAAAACCTGCCTCATAATTGGGCCTCCAAATGACCTTTCTCAAAGTCAAATGCGGTTGTTCCACTTTACTGGGGGGCCGACGTCACCCTGTCGAAAAATTGGGGAAAACAGCTGTTTGCGACACAGCGCATGCTCTCAATGAAAACGAAAGTGAAAGCCAATTGTACGCCCAATTGTCACCCCCCTTCCCCTCGGAAAACCCCCGGAAATTCCGCCCACCCCACTAACGGTACAAGTGCGGAAGGCCAAGGGCGAGGTGGGATTGCGGATTCGGGTTTCGGAAACGAACGTTGCACTTGACCGTTGAAAGTTGAATGCACTTTGATGAGGCAGGAAGTCAGCCCCTGGAATTAGCTTCTTAAATCTAAAACCTCCTGCATAGCCACTGAAATATTTTTTTATGGGCGTGCTAGTGTTTTCAGCTTACTTTTGAGTTGGTTTTGTTTTAATTCACTTTATTCACTGGATTATTTTGGGAGCCTCTGAGTTTAGAGGTCGTCGACGTTCCGTTCACTTTGCGCGTTCGTTGCGAACTGTTTGCACTTCAAGCGGACTGCTTTGGAATTTAGCTGCCGCCGCTGGATTTTGTAGCCTCCGCAGCCGCTTTTTCTCTCACTACCTCTCTCGCTCTTTCTTCCTACTTCAGTGCACTTAGAAAAAATCACAGCAAGTCTGGGAATTAAGATAGATTGCGTCAGAAAATATGATTTTGCTGATTTTTAAGCACTGAATAAGTGCTTACAAGTTTTTTTAGTAAATAATTCAAATAAAGTTCACCAGCAGTCTTAAGGGCATAGCTTAAACCATATTATGTGGGTGCATAAATATAATTAATTTAAAAGAATATTTTTGAACTAGTACTGGGATTAAGAAATAATATTTATGCGCTCAAGTAAGTGTATCATAGAGATTTTTTTGAGTGTAGGCAGCTGTTTTGGCCATCT